AGCAACGCTAGGACCAGAGTGCCGGGTGTGCCTGGCCTCCTCCTCTGTGATTGGCCCTCTCGCTACGCTCACCCCAAATCTTGATCCTCGTAAATTGTATAAATACGGCCATGGCTGGCCAGGGAGACCATTCTACTCTGACCTACAGGACCAGCAAGATCTCTCTCCAGCGCCTCACCACCCAGCTTCCTCAGAGAGCTCCTCGCCCTACAGGAACTCTGGGCAAGCTACTCCTCACCTAGTAACTCCTTAACACTGCTCTGTACAACAATATATATATACAGAAAACGCATTGTGAGTTTCTATTCTACCTCATTCCTGAGTGTGAGATATCTACATGTACGTACGTTTGTGTGGCCATACAAAGAGAAAATAGACATCTAAAGAGAATTGACTACTGGCCACATTACAGTACGCTACACGCTCACATTGTTTTTCCTTTTATCCTCTTCACCACTGATCGGCTCGTTAGCCGCTTGGGCGATCGGTCACGTCTCTGTTGCGCACTGTTGGCAAGTACTGGGCATGCACCGGCTCCTGAATGTACCTGAACCTGCTCCAGTGTTGGTCAAGTTTTGTCTTGAAAGAGCTCACACTCGGTGCCGTCACAACACTTTCTGGTAGATTGTTCCAAGAGTTCACAACTCTCACTCCGAAAAGGTTTGCCCTCACAGTTTTTTGGACTTGCGGCTTCTTCAATCTTGAGCTGTGACCCCTTGTGGGGTGAGCGTCCGCCAGCTCCAAGTAAGGACACTCGACTGAGTAGTGCCCCTTGAGATGCTTATACACCTCAATTAGGTCACCCCTTGCCCGTCTGTAGTATAAGCTAAGCAAGTTCAGGCGCTCCAATCTCTCAGGGTAGCTGAGGTGCCGAAGTGCCGGCACCAGTCTGGTGGCCCTCCTTTGAACATTTTCAACCAACTGACAGTCCCTAGCATATCTCGGGGACCAGACGGGGTGACAGTATTCCAGATGGGGAAGCTCTTCACCCTCGAAGATCGTTACGAGGGACGGACCGTCTAGATATATGAACGACCTTCTTATAAGACCCAATAATTTATTTGCCTGATTTTCACAAGAAGTAAATTGGAGTATTTGTTCGTATAAAATAAAGGGGAGGGTTCCTTCAGTGTAACTGTCGGGGAGTTGAGCAGTCAGGCTCCGAAGCATTCCATCTCTGGTGCCACACTTTTTCGGATTGAGAATTGTAAACTTTTGGAATAATCTGCCAGTGCTGTGACGGCACCGAGTGTGAGCTCTTTCAAGACCAGACTTGACCAATACTGGTGCAGGTACAGATACATCCAGGAGCCAGTACATGTCTAGTAGTTGCCAACAGTGCGTAACAGAAGAGAAGTGACCGACCACCCAATCGGCTAACGAGCCAATCAGTGGCGAACAGCAGGATGAAAATAAAAATTGTCACTCCAGTTCTGTTTAAAGACACTCTGGTGAAGGAAGATCACTGACCATCGACTCTGTACTGAGTCATTCATCAATAAAGATGGAATAAGAGAGAGCCCCAGAAGAGCTGGCGAGAAACGAATTTCGAGTTCAACTAAAGGGATTGTGATGGTGCGATAGAAATATTCTTTGGGGGAAACTGCTGGAATGTAGTGATAGTTAGGGGCATCGACTGATTCAGCTTAGGCAACAGTTTTTGTGTACCAAATGTCACCAACTTGATCAGTAGCCTAATCAGATGCTTGATAAGTTGACACAATAGCAAATAAAGATATATTTACTATTATTGACATTGTTCAAACACTTAACGTATACACTTGCTTAAACTTACAAATATCCTGTAATTATTAACTGGAAAAATACATGAACTATCAGGTACCACAGCAAACAATTGTACGTAACGAGGAAACACAACTACCTACACACGCAACTACTGTATTATAAAACAAAAATATAATGATTTGTATGGGAACGTTCCAGTCATGTTTCGTCCATTCCAGTCAAGCCTCGCCCATCTTCCCCCCTCTCCTACCCTGTAAGTCCGTCACACTTACTGTAGTTTCTTGAGGGTGCCTATTTGACTTAAAGATAGACAGTAAATTACTGTTATGGGGATTGCTTTTATGAGTCAACCTTCAACATGGTAAACTTTGTTTGAGGGAACATAGCACTGATCAATGTGCTAGAACGGAGTAGCCACCCGGACGTAATTTGACAAGATTCTAGAAAGTGGAAAGAGACATGAAATATATCTGCATTACGTTCCTTAGCTGCTAAAATAGGTTTATGATTATTAAGAAATGCATAAATACAACACGTACGGTATGTTTTTTAAATCAATGTTTAAGTTCCTCTTCTGGAAATGTTAATGTTATACAGTAATGTATTACTGCATTTCAACAACTAAGTTTTGGCATTTTTTAACTAAAAATTCAGGTCTTAAACACTTTACATGTATTTACAGTATTCCCTTGTACACCTTGTACAAAGAAGGGATTTTTTATGGTATTCGTATATAACTCCGCGGCCACAATTTTGTTAGTTTTATTCCTGTCCAAAAGTTTGTCATGATCTAGTGAACATTAGACTTTTCCATAACCTAACCTCTACCCTAACATTAAACTGATAAAAAAATAACTAAACGAAATAGATTTGTTACAGTAGATCAGTCCTAAGGGTGATTTTGATAAGGTCCTAGATTAGGTTTGCTTCTACAGCAAAATGCCCTGATTTACTGAAATGAAAAGGTGGTATCACTGACTGAGAATGGAGAACATACAGAAGTACACTCATTTGCCTGAAAAGGGAGTTTATACACACCCAGTAGAGCCATGAATTAAACGAACAGATACTCAAAGTTTCACTATAGTATAAGGTCTCATTGACATGGTTGGCGCAGGGTAGTGGTGGCCACTCCCCAGACATGTCTTATTGATCTCCAGTCATCTTACACTCTTGACGGCACGGACGTCCTGTTTTTCATTCTAGTGCCCCACGCATTATAACCGAATATATGATTCTGGAGTATCCTTCTAGCTGGTGGACTACTTCGCAGTGGAAGTTGCCCCACAACAACCAGAGGACTTACAGTAAAAACCACATAACCGGGAACAAAGAAAACTGTAGATATACAAGAGGTTAAGTTTCTTAATCTAATTTATAATTTCTATCGCTTTTCGCTAATCGTACGGTTGATCTATTCTTTGTTACCTTCATCGCCCAGTGTAATTACTGGATAACACTCTTCTCACATCCGTCCCTGGGACTTGAACCCGGGGCCGCAGTCAAGGCAAGCCGCTACTGTCCTGTTTCGACCTTGATCTCTGCACGGCACCTCCCAAGGTCAAGCATGTTCTCTCTGCTTACTCGCGTTACAGGGTGCGTGACATGCCTGTACGAACGTCGCTGTTTCTTTCATCTATAGGTTTTATTTATACAAGGCATTTACAATTCAAATTTGAGTATGAACACGTAGTACATGTACAGACATTAATAATAAATACGGTATTCATTGATAACTTAAGCAAAACCCCCCAGCTGGGTTGGCTCACTGTGCTCACCATGTTCTCCCACCCACAACTTCTTGGACCCCTCCTTTTGATATTCCTGGATCCACCCCTGGCAGTATTCTTCCCAAATGTAAACAAACATTTAGTGTAATAGTTCCTTCCTCTTTATTTCTTGTCTGTAATAGTATGTATACTGTACAGTACGTACATGAATAAAGAGGGAGAAAGCGGGGTGGAGGAAAAGGGCAGGGTGAATGTTTGTGCTGGGCTCAAAGAATGAAAACTAACCACAACATGTAGCGGTTGTTTGGAAAATAACCAGAAAGCGAACTTTTGCTACAGGTCAGGTAAGTTTAAGTTAGGTTACGTTTGTTTGGGTTGAGTTTGATTAGGTTTGGTTCTTTTGAAAACACCCTCAACGCGTTGTGCTTGGTTTTCGATCTTTGGACCCAACATATGCACCGTACCCGTATGTGTTGTGCGGCCTTACGTGTGCATATGATTGCCATCTACATTATGCGTATGTGCTTGCTCACGCGTGTACTGTTAACCCAGTTAAGGGATCCGTAACCATCGTGGCGAGCACAGTACTAGTACTGAACTGCACATAGTGATCGATCGCCCAGTCGGATAACAAGCCAATCAGTGGCGAAGAAAGGATATTATGTAAAGCAGCAGCTATCATTTCAACTTTCAAAAGGCCGACGAAAATATCCACTTGATAGATATATCCAATGCATCATGTTAATGACATGAACTTGGGTGCTTTTTTTTCTAATAATAATCAATAATGATCACACCGCATAATTTGTAGACATGTATTCATATTCTTTAAGCCTATCATTAATGTTAAAAAGAAAAACAAAACAAATATAATTCAGTTTTCATCGTACATTGTTCAAGAGTACATACAGTATACCTGCATCTCAATGTTCACGTGATAAACTGCATGCAGTCCCTTTTTGCTAGATTAAGCAAAATTATATTAAGTTTATATGCTCTATGAAATACAATAATGATCGATCACTACAAAACAAAATATTTCTTAGATCATTTTCTTTATAACAAAGCTGCCGAACATAAGTCTTAATAGTGAATTGTGTGAATAAAATATACCAATTGCATCATCGTAGGTGTTCTGTACGATGATCTTTGTTATGTTTTCTTTAAAATATGTGAAATATACCTTAATATATGTTAAAAAAAAGTTCACATTTTCAAGCAAAATATAAACACTGCTTCATGAAATATTGTTTTATTTCTTAACTATAATCATAAAGATATATTAAAAACAGTGATTTATCTTACACGCCCCAGACTCCTGGCAGTGAGTGGTCGTGCGCAGACGTTCTATCGTATATACCACAAGGTCACCTTCAGTGTCCCTTCAGCACTGATAAGGTGAGGGCGTGTTCTAGTATCCCTGATTTCTTACCAGCTTTTGGCCTTGAGATGAATTATATACGTAAGTATCAAGGAGTATTAGTAGTAAATGAAGTCAAAACCCGCGGCTGGGTGCTAGTAATGGCCGCATCAGCTGATTGGTGGAGCGGACGACGCTCTCGGCGGGCTCAGTGGTCACTCTCAGCCAAGATTATATATAGATCTAACCAATTCCTGCCGGGTTTGCGAGTGAAGGCTGTGCCACCGTGAGGAAGGTAAGTCACAATACTAGTGGTCAATTTATCGTAAAATGTAGGCATATTCCCGAGGTGGAGTTAAGACAACAAGCTCTTTACCGATTAGTTATCACCGGGGTCATAGGGACACGGGTCACATTGATACTAGGGTAGGTTATTTGGAGTGCTCTGAATGACATCTTGCTGCATGACGTTTGCTTGGCAGTATGAGTCGGTATATGGCCCAAGCTGACAGCTGATAGTATGATTGATCTCGTTTATTAACCCATCCGGTAGTTAATGCTAAAGCCTTGAAGCTGTTCAAGTTCAAGGTCATTTAACAAAAAATAAGATTATCTACCTCAGAAATCGCTTGCCAACTTGTTCGTGACTTAAGCTCATAGCCATTTTTAGTTGTCATTTATATAATACAAATTAAATTCATGAAAAGAAGTGTTGCCAGGTACATATAAGTATCTGAGGTGTATGTAGGCTAGACCGGCTCTTAAAAATGTTACGGTCAGTAGGAATTTCACCTTCATAACTGTGGGATAAGCCATTAGTGAGTGTAGATGACATGCCAAGGTCACCTCTGAAGGGTGAATGAAGGGGACGGGGGTGAAGATTAACAGTGACCCACCAGTCAAGTCTCAGTCCGGGGAATTGTCTCATAGGTGCAACACTGCAGTGTGAATAGACACAGAAATATATAGTTGTACCTGATATTCAAGTTCATTATAGGCATCATCAGTGTCTTAAGAAAATTGTGTGGAAATTATTGCAAAGGAGGTAAAAGTTTCTCATTGTGGCATTGTATTGTCCTTACGTTCCGAGCTCTTCATCGAGATTCCTCCGCGCAGTGCCTCTTACACTTGACCAGTTGGGGCTGAAGCTATTATCTTATGGTGTAGGGAATGCATATACATTTCTGTAATGTTTGAGAGGTGGTGTGGTGTGTGTGTGTCAGCCATAAAGCATAAATGCTAATGGAGTTACGTATGTAATAATAACTAGGTTTCAAATATCGCTGAAAGTTACCAGCAGCCACTGAATTTTTTCCCTATTTACTTTAGTTATATGCTGTGCTCTTACACTACTGATCAGTATTTATTTTCATATTTTAATAATGTTTTCGCATAAATTACTATAATCTCAGAAGGATTAACTGAACAATGGTGTCTTGGTGTTACAGTATTCATGTTTTTAAAAATTGGATTAATTAAGGCATGCAATTTTGCTTACTCTCCAATCATTCTGTATAAGAGCCATATCTAATTATGTGCCTTCTACATGTTTTATAAATTTCTATTTAGAAAATTGAGCCTTTATATTGCAGCTGTGCTGCTACTGTATATCACTTTTAATTAAACTCTTGGCAACAACTTTTTTGATAATTGGTATTTTGAATATTTGATATAGCTAACCTCAGAACAAACAGTTGATGCTGAAATGGAAGATCCATGAATTTATTCCCTTTTCTCTGATAATAAGATGTAAAATTGGTAATATGTGATTAACATAAAATACATGTGTATCTACTAACTTAAAGGTGGAATTTGCTACTCTAATTACAGTACTCTACAGTACACTGTACTTTTATTTTGCAGTACAGTACTCCCAAAATATGGCAAGTGGGTCATTGTTTCTTCACTGGTAATGTTTGATGAGTGTCTGGCCTTAGCAGCTACTGTACTTGATAAAATTCTCAGTAGAAGATAAAAGCCCTCTTATGTGCAAGGAATGCATTTTATGTGAATTCACTTTTGTGATTTTTTTATTTTCTTTGTGTGATGGAGTAGCTCTAGACCCTCCATCCAACTGCCAGGTTATATACACATAAACCTCGAGGTACGATGGGGTTAGGTTCCTGAAAAACACATCGCTAGGTGAATTATTGTAGATAGGGAGCATTATAACCTGCTCCTTAACACGTGTTAAAATTTATATACCCCCTGTATTGTATTGGACTTGCATCTACATTATTAAATAAATAATTAAGAAAGCCCAGGAAGTTAATTATAGTAATGTACATATTTGCATTGTTATAGTACAGGTGCTCCTCTACTTACGAACGAGTTACGTTCCTGAGGCTTTTTTGGAAGTCCAATTGTTTGCAAGTCCAACTTTACTTTTACTTTTTTTACTTTTATCCTCTTCGCCACTGATCGGCTTGTTAGCCACTTGGGCGATCGGTCATGTCTCTTTTCATTTATATTCACCAAAAGATCGGCTCGCTAGCCGCCCGGGCGATCTGTCACGTCTCTGTCACGCACTGTTGGCAAATACTGGGCATGCACCGGCTCCTGAATGTACCTGAACCCGCTCCAGTATTGGTCAAGTCTTGTCTTGAAAGAACTCACACTCGGTGCCGTCACAACACTCTCTGGTAGATTGTTCCAAGAGTTTACAACCCTCACTCCGAAAAAGTTTGCCCTCACGGTTTTCTGGACTAGCGGCTTCTTCAATCTTGAGCTGTGACCCTTTGTGGGCGAGCGTCTGCCAGCTCCAAGTATGGACACTCAACTGAGTAGCGCCCCCTGAGATGCTTACACACCTCTATGGATATTTAGTACAGCTATACCTTTTAATACAGCCTTAAAACCTGGCTCTCTTCTCTTAGGTAATGTTTGTTCTATCCGGATTTTTCTTAAAAATAATCCAGTCTCATCCACATTAAACACCTGTTCTGGCAGGTAACCCCCCCCCCCATCAGTGATGATGTTTGTATCTCTGAAAGTTTGTAAGTTGAATGTTCTTAAGTAGAGGAGCACCTGTACACTGTACAGTACATGAAAAATTCAAAAGACCACTGCATAGGCAGCAGTTATCTGAGATAAAGGTACCTGTAACCCTAAAACTTTACAGGTGGCTGCTATCTTTTTGCTGGCCTAAGTGTTCTTTATCATCTCCAACTTAACATCTAAATTGAGGTCTAGTGGGTGTCTTCCTACAAAGGGTATTGCTGCTGGTTATTTCACTTGCTGCTCACTTTCCCAACATCTCTAGATAAGATATAAATCACTTGGGAATATTTTATTTATATTTTATTATTATTATTATTATTTTTATAAGGAATAACCCACTCGGGCATAGGTCATTGAACCACAGTGGGGGGGAGGGGGGGGGCATAAAATAAGAATAAAAAAAATAAAAATTAGAAGAAAATTGAGTTCTGTCGAAGTGTGGAGTCAATCGATGAATTTAAAAGATTCTGTTGGCTTACATATTTTTTTTTTATTAGATAATATGGGTGACAAATATGTTTTTTACCCCCAAAAAAAAATATTGTAAATAGAAAGTAGGGTGTAAATTGTTTCCCATTATAAAATACAAACAATTATTGTAAGTACTGTATTCAAATCTTGGCAACCTTCAGGCTCTTACTGTCAGAAATACAATTTACTGTATACAGTATCATTGTTTCATGAAAGACTTCGTATACTGTATACAAGTCTTGACCATTATATGATGTGGTTAGGGACTTCAAAAAGGTATTGTAAGTTGATCGATCATATATCAATATTAATAACTTACGGGGAAAATAGGTTCCCTTCCCGAGACCCTGAAGAGCCAGAGTTAGTACTCACTGCGGTTATTTTCAACTCGTAATTTCTGATAGACATACACAATTTATTTTATTATATGTTTTACTCTGTTAAATGCACACACAACCATTCATACAGAATGTACCAAAAAATAATAATAATTACATAAGGTCAAAAACATAAAGGGAATAAACATTTATTGCGTGCATGGGAGTTATCACAGAGTGTAGGAAGGGGATGGGGCGTGGGGGATGTCAGCTGTTCACGGTCTCATGTCCCGTGTGGTAAAGCTATTGCCAAATGGCAATTCAACATTTGTTCTTTTATTTTTTAGTGTTATTTTTATTTATTCCTCACCTTTACTGGTGCAGTATAATGAATGTTGTTTTATGTACAAGGAATAGCTCCTTTGCGCGACGTGACACAGTTCAGCCGCTCGGCTGACTACTTCGGGGGAGGGAGTGACACATTTACACTTACAGATAACTGCCTCCACACACAAAAGTTCACCTCCCACTCATACACACTCATGCCACTCATTTTCTTATTTTATAGTTTTATGTTATGCTGTTGTATGTAGTTAGAAAATTCAGAATTATTCCTGATAGATAGAGAGTGACGTAAAATTATGAATGACACCAATGTTTATTTGTTTTCCCTACTAGCAGACAAAATTTCGTAAAATGGCATTATTGCACCTCTAGCATGCTTTTTGTAAACAAATATCTGAGGCGACGGCCATCGTAAAATTGATCTTGGCTCTCTCATGGCTGTAAAAGGTGTTATTTTTTATCATCGTAGAACTGACCTGCCATATGTAGCGCCATTGAATTAAGTATACATAAAGAATACACTACAATTATAGGTATGATAAATATGAGAAGGTTTAAAAGGTTTCTAAAGTTTTATGCATTATTGTATTGTTCTGATGGCTTGCCCAATATCAAAATAATTTGATAAACAAAAAAAATGAAAATTTGTGTAGGTAATGGAATCGTAAACATGTAAGAAGTTGATGTGTAGAATAGTTTAGCCACACAATTTGCATACATGTGCCAAGAAGTACAGTTTTGGAGTAACTCTATTGCACAAAATTATAGAAATTTGCAGAATACTGTATGCATCTTCTTGAAGTACTTGAAGAAATTATTATTATTTTTTTTAATGGGTAATGCTGCATGCTATACATATAAATTTCGATTGGTATGTATGGTACTTGTAAACATGACGATCATAATTATTCACTTTGTTTTAAGAAGCTTTATATGAAGGTGCAGCAGTACTGAATTCTTGTATTTTTTGCTTCTAAAGTATATGCTGTACCTGTAACACCTTGATTCGTAACAGATGTTGCTCTGTTGTGCCCTAGTGATGCTGACCAAAACACCATTGTATATATATATACTGTATATGATTTCTTGCTCTAGTAATTGCTCCGTTTTAGTTTGTTTCATAGCTGTGGATCCACATAATTTTTTATTCATATTTTTTTTTTACTTGTTTGCCATATTAATTAATTTTTCTTTGCAAAGTCAACTACTGTATGTAATATATATTTGGTTGCCAGAGGTATTTATTAATTTTGTTTTAATCTGTAATATTATAAACTTACTTTTATGATTTGCATTATTTTCAGCTTCCTTCCCCCTCCCTCTCTTGATTTCTTGTTCCTCCTATTTGACCTCTGAGTGGAAGTTATCGGACACTAGGCAAAATGGAGCTCCAGTTGGTGGATCAATTACGGGAAAAGCTGGAAAAAGCTAAGCTTTCTCGAGATGACCTTCAGAAAGTTTTACCACCGGTAACGAGGACTTGGGAGATACTATTAAATCATCCTATGGTCATTTGAATGTTTGACATCCTTCTTAACATGACCCTACTTGCATGAAAGTGTTCTATGATATATCTCACTGTGTTAATGATTTCATATCCCAGTACAGTATATTGTAATATTTGCCCAAATTATATATATTTTTAGCTACTTCTAGTACAGCATACAAAATACCGTATACAGGTACTTTGACTTGTTCTTCTTTTCCCTACCTCCTTCTGAGAATCATTCACAATTTAATTTTCTTTGTATTGTGCGTATTATTAAAAGTCAAGCAATTCCATATAGAGTAAGCTTATCACCATCATCTCTTTCTTAGTTTTTTCAATACTGAATCATATCTGTGTGTGTGTTAGACTTAAAGCCACCGTAAAGAAGATTGGCTTTAAAAAAATTATCGATAATGAATTTACTTTACATAGACAAGATTGCATTAACTGTACAAAATACTCTGTAGTTTATATTTTCTATTCAGACTTTTTATCACGATTTTTTTTTGTTATATAATTGAGATTTTTTCAGACTTCACGTACAAAAAGTCAGTTTTCATCCAGTATTTTACAGTATATTGCCAAATTGTTTGAGTACCATACAACATGTCTTACCCCTGATATAGGCCAGAGCAAGTGTGCAGTATTAATTCCTGGATTTTACTTATCTACTTTGCATTTATGAACCTGGACCTACAATATTTGTCTTCTATGGGTGTGGATTGAATTCTTAATAGTTGAAACACTGCACACAGGTTAAGGGTAACATATAGTGGTGGTGGAAGCTTCATACCTATGTTGCCTTTAAATTTCATGCAGAGATACCGAATATCTTTTACAGTACAGTATAGAGATTTTGTTTCTTCATTCATGAGTTTGTGTCCAAGCAAAATTTGATAAAGTATGTGCATTATATAATAGAAGAAGTCATTAGTCATTTAACCTAGTCCTTATGTTCTGGTACAATTTAATGTTCCTGATTTGCAAAAGTCTGTCAACTGTTAATTAATTTGTGCAGTACAGTAATGTAACATTTTCAGTACTGTACTGTATTTTTTGTAATATTTTCTTTATATAAATGTTGAATATACTGTACATACTGTATAATAGGTACTGATAAAAGGAAAAATCATTTCACATTACAGTCACATAGAATAGGTACACTGTACAGGTAACTGCAGCTAATCCACACAGGCTTGGAAAATAGCTAAGAAATGATGATAATGATGATGAATTACAGTACACTATACATATTCTTGGCAAAATTCATTAATAATATATATATATATATATATATATATATATATATATATATATATATATATATATATATATATATATATATATATATATATATATATATATATATATATATATATATATATAAAGAGTCAAAGACCCTTGTGCTGCACTGATAAAACTACTGTAAAAAGATCTTGATCTTATCACATGAGGAGGAACAAAGTCTATTAAGAGTATGATGGTGGTGGCAGCATGGCGGTGGCTATACCTGTAATAGTACCCTTCTCAGGTTACAGCACAGTTCTACTTAAATATTTAATCAACACTCATGTGTGTTTTTTTTTGTAGGCTATGATGATTGGTGCTAATAATTGTTGAATTTAAGTTGTGCTTATATGTGATATATTTTTGAGTTAAGAGTACCTGTACTGTATTGCATTAACACCTGGTAGTGTATAATTTGGTAGTGTACTGTGGCCTTGGTGGCCTGGCCTGGCATCCAAACTTTGCCACAACTCAGTGTCCCCCTCAGTGGCAAACTGCCAGAAATGTGGTGGTATGTACTGAAGTTGTTCACCAAGAAGCTTTGTTTATCCCGTGCCCTCACTTCCTGCTTAGCCATTTATTTATTAAACAAGCCACTAGCTTCCTTCCCCGAGTAAAAAGCTGAATCTCTTGTCACATCTTATTTACTCATTGATTCTGAAAAGCATACTGTCTTCTTAATTATTTGTTGTACTTGTTAAATATGAAAGGCATTTGTTCACTTCCACTTTTTTTAACAAAAAGAGAAAGAATTTTCTCAGGCACTGTTTGTTGTTGCATCTGAAGAAGAAAAAAATAATTTACGTCCTTCTTACTTATCCATTCATTCTGACAAAACAGCTTTGTATAATTCTATGGGGAGTCATCTACTCTTCTTGATCATAGAATGTGATTTCAAGATTCCTTTTCCTTATCCACTTTGTACATAGCCATTGATTGTAATTTTTTGGGAAAGTAGAATTAGTGTTTGATTAGCATATGTACCGGTACGTATTCTAATTTTACTTTATTTTATTTTCTATAAACCATTTAGTTCATTTGGGAATCAGTGATTTGCTTGGCAAATCTACTACTTGTAGCCATATTTCTCTCTCATTTTGGCCTTCTGTCAGGTCATACCTGTACAGTGTATGAATATTATTTTGACTGAAATGGTTGCATTCAGCTGGACTTCAATCCTAATAGTTACCTTCCAACCAAACTTAATCCTTAGGTCTGAGACTAGTTACACTAGTCACCTCTAAAGTAGTTCATTAAATTTGTGTGAGGAATGAGTGAGTTGACTGACACATTCTTAACTGTCCTAGAATTGTAGCTGGAATTAACTATCATCAGGTGTTATTTTCCTTTGTGTTTGTAATTTGGTATTATACACTGTAAGTGCAGTGATCTTATAAATGACTGCAGTAGTGTTCACTTGTTAGTACAGCTAGTTGAACAATAATGGAAATGCCTTTTTTTTACCTTTTTTATATTGTAATTTAGAAATAACTGTACGTAATGATTTTTATCCTTATTTCCTAGTTACTTTTTTGTGACTGACCTGAAGCAATGCTAATGATTTTAAAGAACTCAATTCATTATGTTAATGTATACATTTTTTGAATGAAAATCTTATTAACATGAAAAATACTGTACAGTTTTCAAAAAAGTATTTAATCCATTAACAGTGCAAACACTTCACCTCCATGTAACATAACTACCTCAAAATTCACTGTTACCTTACAATCTCTCACTGCCATATAATTTAGGCCTACTTCACCATACAGTACATATATATGCTGACCAGATAGAGCCTCACCTTGGTGCCGCAGAAGTCTTGTTGGTAATTTTTTCTGTCTGGCTGTCCAACAATTCTTTGTCCAGTCAATAACTCTAGATCCAGTAAATAATTTTTTTGTTGCACTCTCATAACTTCACTTCAAGATACTTTATTTTACATACAGAATGCATTCTTTAGGTCAGCCAGAGCTTCAAGTCTGTCTTCTTGTATTGGCATTTCTTGTGTGGCTTTGTAACCATGTTTATTCTTATTATATTACGTAACTGCTGATGCTGTTATAATGGCAAACTTTACGGAGGCCATACATACATTTTTGTCATGTTTATGTTCACCCATACAAAGTATTACCTATTGTGACACTATTATTGTATCGTAATATCTAACTTGATCATCTTTACTTAAAAGCTCGTATATCATTACTGTGCCTTGGCGAGTGGTTAGAGCAATGACCTTGGATTTCAAGGTCATGGGTTCGATCCCCGTCTGGGTTAATGTCTTCATGGGCAAGGGACTTTATCACACAGGCTACTCATGACCCAGGTGTAAATGGGTACCGGTTCATCCAGGAAGGTAAACTGCACACTCGGAATTGTGTTGATTCCATATCACTTGTGCATTTGAATTTCATAACACTGTGGGCTGCTTAACTCGAGATACAAGGTACCTCCAGGGCAGTGCCACACCCTTGCACTGTAATTTCAGATGAATTGTGATTTCATCTTTAACATTAGCACTTAGTGCTCACCCCTTTTGGCAGCCAAATTCACTGTGTTCTCATTATTCATATTTTTTTGTTTTAATCTCCTTACTACAACTATATTATATATACAGTAGTTGGGTGAACTGGAGTTAAAGAAATTTTCTTAACTCCAGTTCACCCAACTGTGAATGGTCACTTAACTTCACAATTGAAGAAGTGAAGATGCTAGAATGTAGTGCTGGCCACACTGCTTCCTTGTGTATCAAAGACTTGGTATTCCAGTATTATGCTTTATCTGCACTGCCCCTAATGAGCCATCAGACCTAAGAGCCACAGTCATTTTTCACTGTTACTGTTGCCTTTGTTTTATACTATCTTGACAGTTCTCTCTATGCTGTGTTTGTAAACAATGTTATACGTCATTGATGTTGTGTTCACCATTATATTATCATTTGTCTTCCAGTAATTGTAACACATTCATCATGCACAAGCAACTCTATAGTAAAACCATGCAGTACAGTAGTTACAGTACTGTATATGCAATTCTCTGCTGTTAATATTGTCACTTCCACCTTTCAAACATTCATTTACAATTACCATCTTCATCATAATTGCTCTACCACCATTGATGCTTCATTTATATGTTAAAAGGTCTGTCACTGTTGCTTCAATCCCTCCTGGACTTCTTGGTGATCATATGTGAATTATTTCCGGTATTTACACTACCAACCATCTGCACCTCAGTTATCTAAATGACTGTAGCAATATTTGAAGCATACAGGAAAATTTTGTTTTTAGGATTATGATCATGTACATAAAGCAGCCACTAGCTTACAGTGATAATGTGTAATACTGTAGTACAGTATTCAGGGAAGTAAAAATTAGGAAGCAGAATATCCATGTAGGAAAATAGACTTTCAGGAGTTAGCTCTCATTAATAGGTCATTGAAAACTTGGTGTGACAAACTATTAAGTGCTACCATTGATGTGTCCAGTGAAATGATAAATCAACTGGAGGAGGGTTGCTCATTTTCATGTCATGTTGGTATATTTTAAGTTACTCTTCACTCTGTGGTCACTCAAAACCACATCTCATCACTGTGAAAATCATTATAACCACATTATTTGTATTAGTACTACAGGTACTGTATCATAAAGTCAATTATCATTATTAATGTAAATACTGTATTTCAACTACTGTATGATTCCATATTGTGTTACAACAGTACAGTATTTTAATATCATACATTAACTAGCTGTTGCTGCCTTCTGCACTCCTCATTAATGCCATCTTTATCATCATCATCATCATCATCATCATACAGCCAATATAACATGATAGTTATTAGCATGATGCAAGCCTTACAACCATAATTACATTCACCATGCACTTTTTACCAAACTAATCTGTATCACTGCAAGATGCACTAAGTTAAGAAATGCAATGTAACAAAAATGGATTACTAAACCACTTTTATTGCAGATGCCACAAACCAACCAGCAACCTAACAATCAAATCAAATCTAAATCTAATGTATAAACTTAGGGTAATTGTGGACAGGTTTGGTTGGCTTGTGTGTGTGTGCTTTAAATGAAAAGGCTTTAGAAGCCCTGTTTGTGGCATAATATGTATTTAACATTATACTTTAATTCTACCACAACTGTTTTCATTCACCATTACTTTACCATACAGTAACTGTTATCATTTATGAATCCAGTATGATTATACTGTACTCCTCAGAGTGGATTGTTGTTACCCCTAAAGATACATTGAGTGTTTATACCACAGGTATCCAGTTTATATTGTGTTGAGTAAAATGACATTGCATTTAGATAACAAAGTACACTATTAGCTTGATGAAATGGTGAAAACCTTATCCAGTAGCTATCTATACAAAAATGGTTAGACTTCCTGGTTGTGAACTGGATGCCCGCTTTGGAGTTCTCCTTTACTCTCATGGAACCCATGAGAGTTTTCATCGTGCAATATGATGTAGGTTTTATTGTGATTTGAAATACTGAATTATTAATTTTAATTTTTTTTTTTTTTTTGATACTTTTGATAAAATTTATTAAATTTGCAGTTGCATTTGCATGGCCTGTTACCTAAAATATATGGGTTAAAGAGAGGTAGGCATTTTTACTTTTAGTGATGAAATGTCACTACATACAGAATTTTGATAAAGAAGACACTAAAGCTCTGCATGTCTTGTGTTATGGTTAAACAATATTCAGATTAAATTTTGCTATTAATTTTGCTAATGAAAGCTGCAATTAGAACCCTTGCTTTTTATTGTTTATTTACTGTATTTACTTTATTGTACTATAATACTTTTTAATACTTTTCCCTGGACCTTTTACAGAGCCTGTTCAAGAGGCATAGGCACGAGGCTCCGGCATACATCCCTTATTCTTTCCAAAAGCAAAAGTTGGTAAGTTGAGTACAGTGTTCTTCCAGCAAAGATGCCATTAAGGAACTGGGTCGAGATTTTAGCACATATTGACCCTTTCATGAGTAAAAATAATAGATCCTGCTCAATATGCTGATTCTTAGTTGTGCTTTGGCAGTTCATGATGTTCAAAGTTCTTTTCACTAGTAGTATCTGAATAAATTCAAAAGGGTATAAAAGTTAGTCCCTCAAATTGTTTGTACAAAAAATAACAAAAGGAAAATGTATTTTTATAGGTAAAATTCTATTTATTACAAGTAAAGGTACAGTAGTCATTCCAAAAAGTACTGTAATTACCAGTAGTTACAAGTAAATTACTTTTTGTAATTGATTACAGATACTTCTTTACATTCCTACCACTAATAGTGATCATGCTGAATTGAGTATAAGTGATCCCACTGTTTAAAAAAGATAAGTCACAATTACTTGACCATGTACAGTCACCCACAAGTATTCATATACACTGACACACTTACTGCGCCCTCCCTCCCTCCCTCCCTTCCTTCCTTCACCTCCCAACCCATTAAGTGTTACGATTGATTGGATTGATCTGTGTGGCACTGGATGGTAAATAAAAACAATAGTCAGAATTTGGTAATGCTGAAACATTTTTATAAATAATGGTTATATACTGCCATGCAAGAAAATGACTTGCAGTGTTTCGTAACATCTCAAATGCTTCGAATCCCCAGAGAAACATCAGTAACAGCTATAATGTACTACCATAAGCACCTGGAGTCATATCCAGTACGTACAGCGATATCCCAGTCCAATTTCCACTGATGCGAAAATTCATGAAAAATCGAGTACCGTACAGTAATTCCGATTGACACTTGAAATTTTGGCATGTCATTCTGGTAGGGCCTCCTCTCTCATGGTGATTCATCTTCAGTTAGCTAATTGCAACTGTCCATAGCGTAACACTCGTCAAAGCCTAATGAAGTTACTGTACCTGTTCCTTTGCAAAATAATACCTGTGTTAAATATTTAATTAAATTTGAGTAATACCCGGTACATATAAAATAACATATAAATTAACTTGTAATATGAATTTTTCAGTATAAGGGGTATTTTCCTTCATTAAGGGCAATGGTGGATGAGTATGTAGGGGTGGATCCAGGAATATCGGCTAGCCCACCTAGCTGGAGGGGGTTTGGAGAAATTTGTTTACATCTGACCAGAATCATTGGCATTTTGAGGACATGAGCACTTGATATTAGGAGATATTCTGAGGTCAATAGTAATTACATTTTACTAACCAAAAATTTCTGAGTACAATACTGCATTAAAGAAAAGGTATTGGAATTTTCTGATGAAAAGAGGGTCTCTCGATCCCCCTGTATCCACCCCTGGGATGACACTAGCCCTTATCGTAGCCTCACTTTTCTTAATCGTGCAAATTGAGGATTCATTTCCCCCCATGGCGGGTCACACTGATGTTACACTCACCACGAGCTAGTCTATAGAACACTTCAACTTTCTTTTCTAGAGTCATTATGTTCCTCGTTCTCTTCACTTTTTTCTCACCTTTATCACTAACACTCAATGCATGCTTAGGGGCTATAGTTAAAGGCAAAATTCAATGTTTATGGTAGAAAATATGTAATAAAATATCCAGTGTACAGAGCGGTAAAATACGTTTGCAAGGTACGAGATCACAACACTGAGAGAGCTGGACACTGTGCCGATGAATATATTGTAACACGGGATATGAGGCCTTGCTGAACCACGTTGACTCAAAATACAATGCCATGGTTGGTGAGGAACTATTGTAATACCTTCTGTGGATAGAATAAATGTCTGAGCTATCTGTATAGGTGATGAAAAGTATTGTGAAATGTTTTATAAGTGTCAATATGAGTATTTATAAACTGTTTATTTGTTAATATGATATTTCACTTGTTCAAACTTGTAAACATCACGTGTGTGAAGTGAGTAATAAATTCCCCCCTCTGTGGATACTATAAACATCTGTGTTATCTGTTATAGTGTTGTGAAGTGCTTTATAAGTGTCTATACGAGTTTTTATGATAATTCACATCTGTGTATCTACCACCACACCGAGAGGCAGGATTTATTTTATTAATACAGGTTGACTATCAAAAATCCGGCAACCTCGGGACCTGAGGAGTGCCGGATTTTCGAAAATGCCGGAAAACTGATGGTTATATTTGCTGTATAAGTTTAACAGAAAATGACTACCTGTACAGTCCTTTAAACAAAGAAAATTAAACACTAAATGAAAAGCAAATGAAATTTTATTATACTGTATATGCTGTATACAGTATATTTAACAGAAAATTACTACCTGTACAGTCCTTTAAAAAAAAAGAAAATTAAACACTAAATGAAAAGCAAATGAAATTTTATTATACTGTATATGCTGTATACAGTATATTTAACAGAAAATTACTACCTGTACAGTCCTTTAAAAAAAAAAAAAAAAATTAAACACTAAATGAAAAGCAAATGAAATTTTAATGTTTACCAGGCTAAACAGCAGATGGGCTGTCAGGATTATCATCTTTATCACTGACAGTGACAACATCCTCAGCAACAGGAACAGCTTCAACTTGTCTTGAAGTTGATGGCAGTGGATTATCAAGTGTGGACACCGCTGTTGCTTCTTCCTGCTTCCTAGCTATTTTCTTGAATATATCGGGCAATGTCTGTTGCTTCATATACTTGGGTCTTTCTCTAATAAGTTTATCTTGGAGCAAGAAAACATTCATGATTTCTTGTTCACTTACAAAACTTCGTTGCTCTAGTCCAGCCAGCAGTTCAGTTGTCAATGTAATTAACCTGTCAATAGAGATTCTGTCTCTCACATCTTCCTCATCTTCTTCACTGCTTTCATCTTCATCACTACCTGTACAGGCATTTCTCTCCGGACTTTTAACCATATCTACAATTTCAGAATCGGTGTAATGATGAACTGTAGGCACATTATCATCAACATCCAACCATTCTGTTAAAACATCTTTATTTATCCTTGATGAAAGCTCCTTGGCATCAGGATTAGTTACATCTTTGACATAAGCAAGAAGTTCATGTATAAGGTGCTTTTCTTTGGAAACCCTAAACCCTGCAAAATCATAGGCTCTAGCTGCATCCTTGTCTGCTGAATGTTTTTCACCACATACTGCACAAAAATGTAAGCCATGTCGCGACTTGAAACGTTGCAGCCAACCTTCTGTATAGTCACACTTGTGTTGCAATCCCAGCTCTTCATGAAACACTTTGGCTTGTTCCTTTAATAAATCGCCAGAAATTTCCACACATTCACTTACACGAAGATTAAACCAGGTTATGAGAACTTGGTCTAGTTCTGCACTTTTTCCCTCCGACATTGACTTCCTTACAAACATTTTCCTTTTTGATCCACTGTCAGAAAAGAACTTTAACAGTTTTTCTTTCTGTTTTTTAATATCATACACTGTTGAAGAGCTGATGCTGTATGTTTCACAAATGGTTCGCACAGACACGCCGCTATCAAGTTTTTTAAGCACTTCCACTTTCTCTGTGATCGACAACGCACGATGTTTACGTTTTACGCCACCGCTTTTCTTTGCTGAATCCATGATGGGGCTATACAGCAGCAATTAAATGATAAAATCAGAAGGAATAAGCATGAATGCTTGTTAGCAGGTGCAAGCAAGACCCAACAGCTGATTCTGGAGTACAGCGCTATCAAAACATAAACGGCGCGTCCAGAAAACAATGGTGCGCCAAGGCAGGAAATTTGAAAATGCGCTCCGAAATCCATGCCGGAAAACTGAAGGTTCCGGTTTATCGATTGGCGGATTTTTGATAGTCAATCTGTATCGGTATTATATTACAAAGATGTATTATTGTACTGTACAGTATAGTACTGAATACTGCATTACACTCCGGTATGTATAACAGAACGGTACACAACGTGGGGATGGATTTTTTCTTCATAAATCGCTTACAGCCAAACCGTATGTGTGCAAAATTCTGAAACCACCATAACTTACCTAGACACTTATACTAACCAGTGGAATAATACTGTACTGTAATAAAGAAGAAAAATATGTAAAAATGTAAAAAACTATAAAGGGAGTGACCAATTTTGGAATATACAGTATACAGTACATATACAGTATATATATATTTTTTTGCCAAACTTTTTACTGGATTGCTCACGATTGCTCATTCGGTTTTATTATTTCAGCAATATAGTTTTTTTTTTTTTTTTTTACAATGCTTATTGTGTTTATTTTGGTTGTTTATTGGCTAAAATACAAGTGGACTGTATTGAAAACTGTAATGCATGAATTGCCTCACCAAATTATTTCCTTTATCATTTTTTCTGGTTTCATTGTAATCAATTGTATGAAGAATAGGCTGTATCTGTAGTTGGTTTTATAAAAAAAAAATTAACCAGTTGCCAAAAAATCTATCTTGAGGGAAAAAGGTACAGTGTGGCTCTTCTGTGCAAGAAAGTCACAACTAGCTCATGCGTGGGAGGAGTTGCTATAAATAAAGCGGTGCCTGAGTGTGTTAAAAGTGGCATCTCCATAGTGTAAGGATTAGGGGAGATAGTCTAATCACTTGTGTACAGGGTCCCACTCTGCTGAATAAAATGTTGTAAGTGGCATCTCTGTAGTGAAGGGGTAAACATCCTGGCTATGTAATCTCCAGTCTGCACAACTGGGAATTCCCAGCTAATTAGCCACTTCCAGTTCAATTAAATGGTGAAGACCATCCAACCTGGTGGATAAGATAGATTTTGGAAATTGACAGCCTCAGTACATGCCGATTCATTTAGAATCATTTGGGCCCAAGGAAATTTATATTTCCTCAAATAGAAGTCTAATACGTATACTGTATATAGTACCCATAAGCTGCTCCTTAAAGCACACACAAATTGCTCTTCAAGTTTTTTAAACATCAGTGACATTCCTAAAAATTAGCCAGATTTTTCTTATTTAAAAAAAAGGTTTTATATAAAACAATGTATAACTTCATCGAGATTCTAGTACAGTACTGTAAATGTATAAATTATGAATTTTTTTTCCATAAGGCTTGTTCTTAGGGTGCACTCCCCCTTCTCATGAACATTCCAATGACCCATAGGTAATCCATTTGAATATCTGTAGGCATTAACCACACCTTGGGCTTTAACTATGCTTTTTGAAACCGTAGGCATTGCCAATAGGGATACCCTATGTCCCATGTTCTTAAATATGGCCATCGGTGTTAAAGAGAAATTTGTTCCTTTAGTTTGGTTTATACAGGTAGTTTATTTTATTTACTGTATTTTCAGGAAGCTCAAGCAAGGCTCAACCAACCTGGAGTTTCAGTCAAGCCAAAAATTCCCCGTGGCCAGGTCAAGAGATACTTGAAGGAGTTTGCTGATGCAAAAGAAGCAGGTGAATGTTTAATATCTAACTCATCAAATTTCAGGAGAATATAGGCTTGGTGGTGTCTGTCCATTTGTCTGTGTGTTGAGAAAGGATTTTCATACATTAAAGTCTTATTGGATGTAATACAGCTAGGCATCACTCAAGTCATATACCGTACATACAGTAGTTGATACATAATATCTAAGTTTTGGTCCTGAAGCTTGCCGTATTGTCTTTGCCTAATACCTAGGATAAGCCATTCCATTGATGGTTCGAGTCCTATACTAAAAATTAATGTTTGTGCATCACAATATGGCATACCTTGTATAATGTTCTAGGTGCAGTCTATGGAAAATAGAGCCATAAGAAACAACATAACAAGGTTCCAGTGGTGATGTATTGGTGACGGTGCTATTTAATGCCTGTAAGTGATGCGAGGGCTTCACTGGGTAACAGTAATCATCATCATGGTATCAGTAATGGCACTAATAACAATAATGAATGAATGATTGTATTAAAACATTTATAGATAGAAAGAATAATTTTTAATGATGATGAACATAAAAAGGATATACAATACAGTCTCTCCTTGACTTAAGACGGGGTTCCGTTCCGACGACCAGGTCGTAAGTCAAATTGATCGTAAGTCGAAAAGGCGAAAATAATACTTAGAAATTCTAAAATGGGTGTCTTTTTTCTTCTCGGCACCACGAGAACTCTCACTTTTACGCTTGCCAGCCATTTTAAAGGGAATTACAAACGGAAATTTTGTCAGTACACAGTGTGATCACTAACGTCGGTACTAGAAAATACGTAATTTGAAAAATATTTTATATGGCCCAGGCAGTCGTATGTCCGGGTTGTCGTAAGTCGAGGAGTACCTGCACAGTAAAACCCCAGTTATCTGGAGTCTGGGTAACTGGCAGATTCAGCTAACCAGCACCAAAATGAAATAATAATAATAAACTTTCCTCCAAAATAAGCTAAAATTGTAAGTTTGAATACTACGCACAAAGGATGAGCTGCCATATTTATTGCTATGATAATCAGTAAAATCAATACATAGCATATAATAAAATACAATAGCATATATTTCATGTGAAAAAAAATAGCTCCCCACTGTTTTCAGTAGTTTGCATTATTCAATCGATTGTTCATACCTGAAGCTGGCAGATGCCTGTCCCACTAGAGGTCACAACTTAAGGTTGAAGAAGCCACAATTTCAGAAAACTTTCAGGACACTTTTTTTGGAGTACGAGTTTCTAAACTCTTGGAAAAATCGGCCAGTGTGTGTTGTGACGGCACCAAGTGTGAGCTCACTCAAGACCAGACTTGACTAACATTGGCGCAGGTATAGATACATTCTGAAATTAGTCCGTGCCCAGTACAGTACTTGCCAACAAACAGTGCATAACAGAGACGTGACTGACCACCCAAGCAGCTAACAGGTCGATCAGTGGTGAAAAGGATAAAGTATAGTTACAGTATGTACTGTTTAAGATTGGGGTCATCAGCAGTTTATTTTAAGCAAAATCCTGTACCTACTTGGAGCCTTACTGGCTATGCATTGTGTAATATAGGTCAAGTTGGATGATCTCATAATTTTTAACCATCTGGAACTTTCTATTGCTGTTGAAGTAAAGGATATGAGGTACCCAGTAGAATTAGCTGTTTCTTCAGTTTTTTATTAAAACTTTTTAAATGTGATACAAACATTTTGGAAATACTGTATAGTTTATGTGCATATTGTTATACCCTGTATAGGCAATATTGGCAGATTTTTTCTCGACTTGTATTGGCTTTGAAACCTAGATATAGGGCTTTATATTTTACTTACAAAGGCAAAGCATAGTCTTCCTCTAAGGTTAGAATAATATGCCATGTCTTATACATTCTGGTACACTGTATATATTGTTAAAGATGTATTATAAGTATTTTGCCTTGCATTATTTTATAACGGCCAATGTAAATTTTTTTTAGGACGGTTTGCACACCTTCCCCCAGAGCAACTTGCAAAACTTGAGGAAGAGGTCACGACAGCAGCAACAGATGCTGATAAGTCAAAAGATCTTGAGGAGTTTCTGAGGGCTGTCCGGGAGGATCAAGGTAAGAATGGATATTTGGGGAAATAGATGAAAGAGATTAGATAAGGGGAAGATGGGGAGCTCTAGATACTACAGGTAGAAATAGGCAATAGAAATTATTCTAGATCAGGACTTCCTAAACAAGGAGTCGCAACCCCATTTGGAGTCCTGTTCATTTTTGGAGATGCCTGGCATCCTTCCAACTTATACAAAAACTTTGAATATACAGCTATTGTACAAAAATTAAATAAGGGAATAATTTATGGTGCAGCACTACCATATATTGAAATTGTAATATCGAATGACGCTATATCAAGGGTCTACTGTATAAACATCTGTTATGAGATTCAGTGCTCTACAAAGAGAAGACCAGACATTCAAAACAGCAATCTTTTGTTGAAGTCTTCACCAGGGTAACTGAAAAGATGAATGAGGAGGAGACTAAGACCAAGGTGAAGGACATGGTCCTCCCAGTAACTACACTACAGCCCCTTGCTTTAAAAGTACCTTATTTGGAAATTACATACCACATTTCCTGGCCAATAAGATGCGATTTTTTTCCCTTAAAAATTTTCCTCAAAATCACCCTGCATCTTATAAATTGAAGGTCAAATTTAAGGAAGGAAGTTTCGTTCTAAGCATGAAATTCATAGGTATCAAATACTGTACAGTCTCCAAATGACCAAGAAATATAACACAAGCTTATACTATGCTTCAAGAATGAGAATCTAATTATAGAATTGAAATTGGTATGATGATTAGCTTATAAATATTACTGGGCCTTATTTCCAATACTTGTGCAACATTATCCTTCTTACCGTTCAGTCCCGATTGTTTTGGTAAACCAATGCCATCTACAGGTAAGGGGATCAACTACCGTGTTGTTATATCTTGAAGGTACCGGTATTGCCGTACAATGTAAAAAAAATGCAAATTTAAATAAAAAAAATTGATGCATAGCATATCATTAAATACAATAGCACATATTTTATGTTAAAAAAATAGCTCCTTCCGCATTCAAACCATCCTTTGGGAGATACAACACAGTTCAGCTAAGCCGGGTACAGTATTTACTCAGCTGACTCGGAAATGTGTGTAGTTGCTGCAGCATTGCGCTGTGTGTATGCAATGATGTCACATTGCGGGAGGGAGAGCGCGGCTGGATGGCGAGTTGATGACACAGTTACAGCCCACTGCCTCTACGCACATATACACCCGTGTTCTTCATTTTTCTTATTTTATATTTTTACAAGTGATATCTCCGTTAGCCGGAACAGTTGGTGCAAAGCACTTCCGGGAATGAGAGATTTCCTGGTAAGAAGATGACTCTCAAAGCCGGAAAAAATCCCTCATCCCTGAAATTTTCTGGGTAATGGAAATATGTTCTCTGAAGTTCCAGAAATTGTGCATTACATCATCTCTTGAACTTGGAAAAATATCCTTCATTTTCCGGGTACCAGAAATTTTTTCTAGGAATTTCCGAAAAAATGCGCCTGATTTTCATCTCAAACCGGAAAATTCCGGCTTTGGGAACGATTTTCAGAGAAAATTTCAATTCCAGCTATCGGAGAATTCCGGTTTAGAGGGTTTCCGGCTAATGGAGATATTACTTATATTTTCTTTACTTCTAAGCTGCATTAAAATATTGTAATGATTTTTCCTCAAGTGAATTAATGCTAAACGAGGGGGTACCTGTACTGTCTAAAGCCACGTAGTATTGTACTTTTGCTATTAAGCTTTCAAAAAAAAATTTCCCAAAATAACTCTGATTATATTAGGATGCATTTTAATGGCTGAAGCATCTTATGGGCCAGGAAATACAGTACATTTTGGTAAATATTGTACAGATGTACAGTCACAGTCAAAAGTAATCATCCACTCCACCACCTGACCCCTGCACTTGGCCATGTCCTTTCTGCACGGTAAGTCACATGGGATGGAGAGATGAAATGGCTGGTTTGGGGAGTGGGTGTGGGAGGGTGCTATGTGATGCAAATTGCTCATCAGAGAGGGAGGGGATTGAAGAAAACAGGGAAATTCATTAAAGGAAGGAAGGAAGGAAGGGAGGGAAGGATGGATGTAAGTTTTTTTCTCACTATACTGTACTGTGTTTAATATTTTATGTACAGTACTATAGTCAAGGCCAACTATTTCTAAAATCTAGAACATTCCCAAATCTTTTTTGTTTCCGGTCCCAAGCTCGCCTAACCACAGAAGTACAATGTGTGCTATTCCGGGTGAAACCAAATTTTGTTTTTCAATAAGTTTTCAATGGTAGTAGTTTCAGATAAAATGGAAGAAATCATAAAACTTGTACCAAATACACTACCTGAAAATGAATACATTTTAGTATGACCCAATATCGTAGTGCGTACCATCAGTAATCATGCTCTTCCCATCCCCAAATTATGGAAACCTAAAAATTAATGATCATGGAAGTTAAATGCTTCAGGACTTACTCTACATTATAACACTCTTTTTGGGAAATGAAAGATGTGAAGTGTGAATTTTGGGATTGTGCATTGAAATGTTTGGGAAACCCTGGTCTAGATCATAAAGTAATAGACTAGGAGCTTGTATTATAAGAAAGAATATACTGTACAGAAAAATGCCAAAAAAAAAAATAACTATAACAAGGAAGGTGAAGGAAAATTTTCAGAAGAGAAACTTTAGTATGGACTTAGTGGCAGAACTAATGGAGGTTGTCCTCTCCTACACGGACGACTCTTATATTGGGTTACATTCACTCCACAGTGCGTATTGGTTTTCATATTTCCCACTCTTCATTATCTCTGTGATTTTTATATTTAAATTCTTATTCTTTATTTTTTTTTCCTCTCTTACTTGCCTGTCTGTCCTTCTAGTAACTGCAAATATTTCCAGCAACTTTGTTGTGACATTGATAAAGTATCAGACAGTAGTACAGTACTGCCTATTTCTGTCCTTCAGTCGAAAGTTTTATAAAATTTTTATACTCACTCAATGATACTTTGTAATGAATATTGCCCTTGTCAATCTTTCACTCTTGATAAGTATATAGATTTCTTGTTTAGAATTTGCTCTTTTTTGGTAAATGTAAACTAAGGATGTACATCTTTTAAAGTGATAAAACAATTACCAGAGGTCATTAGACTCAGAAGTAGTTCAGTGAAGTTTTAAGTACTGTTCCAGTACAATGTTGGACTAGATTTAATTTAGATATACAGTATTGGCATCAGAATTAATGTGTTTTTCTATAATATATTCAAATTTTAAAACATTTGTTGTAAATTACTGCAATTTTTCATTTTAAAAACTTGCTTCTTTTTACATACATGCTTGGTGCAAAGACTTCGAAGCAAGCATAAGTAAGCAGATTTCAGTAACAATATCTTTAAAAGTAATAATGATTCACCATTAACTAAAGAATAATGTGTAGGTCATAGCCATTCCTCAGTTGTAATAAACACAATTTATTGTTAAAATAACAGGTCAAAACAGACCGTTTAATTAATTTTTTATCAGGATGGAAAGTTTTTCTGGTTTTAACTATACTACAGTGTACCTGTATACAGTACTCTCTTTAATTTATTATATTGAATATAATGGCTAGTACTTACAGTAAATGGCACTAATAAAGCAACTAAATATTTGTAATCATAAAGCATTGTTGCTCTAATTTTTATAATTTCTTAATTATAAATTGAATTTGATATTTTCTTGTAAGTAACATTATATTGAGCACTCTAACATTATATTAAACTTTAAAAATAACCATACTTAATGACACAGCTTTAGGCACAAGTTTATGGTTTGCACTGTTGATGCAGTTTCTATAAGCATGTTTACACTGCCTCTCTCTGAGAGTTTGAACTTTATCCAAATTCTTGTTTAGTTTCTTTTTGTATTATGCAGTGATTCTCTTATCTTCATCATGCAAACAGGGTATAAGTGGGTTGAAATTTTAGTTAATCTGTTTACAAATTGGGGATGTGAGGAAGTGGTATGTGTCTTGTTTTTCTTCGGTTTCTTTCATGTCACTTCTATACTTGTCTTGCTGTAGTATTCTCCACCTGCCATATCTTCCCATTTTTTGAAGTTTGTTTCCCTGAACCCACCCCAAACAAAGATGGGAGAGGAGGAATGATAATAGAAAAATATATATATATATAAATTGTCAGCAAATCTTCTAGTCATTAATTTGGCCTTTTTTTATGTCTCATCAATTTATGATAGCCACACAAAATTTTGGTTCAGTATTGTACTTATCCAGTATCTGCCTTTGTTTTGTAAAATGTAGTCTTCTGGCCAAAAATATTAAACTGATATATTTTAGCGGATCTAAATGAGAAGCTGTAAAGGAGGCATTGTTGACTGAAAGTTGAATGTTGACCATCTTGCCAAAACCACCAATGCCAGTATGTTATTGCCTTACTTCATATGTGTAAGGTACCTAGATAGAAGCTGCAGTGCACATAATTCAGGGTTAATTAGGTTGTTTCATACTAGATGTGCCTGTTTTTCTTTATAGAAAAGTATTTGTTTTTATATGAAGCATCTTATTTTGGGAGAGGGTGATTTTGTGCACATTTTTGAGCTACACAAATATGATGCCAAATATCTCATAATTAACTTCACGTGGTTGATTCACACAGTTTTAGTTCAATTCCATCTGAACCTCGAAGATTTGCTGAGCACTACACTTTCTGGAGTAACCATTCCCTCATTTTATTTTGCATGTGATTCTTATGTCATTGGTCATTAATAATATATCAGCATTAATTTCTCCGTCTCCTTCCAGTTTGGAATTATGCTTTGAAGTTTTTGCATGCTTAATCATCAGCTCTCCCTTACACTGCCTTTTGAAAGTCTGTCTTTGTTCTTTGTTCATACCAAAATCTCTCTATTACCAAGTTTTACATTTGGACCTGTCAGATTGAATATTTGACACCATGCAACATGTTTACTGTGTCTGTTATACATAGTACAAGTAGTTAATGTCGATAGGTTTGCTACTGCCCATTTAGATTTTATACATTTGTGTCATATCATTGTCACATCACACCTTAATGTTCATGTGTCGTGATATGAGTTTCACCTGCAGGTTACCAATATATCCTCATCATTATATAATTTTTTGTGGATTTACACATTACGTACTCACAGAATTTAAACTCTTAAATAAATCATAATTAATGAGACCGGTTTAAAATAGACGTGAAGTCTTCTTCTCAATATGTTTTACTAAGTTTGCTTTACACCCCTTCATTATTAGCTAAGCCAAAAGAGATCGGGCAGGACCTGAGAAGCTCGACACTTATTGGTAAGTCAACAGGGGTCATATTACACTAAACCTTAGGTTCCACCACCCAGAAAATCCAATATGAGAATGTTTTAAATACAGTATACAGTACTGTATAAATATCCTAAGCATGATGTACCTGTTCAAAAAGCATGAGATGCTCCACTGGTAAAAAAATTTTGATTGGTGATATTCATAGATGATTTATCACCAATATTCCTTTACAGTAAGTTTTTAGTCTGTTATACTGGATAGATTTTTAGTAATACAATTATTTTTTTATAGGTCAGTATATATACAGTACAGGTATACTGTTTGGTATTTTATAAGATCGCACAGAAGAAGACTGTTAATATTTTGACTCTTAAGCATAAGGTTTTTTTATATTTTATATTTATTTTTTATTTAATTTATTTATTTATGTATTTTTTAGGAGATATGTACAGTATAGTATAAATATAAACATAAAATAGATGGTACCTCTGTTGTGGGCATGGGAGGAAGAGACTTCTCTACTGTAAAGGTTGTTTCATTAATTGGCACTTGTGTTTTGATGTGTAAATAAATGTATGAGTTGACATATAACTTTCAACTCAGATTAGAAGATAAAAGTAGATTTGGGCAGTTTTATACTTGTTTATATATACAGTACTGTATAATATATATGTGTATATATATCCTGAACATTATACTCTTATCATAAGTTTACCTTTTTAATGAATGCAAAGTTGCGGAAGAATATTCTGCCCCACATGGCTGTGGCCGGTGGAAACATCTGGCAACTCTCTCTGAGTAGTACTAAACTGGGTACGTTTCAAATCATATGAATGAACCAGTCTCAAACTCTCGTGTGGGCAGCGTTTGGATGGAACCAGTTGCGTCAAAATATTTATTTAATGAATGCCTTAATTTCACCTCCGATTCATAAAAATCTTATTCATGAGGTCGCTCATATTTTTTTCATTATAAAAAATGTCATCATTGCTGTTGTTTATAATATTATATGTTGTGATAAGTTTGTGGAGAATCTGATAACGACTCATAGGTTGTTAATTTACCCAAGTGGTGTTAATTTATACGATTTGTGCTTTGATGCTAATTATTATTTCAAGGGACTAAATAAATGGAGTTTATAATAAAAAAAACTCAAATACTTGTCTCGTATATTTAACCTGTCCAACAGAAATCAATTATATCATGCATAAATGAATTTATACAACAATTTTAATACAACCCACCTATTTGGCTCGCCTAACCCATCCAAAATACAGCCATATATAACAAATACAACCCAATTTACCAAAATAACCATATTAGTGACCCGTCCATCCTCCATTGCTGGCAATTACCTCTTGGAGTCGTTAAGGAATTGATGCCACACAGTTGTCTGTCCATTATGCGCATGTGCTAGCATGGGAGAACGCTACATCCACTGGTATTACTGATAATATGTTGGGCAAACATATTTTTTAAAAAATCATGTGTAACTGATTTTGGTTTCTTCCAGCATCTGTTCCCCCCCTTTATTATAGTGCAGGCCAATGTTATTGGTGTGGGTGACCGTCACGAGGCACCTGTAAGAGGTGTGATAATATCCATTAGAGCTGTAAAATTATCTATTATATTTTCAGTCAATTTATGCTGTTATTAACTTTTCTAATATTATATGAGGGCAAACATTCATATTGTGGCAAACATAGAGTTATAATTATGGATGACAAACAAAATATTTTTGAGCAACTGGTTTCATCCAAATGCCACCCACACTAGGGTTCGAGACTGGTTCATTCATATGGGTTTGATACGTGCCCTGTTCACTACTCAGAGAGAGTTGCCGGATGTCTCCACTGGCCAAAGCGATGTGGGGCAGAATATTCTTCCGCAACTGTACCACTCTTTGAATGACGGGAAGCTGTAGAGGTTACAAACAGATATAGAATTATCCTAGTACTTATAGTGTGCGCTTATATAAAATTCATAATTCTTCAGTTTTTATTTTGTAGAAATTTTGTCTGTCTCCTTATATTTGACTTTGATTTAATACTATACTGTATTGCATTTTATTGAATGTAATGTAATGGAAAATCCAATTTCGAAATCTCACTTTGTATAAAAAATAGTTTCATGGATAACAATTGCCTGTAAACATATCATCATAGTTTTGCTACATTCATTCCGCATAAAATTTCAGACACAGAGGACGGTCCAGGGACTTCAGAAGCACGTGAAGCTCAGCCCATTCCTTCAGAGGGCAAATTCTTCACCTCTCAACCTACCCAAGAGTTTGAAGAACCAGCTCCTATAGAGGTTGGATTTTGTTCCCTCTAGATTTAACTAATTTGCAATCTATATACAGAAGTGTGATGAAATGTAGGTGTGTGATATGGACTGATTTTATCACTCTCTTGACTTTTATACATGCACTGTACTTAGTCTGGTGACTTATCATCTGAAAGCAGGGATAACAGCTGGATTATACAGTCTCCTTGTTTGTGTGAGTGTATAAATTTCTTTATATAATCTGTAGTTCTTCAGAAATAGGGCATCCAGACTCACCTACTTATGGCGATGTAGCTTTTATCTTAACTTGCGGAAACCTCAAAGAATGAAAGGAAATGCTTTGGAGATTGGTGCATGGTCAAGTGTAGAAATCATTAGAAAGGGATAAGACAACAAATAGAAATAACTATACCGTACAGTGATATCCCCATTAGCTGGAACAATTGGTGCAGAGCACTTCCGGGGATGAGAGATTTCCGGCTAATCAAAAGACTTTCTCAAACCTAGAAAAATTCCTTATCTCCGGATTCTTTTCCGGTTACCGGGAAATGTTTGAGTGTCTAAACTAGATATCTTGCACAGAGGGACACTAACCCACTTCCCAAGAATGTTTCTGGGTGCTGGGGATGTTTTCCTTTAGTCTAAATTACCGTAGTCCATAAATGCAGTTTTAATTGAGTTAGAAACTTTTTTTTTTTTTTTTTTTACGGGGATTAGCCCACCCGGGCACAGGTCACTGACCCACATCAGGGCCTGGGAGGCGAAAATGTAATAATAATAATAATTATTCATATTAAATAAAATTTATAATAAAAATACAAACATAAAAATTAAACAATAATTTATAGTAAATAAAATTTGTAATGCAAAATACAAAATTAAAAACAAAATAACAATGATAACAATAATAATAATAACAACACTAATAATAATAATAATAATAATAATAATGATAAAGGACCATAAAGAAATGAAAAAATCAATAGTGAGAAACAATATATGTACAGTATGTTGTGTCGTCAAAGTAAGAGAAACAATTGAGATCCTGCAATTGTGTGTAAATGAGGCAGAAAGTCAGATCAGCAACCTGAGACTTGGTCACAATTTTCGTGATGCCATATAGTAGCAGGGTCTACCATTAGACAATACATTATGCTTCCAATATCTTCTGTATGATGTGAGTGTTAATGAAGCTGTGTTACAGCAAAGACTGGTGTTTTCCACTCCCATGGAGCTGTGGGGGAATAGTGGGTCTCATTTAAGTGACCTGACCTGATGCAATGTCAGGTGGAGGTAGGATGGGGGATTAGTGGTCTCGCATTACTGACGTTCTGGTGGAATGGGGGATTAGTGGGTCTCATGACCTGAAGAGGTCTTGAATAAACACGAAACCTAAAGTATTTTTAGGGAGATTGTGATAAGTATAAATGAGCAAAGTTGTATCGTTTTAACATTACGTTACATAACATTTTAAAATATGGAATGAGAAAGCAGAAAGGTGTGGGTAATTAGAGAGATGGAGTGGAAATGAGTTTGTATTGCCAAGTGCTCCTCAACAGCTAATATTTAACTCGCTACAATGCAGTCACACACACGCAGATGTGTCCTACAATAAGACCCTCGCTCCTCATGCTTGCTGTCTTAATTCCCTTGTTGGGGGTGTGTGAGTGGTGTTGGAATGTGTGTGCATGTGGATGGTGTGATATTGGGGTGTGTGGTTGTGGGGGGAGTGGTTGTTAGAGTGTGTGCAATGTTGGGGGTGTGTATTTGGGGTGTGTGTTGGTGGGGGGTGGTGTGGGTGAGGGTGGAGTTGGGGGTGATGGAGAGGTGTGTGGGTGGGGTTGGAGTGTGTGGGTGGTTGTTGGAGGGTGTGTTTGTGTGTGTGTATGTATGGGATGTAGGGGTGTACAGTATGTGTGATGTGTAGCACAGTGTGGGTATTGTGAGCTGAGTGTTGTTGACGGAAGCTAAACCTTTTTTTTTGGTGGGGTAAGGGTCACGTGGTCAGCCCCCCCTCCTCCCTCAAGCGTGGCTAATTGTGATAGGGAGATGAATTTGATATCATACTGATCCTTAATAAATCTTCTACGAGACGTTTCCAATGAGATATCCCTTAAACGGAATGTTTCGATATGATATAGTGATGGGAATTCCATTCTTTTATTAAAAAATTTAATAAATAATGATACTGGAGTCAGTAAAATAAATTTTAATTTCGTTACACTCCATTTTTAATCTAAATAATCCTCAATACTTTATCTAAAAGTTTGGTTAAATAAATCTATTTTACAAAACAAAAGCTCTATAAGATAAGGGTGTGAATAGAGTTGTTTCTTTTACTTTTATCCTCTTCGCCACTGATCGGCTCGTTAGCCGCTTGGGCGATCGGTCATGTCTCTGTTACGCACTGTTGGCAAGTACTGGGCATGCACCGGCTCCTGAATGTACCTGAACCCGCTCCAGTGTTGGTCGAGTCTGGTCTTGAAAGAGCTCACACTCGGTGCCGTCACAACACACACTGGCAGGTTGTTCCACGAGTTCACACCACGCATTCTGACAAAGTTTGTCCTCAGTTTTCTGGACTTGCGGCTTCTTCAACCTTGAGCTGTGACCCTTTGTGGGGTGAGCTGTAGTTATTTATGCAAACATCACTGTACAATATTGTTCATACAGTAAACATAATAATGTATACTACTGTAAATATTGTACTCACCAGCATATCCTGTCATCTTTAGCCTAGAATAGGCAGACACTTCACTCAATTGACTGTAATACATAACTAATCACGTCTTAACACTTGTGATGGAGGTTGGGTGGGAGATTATTGGGTCATGTTACTAACCTGACCTGATGCAATGTCAGGTCACCCATTGTTGGGTGGGGGATTAGTGGGTTTTATGACCTGAAGATGTCTAGAATGACTCAAATTAATCATTATCTTAAAAGGATTCCAGCAGTGTAAGTTATATTCTCTTAAGTTAAGTCTGTGACATTTTATAAGAGAAAACTTTAAGCCTAAAACAAATTCATCCCATTAATCATTATCACCGCCATCTGTCCCCTTCACTGCTGGCTGGGAGGTGGGGTGTCGACAGCCAGGAGGGGAGATTAACACATACTCAAGGATTATAAAAGGCAGGGAGTTTAAGTTTTTCGGTTATAAAATATCACCTACTTGATTTAGCAGAATATAATTTGCATTGCTAGAAATATTGCAAAAGATGGTGATTAATTTGAATATAAACATCCCATAGTTTGCACCAGACATAAAAAATTTAATAATTAATCCTTTGAATGTGGAAGGTTACCCTAAGCTGAAAAAAATCGTCTGGTGGTAGCGAGAATAAAATGGCAAGTGGGGGAAATGCAGCGAAAGGGTTAACTTAGTACATTTGAGTACAGGTTGTGAAAATTTATGAGGTTGCTCAGGTGTGGTAGCAGTTGCAAAGCTTCTTGACATCACTAGTGTATGTGTCTCCAAATGCCCTGGTTCATTCATTGATCAGTTGTCTAAGTGCAAAAGTAGCCCTGTTGTGCCGTCATGTATCAATTAATTTTAAAATAGAAATTATAATGTTAAATGTTATAAGACAATGGTTTAGTAGTGCTGTTAATGTGTGTGCTGTGTAAGTGTCTTGGCATGTCACCTCACCACCTAACTCCTGAACAAACACTTCATCAACTTCTTCAAATCCTACAATGTGCTTGGCAATCTCAACAATATTTCTTTGAATGTTTGACACACACACACATCCAGTGAGGGTCTTATGTGACTGCATGGAGGCGAATTAAAAGGTCAACTGTTGAGGAGCTTATCGCTTGGCAACACTGGTACATGTTACACTCCTTTCCACTCCATCTCTCTAATCACCCACACTTTTCTGCTTTCTCATTCCATATTTTAAAATGTTATGTAATGTTATGTTGAAGGAATACAACTTTGCTCATTTATTCTTATCACAATCTCCCTAAAAATAAAAATACTTTAGCTTTTGTGTTTATTCAAGACATCTTCAGGTCATAAGACCCACTAATCCCCCACCCAAGAAAGGGTGACCTGAGATTTCATCAGAAGGTCAGTAATGAGACCACTGATCCCACACCCTACCTCCACTTGACATGAGTCAGGTCAGGTGAAGTCCCCCAAAAATAGTTTAACTTTTGTCTTTATTCAAGACTTTTCAGAAAATCCTCTCGATTTTCAACCTCAGAAAATTTTTTCCTAAAGCCGGAAATTTCTGGAAAATTCCGGCTTTGAGAATGATTTTCTGAGCAAATTTTATTTCCGGTTATCGAAAATTTCCGGGTTTCGGGGATTCCGGCTAACGGAGATATTACTTGTGTGTATATACAGTAAAGCCTCGAATAATGATGCTAATGTGTCCTCCAACTTTGCACTGTAAGGTGAATCGTCTTATCGCGAATCATTAATTACCATTAAAATAAAGCAATAATAATGAGATGCGTTCCCAAGTGTGACCTTTTCACACCTATTGTGTGGCTTTTTACACTTTTCCCCCCAAAACAATACAAATAATGAAAATTGCAAACTATGTTCTTTAAATAATGTTTCTGAATACACCTTATACAATATAAATGAATAATAATATGGTCACACAAGAGGAAATGGGACTCCATTGTTTTTGTTTGTCTTTACAGCCGGGAGTCCGGGACGATACTTCTACATGAGAAAATTAAGAAAATAAGACCCTGGTTGTAGCTGTAGTAAAATTAATGTAAAAAAATTAATATATATGTTTTAAGTAACGTTATTTAATGTTAATAAATGGAACAATAGAAGTAGCTAACCACTAATGGCAAAGAAAAAAAAGAGATGGATTGGGAACGCCAATATATACTGTACGTGTGCATTTAAGGGTACCGCGTCATTTATCTTAAGAATATGTACAAAAGATTCATTATTGTTTATTACTGAATATATATATATATATATATATATATATATATATATATATATATATATATATATATATATATATATATATATATATATATATATATATATATATATATATATATATATATATATATATAATTTAGTAATAGTTTGCTTTATTTGTAGGAGGTTATCCCACCCCCACCAACATTCCCTGAAGACCCTTGGCAGGCTTTCATCGACTACATGGCGAGCACAGAAGGAAGCCAAGATGCACATATCGTATTGGGTCAGGAGGGCCACATCATTGAGCGTGGCATGCATAAGGGCAAGGGCATTGCCGTCCTCACCAGTGGAGGTGACTCCCAGGTTAGCCTTTAATTTAGTTATTTTTTTTTCCTGTTGGGCACAATTTTTATGATCTTCCTAAAATATTTTGTATATCATTGAATTTTATTTGCCAGATTGAATTAATATTTAGACAAATACATTGGAATGGAAGTAGACATGTGCTTATAGCACTTCCTTTGTTTATCATCCAACTCTTAGGGTTTAGTATATCTTTTTCTTTTTAGCCAGTGGTCCTTTGTCTTTTCCCTTTCCCCAGTGGTCTGTTGAGCCTATGTCCATGGCCCATTTCATCATTGCATTCATCTCTTGGGTATCACTATCCAAGTAGAGTTTATTCTTGTTCCTTGCTTATCCAACTGTTTATCTTTTTCTGTTCCTCCTATAGTAGATTGTTCATGATTGTGCAGTTGTGCTTTATAGTATATGTAAATTTCTATAACCATTTGTGTGTCCAATGAAACCATTTTTCCTTTCCAGGGTATGAATGCAGCCGTTCGTGCAGTAGTGCGGATGGGTTTATATGTGGGAGCACGCGTGTATTTCATCAAAGAAGGTTATCAGGGCATGGTTGATGGCGGTGAACACATTGCAGAGGCTCACTGGTCATCTGTCTCTGGAATCATCCATAAGGTAATATTGTAGTTTGTATTCTTGCATATGAGAAGTTTGTGACTTGTTAATTATTCAGTGCCGTTTTGATGGTTTTCTTCGAGTACCTTTCCAGTTGAAAGTTCGGAGGGGATGCTTCAATGTTTCTTGTCCATCTGCTTATCAGTCTTTACAAATTTGACTTGCACCTCACATTTCGAGAGATAGAGTGGATTGATTTCAGTATTGGTATTAAAGTGAATTATAGTAAGTTCTTGTGGAATTATTAAACCTGTTGTAAGCAAATGTAGTTCAATCTGTTTATAGCCTGCCATTGGGCCATGAAGCATTATGGATATACCTATTTAGTCTAAAGATTGCCACCCAGGTAACTTACAGCATTAATGTTTGGCATTAGTTTTAGGGTTTAAAAGTCTTATTTTACAATCTAAGCTTTCAATGAGGGATCTAGGAGATGATAGCTCACCATTGAAGGCTGAGAAATAAATAGCTGAAGTCTTGGCATTACACCAGTCTTAACAGTCAGACCTTCTCTTGTTCATTATCATCTACACTGGATTTCCATTATTGAAAAACCTTTGATCTGTCTGTTCCCAATTCAAACCAGGTCATTCTCGAGATAGTATTGCTTCATAAGACCAAATTTGTGTTTATACTCCTTATTTTTCACTAGTTGATGTCTTCATCTGTCACACAACTCTTGCATTTTCTATTGCAGTAGGGTCTTCATAATCCAAAATGCTTGCGACCAAAGGTATTTTACATTACCAAATTTTTTAGATTGCCAAACCCATAGTTATTATGTATCCATAAAAATGCTGTCAGCCAAAAGCTTGAAAATATTTTCATTTGTCCATAGAAATGTATTGTGTTCATAATACTGTATATTATTTCATGTTGCATCACATTGTTCAAGAATGCTTGTCCAATGTATAGTGAGGTATACTTGTCCAGTACAGTAAATCCTCTTTGATCCGGACCCGAGAAATTCGGATTTCAGAAGATCCGGACAAAAAATTTGGGGGTTCTGGCCTAAGAAACCTCCTAGAAGTTTCCCTAAGAAACATTCCCAAACCAGAGCAAAAAACATTTTAGGCCCGTGTTTGTGGGAATATTATTTCATTCACTCTAGTAATGATACAATGTTTCTTATTATGTTATCATAGGTAAATGCATGGTTTATATACGGTAATTTGTTTATCACTATATTAATACTGTATTTTTGGTGTTTCTTATATCATTTATTATTTGCCGGAAAATCGGCTTTTCCGGACAAGTGGTCTCCCCTTTTAGTCCGCATCTTCAAGGGTTCCACTGTACTGTACTAATATACGTACTGTGTATGATTTGTTATTATGATTCATACAGTAGTAAAGTGTACTTTTGTATGATGCCTACCTATGTTTGCAATTTCTGTGGTTTTTAGTATAAAATTCTTATAAATACCCATAAACAAACCATTTGCTTTTATTGTACTGTATAAATCTCTTCTAGGGTGGCACAGTGATTGGTTCAGCAAGGTGCAAGGACTTTCGTGACCGTGAAGGCCGCTTGAAGGCTGCCAAGAATCTGGTTAAGCATGGCATCACAAATCTTGTCGTAATAGGAGGTGATGGATCCCTTACTGGAGCAAACTTGTTTAAGCAGGACTGGGCAGCACTCCTTCAACTGCTTCTCAAGAAGGGTGAGTATATACAAGTGATATCCCCGTTAGCCAGAATAATTAGTGCAGAGTTCTTCTTAGGATGAGAGATTTCCGGGGAATAAGATGACTCGCTCAAACCCGGAAAAAATCCCACATCCCTGGAATTTTTCCGGGTACTGGGAAAAGTTTATGAGAGTCTAAACTACACATCTTGCATGGACAAACACTATCGCACATCCCCGGAATGTTTCTGGGTGCCGAGGAAAGCTTTCTGATAGTCTAAACTACACATCTCCTCTCGACTTTAAACTATGCATTTCATCATCTCATCTCCTACTGACAAAGAATCTCCCATTCAGGGAGGGGAGGGGGGTACAAGAAGTTGTGGGTGGAGGAACATGGTGAGTGCAGTGAACCCCCCTTTTTTTTTCTGATCAATATCATGGTTTTTTATGCCATTTTCAAGCCATGCACACTTGATATTAGGAAATATTCTGAAGTCAATAGTAAATACATTTTGCTATACAAAAATGTCTGAGTACAATACTGTATTAAAGAAAAAGTATTGGAAAATTTTTGAAAATAATATAAGGTAACTAAATCCTTCTAAAATTCCAAACAGGAGAAATCACAGAAGAGGAAAAGCAGAGTTATTCTCATCTTAACATTGTGGGTATGGTCGGCTCCATTGATAATGACTTCTGTGGCACTGACATGACCATTGGCACTGATTCTGCACTACACAGGATCATTGAGGCAGTCGATGCCATTGCTGCAACAGCATATTCCCACCAGCGTTGCTTCATTTTGGAGGTCATGGGGAGACATTGTGGGTAAGTGCCTGGGCCAAATGGCTTGTGCTGTAAGTTACCTTGTAGTAGTTCTCTGTTGGGGATTACATTTTGAATTTATGCCCTCCCCTCCAATCCTTATTAAGAATGAGATAACCTAAGTCTACCTACAATAGCTTAGTGGTTATGGGATAGATGATATGTCACAACATTAACCAGCATTGTCCCATGATTTTATCTTGTTGTAGGATCTCATGTGACCACAAACAACATCTGGCATAAATTACCTCAAGTGAATCTTTAGTTTAATGTGATGATTATTAATTGTAGAAGCTTGTGAACACAGTGTTGATATTTTGTTAATACAAATAAATGTAAAGATAATTGATTAGGCTATTTATTCAGTCGGATATTAATTATTGTATTCATGAACTCTACTTCTTACAAAATGTCATGTGACACAATGAAGCTTCTAGGAGTCGACATAAACAAATCCAAGGTAAGGTGCTATGTAGGCCTGCCTAGGGATCTCTCAACTTATTAAAATACAATATTTAATATTATTTTTCTTGAGTATGCATACATCAAGGTTTTCTTTATTTTTATATTTAAGTCTGAAAACAAACATTTAATTGTGTTTGCGTTAGGAAACAAATGTTGATATAGCAAGGTAGAAAATTTTACATGATGCAAGGAAGAAAATTTCAAGTATTTTGAGAATTTCCAGTTTTCTAAGAATAAGTTTTGAGATAGGGTTAAGTGAGGGGAGTAAGTCAGTGACTGAAAGGGTAAGAATGAAGTGTGGAGTGTCAGAATGGAAAATATGGTGGGGGGATGTTTGTCCCAGAATATTATGTTACAGATGAAAGGTAGGGTATAAGAAATGGGATACAGTACAGTACTATGATTGTGTATGCACTGGGTGAAAAGAGGAAAGTGAGAGGCTTTGAGGAGACCTGAATAATTGTATTGAAGGCTTCATTTTGAACGATAGTAATAGGGGATTTCAATGCAAGTATTTGTGATAGGAATTTGGAGGGGACATTGCCAGAAGTTAATTGAAATGGAGAGAAACATGTGATGGCAGGCAGAGGTGGTGTAAAAAAAGAAAGAATGTCACAAGGAATTAGGGAATGGAAGGAATTGAGAAGAAAGAAGGTTGTTAGGCTATAACCTTTGCAATTTGAATTGAGTAGGGAGATAGCAAGACCAAAACAAAACTATTCCACAATTGGAAGGTTCAGTGCTCTTGAGACTGAAAGAAGTGAGAAGGTTAATAAAGTTGGCAAACCGAAGAAAGAAAATGTGGCTGAAAGATTTAAAGAAATACTTGAAACTAAAGTATTTCCACGCTAACCTGGCCCGTACGCCACACCCCTTATCTATAGCTACAAATAGCTGATTGATTCCCCTGAGCATTTTACCTCCTCCCCCGGGACTGCACGTATTTATATCGACCTTTTATGATAAGTATTTAAACTAATGCCTCGAAATCATTTGCAGTTTGATAGTTCAGATATTTAACATTATTTTAGATAATAACAGGTCTGCTTACCAATTGTGAACACATTTGTGTTTGAATTTTCTATGAACCAATCAGCTATTAGGATAGAAGAGGGGCGTGGCTTACAGGCCAGGTTAGTGTGGAAAGGGTATAGGTGGTCGAATATTAATGTGTGTGCGAAGTTAGAAGGGTTGAAGAGAAGCTGGGGCAGTTCCAGAGCACAGTCTTAGAAAGTACAGCTGAGATGAATGGGTACAGGAGATTTTAGAGTGAGCTAGGAGTGTCACCAAAGGACCTTCTCTTAGCTGATAGTTGCATTACTAGTCATCTTCTCACCCATAGGTATCATAGTATAATATGTTTGATTTGGTAAAGGATGAATCTTGATGAAGTTTACAAAGGCAGAACAATTGGTGGTGGGTAAGTATTTCTTATCAAGGTTAGCTATAGATTTTTTATGCTCTGTACAAGGATATTTTATTCTCATTGATTCTCAGTGTCTTTTTGGATTCTCATTGGCTGCTAGTTTCATGTGAATTCCAGCTTTGTGTGTAAATGGAAACAAAGAGTGCTTCCACTTCCTCAAGATATATATTTTTTATCTATACTGTACACAGGTACAGTTACTGTACTGTATATATAGAGAGAGAAAAGGGTTAAGCTTCACAATTGAACAGGCATCCTGCCTACTATCTGTAAATTCTTCTTTGGATTATCAATTATTTGAATGTATTTCAGAACTTCAAGGACTTGTCGCCAATATGTTTGACTGAAAATATGCTAAAAGCTGCTGATCTGTTTATTATTTGCATTGAAACTGATAGTTTTTGTGTGTTAGTTTTAGTGTCTTCCTTTTTTGTATTGTTTTTTGAGATATTATCAACACAGTGATTAAGTCTCAGATTGCCCTTGTGCTTCCTGGCAGAGAAGAAAAGGGTGTGTGGGTACCAGTTGCCACTAGGGAGTGATGAGAAAAGGGAGTTAGGGATATTAAGAGTTAAGGAAAAAGAAGTAGGGAAGAAAGCACAGGCAGGAAGAACAGATGACAGATGGCACAAGATTATAAAGAGAACATTAAAATGTTCTAGAGGGAACTGGATGGTGTGAGTAAACAAAGAACAAGTTGGAGGAAATGGCAGTTGAGAAAGGAAAAATTAAATTATGAAGATTCGTGTAATCTTTAGAAATGTGACAACTGACTGCTACTAATTTTTATTCTTCCTGTTCAGTCGAGAATGTTAGTCTTAGGGCTGATTTATATTCTATTTATAAATATGACATCTTCTCTATTACCTTTAACCAAATTTCTGTAGCCATCTATTAATATGACTAATATCTTTTGAGTGGTTCTTATCTATCAATAGCAATAACTAATGCTCTATTGTGACAAATAAGTGAATATACACCAGCATACAATTCTACAGAACAGGCTGTTTACAGAGAAACAAACTAGTGTAATTCACTAACACAAATAGATGGTAACTACCCCACAGAACCAAGGAGGAACTTCTCGGAAAAAGAATATGCTGTATTTAGAGTGGAATATGAAGTATTACATCTTTTATGATTAAGTTTTGGAGCACTCAAGTTATTTAAATTCACATAATCAATATTACAACTGAACTATTACGTTGAACATAGCATTAATATTGTACAATATATGCCTAACACATGTATGACGACAACATTCTTCAGCCTTTATCTAAAATTACTAACAACTTTGACCTAAAGTACTAAGTGTTTAGTTCTTCTTGTGGATGACTAGGTTACTGGGTCAGGTATTCAGAAATGCACTAGTTGGATAAAAACTCATATATTTTGATTGGTTAGGTTGTGGTGTATAAGTCTAATGCCTCGTTTACATGAGCACTTTTTGTCGCTCAACTTGGAATTCAATGAAGTTCAGTGAGGCCTTTCACCCAAACGTCCATCAAATTACATTGATTTACATGACAAAATATGTCATGTGAAAGAGGCCTGACAGTTAAGCCATGTCATCATCAATACAGGGGGTCCCCGGGTTACGAACGGGTTTTGTTCCTGAGGACATTCTTTAGTCGGATTTGTATGTAAATCAGAAAACATGCTATGTGCATACCGTACTTACAGAACAATGTTTAAAATCCCATTAAATCGTAGCCTAAGTCTTTATGTACATCTAAAATCACTTAATTTAAGATAAAGGAAGAAATAGAATGACAAAATACAGTACAGTATATGAAAGTAAAAAATAAGTCCTCCGGTAAATAAAATACTGTAATTTTCAAGTTTAGCCCCATTCATATTGGCGGGTGGGTGTAAGTCGGGGACCCCCTGTACACAATTCTCACTGAATTTGATTCAGAAATCTTGAGTATATTAATCTCAGTGTTTGACTTTGTAATTAGAATTGCATTACTTTGATAAACCTTCCTTAATGTGATTGGTATTGCAGGTACCTGGCTCTTGTAGCCGCTCTGACCTCTGAAGCAGACTTTGTGTTCATTCCTGAAAACCCTCCTGCTGAGAACTGGAGGGAAAAGATCTGTAATAAACTGCAGCAGGCAAGATTAAATTCCTCTACTATTTTTATTTTTATAGTCTATGGTGTACATATGCTTCAGTGCTTTACAGGTGACCTCCAGCACATTTATGTTGATCCTTGGTTTTTCTGGAAGGTTCAGAGTTGCTTCGTGACAGTAGATCTTCAGCTTTATAACTCTTTCCTTGTATGTTTGTGGACTTTTTTTTTACTTCTTCTCTTAGAAAAGTGTGAATAGAATTACAGGTTGTTTATGGTGACAACATAGCATAGAAAGTAGCAACATGGTATTACAGAAAATTTTGCTGCTTTTTATTTTTTCAGGAGGGTCAAATTTATTTATTAAAATTTTACTATTAGTTGACAGGTTGTCATAAATCCTATGTTTGAATTCTTTTACTTTTTATTTTTCTCCACCTCCTTAATCTCCTCCTTGCTCTCATAAAACACATTTTACATGTTAAACCCCCCATATAAATCCATTGACATCAAAATAATACATTTGTTTGGTTAACAATACCTTGGTAATCTGGAAAAAAAAATATATGACCACTCCTTCTGTGTAACAATCATCATGACCTTGAATTACACTTGACCTTAACTCCTTAGCTATCTGAGTGTGTCAGCTAGTATAGCCTGTGAAGCAGACTTCATGTTTGTTCCGGAGAGTCCACCTGTTCACGACTGGCCGAATAAACTGTGTGCCAAGTTGGAATCGGTAATGTGTATTGGAACTATCTGTGCGTGGTTTGCATTTTTTGGCCTAAGAGTTCTTGTTTAATATGTGTAAACTCTCATGAAGTAAGTGTTCCAAATTATAGACTTATTTAATTTTGTTTGAACTGAAGTTAGAGGGATTAAAAATGTGCGTGAGGTAGGTGTTAAATGACAGTGGAGGGATTTGCAATGTAACTTCAAACGTGTGGGGATCTTACTGCCAGTTTTGAGAAGATTTGCCTTTACCAATATTATTGGTGATACAGTGCAACCTTGAGTATCAGGAACCCAGAAATATGGAATTTTCAGCTATTTTGAAAATTTGCTCCTGATTTCTACTATATCAGATGTCTATGAAACCCTCAGAAATTTGGAAGGAGCGAGTGTTTCAGAAAGTGCGGGTGTAGTACACAGACGTGCCACTTATATGGCCTTTGTTGTTTAAAGTCTGGTGATAAACAAATCTCAGTTGACAGTGAAGCTGCTCAAAACTTCATGATTACCAAGTAACTTTATTAAGTTAGTGAAGGCTGAAGGACAGCTTTGAACAAGTATATAATGCAGTCAATACATTTTATTTTTTAAGCCTTGTAACATGCTTATTAGCACAGAGGAAAAGTTAATGTGTGGAATGGAAGGGACTGAGGAGAGACTTTGCCATTCTAATGTTTGCAAATGCTTTTATGGGACCCACTTTCATTCTACTGTATTTGGAAAATTAGACAGGATTGTACAGTTGGCAAAAAAGTTATTAAACAATATGGCAAAATGACCAAAATGCTGGCAGCCCTGATGAATGGAGAAGCTTGACAGGCAGCTACTATGGCCTGGTTTAGGGGTAGAAAGAAACCGTATTGGTAGAGAACATTATGGTTATAGTGAAGTACAGGGTATATATTATTTTCAATAGATTACTTCTGCTTTATTATCATAGCATCATTACCTGATCTTCATCTGGAGTTGTGTAGTGAGGGCAGCCACTCCAATGCTTGTCACTGGTGGCACCATTATCTTGATAACGCCTAACCCATAGTGATACAGTGGAGATCGTCACCCTGATCCACTGAAATTTCTCTATAGTTTAAGCCCTCACCGTGAAGGGCAATGATAGCAATGCACCTCTTTTGGGGGGTCTCCATAGTTGATTACCGATCACGACTGAAGTTTACCTCATTGACTCAGATGACCTTGTATATGAAGATGAGTTCACCATGTTTCAAAACAAGATTAATATTTGTCAACTACCCCTGTACTTCATTGTAGCCTCATTCCCCTTTTGTATTCTCTAATATCCTTAAATCGATGTACTGTATTTATTAATAGACATAAAACAATTCCAATTGTAGCTTCAGGTTTAAGGAAGTTTTACTATAAAATTGAGCCACATATTATTATGAAATATTGAGTCCCTATGCAGCCAGGCATACGAACCATTCTGAGATGACAAGACCCATAGTGCTTACCGAGTATTCTGAAATCTGTCGTGTCCAGCTGTTCAAAAACTTTTTTTTTTTTTGCTGACTGTTCATTGAAACCCTGCCCTCCCCCTTTTCTATCTTCCAACCCCCCTAGTGTAAACTTAAATAACCTGATTAAATTTTCCAAGGAAATTAGTAATATCCTTTATTTTCGATTTTTCCTCCTCAGTTTTAGTAATGTAGTTTAATTTAGAAATAGTGGTAGAAGAATGATCCACTTTTTCTTGGTGAGAGTTAATTTCTTTGACTACAGTCTCAACTCAGAAAAGGGGTATTGAGACCATGAAATTAAGTGCAGGATACGTGAAGGCATGTCAATAATATACCTAATGTCAGGCCCACATGTCTGACGTTGAGGTAGCTTCACAATGGTGTACTGAGGTGGTCACATTTTGTCTATGTACCATCCTATCCTTTTTCAGCCTTCCATAAAAGAAAAAAATGATGGCAGCAGACAAACATATACATGTAGTACAATGTATTAGTATAAATAGGATGGCTTTAGATATACAGTGGTCCCTCGGTTAACAAGCACAATCCGTTCCAGCATGTTGCTCGTTAACTGAAACCATTGTTTCAATGGGTTTTTGGGTAATTGGTTCCAGCTCACAGAAAATTGCCTAAATTCAACAAAAAATGTAGAAAAGCACACTTACTTTGAGGTGTGTATGTAGAGGGCTCCTGGATGATGATGATGGGAATTAGAATGGGGATGGAGGAGAAGGGAGAAGAGAAAGCATTGGGGTGGAAGAGAAGTCGCCCCATGGCGCCATTTCACCCATAAAATTTTAGTTCCCTTGGTGTAATTCAAGATTATTTTCTTTAAATCAACACTGCACTGCATTATATATTGTCTATGTAAAATAAATTTCAAAATGGCCAATAATTTGCTTGGAAACACAGAAAAAAAGCATTTAGTTACCTCCACTGAAAAGAGAGAGAGACTAACGCCTGTTTGTGTGTTAACAGGCTGGATGGCGTGCCAGAAACTAGTTTCTTTACCTTCAATTATGTTCAATAATTGTTAAAATGACTAAAAAATATTAATATTAAACTTTTAAAATTATTGAATAGTATAAACTTCTTGATATTTACTAAAATAGTAAGGAATTTAAGCCCTAAAACTGATTACTGTATTGGCGGACTAATACTACAGCTGGTGGACCGCCAAATGCAAGCGAAAACATGTTGAGGTCGGCTTGTAAAAAACTCGTTAATCGAGGGATTGCTCGTTAACCGAAGTTAAGAATCTTATGGAAGGTAACTCGTTAACCGAGGGATCACTGTAGAACCATTCTGTAGAAATAAATAAAAAAGATGAAATTAGAGGGGAGCTTATCTAAATTAGGTATAGGAGTATAGGGGAATATTTAGAACCATATGTACAGAAAAATAGGACACCACCTCCATTTAGAAAATAAGATCATTTTGTCGAGTTTCACTTAAGCTATGATGTAGAAGCTGCCAAAAAGTAGGATATAATACAGTACTGTGCATTAAGAGACAGGTGCTTGTACTTGTAGATGGGGATTTTTTTTTTTTTGTGATCGTAAGCTCTTCTGCTCTTAGGTTCATGGAGACCTGGAGGTCCTTGTATACACTTGTTTGCAACTAATGTTTTTGTTTTATGATAAAATGTTGTATTTCAAATATAGAAGGGATATGGAGAGAAGCATACAACAATTAGTAATGTGAAGCTGTTTAGTAATACATTTTAGAGACCATTAGTATGCTCAGTATTTTAGTTAATGTAATAATAATATACGTGCTATAGTGTATACAATGTATGTCACTAAGACTAGTTTGTTTGATAAAAATATTAACAAGGGGCAAAGGTCATCCATAAGTTTAGGGATGTTCATCTTTATTTGTTGAGTTTAATTGCACTTGAAAAACAATATTTTGGAAATTTGCTTCATACATCACTTATTCATATAGAATTCATGGGAGTTTACTGTGTTTGTTTGTATTTTCAAAGCTGATAAATATGAGCGTTCCACCCTTTTTCCTTTCATTAACTGAAAGTACAATACCTCAATTATACACCAGTATATAGTGTTCATGGATAATGCAGTGTCATCATTAAATACTGATTTCAGCATGCCTAACCATGTTTGTTTTCAATAACCCATGGCTTTATGGTTTGAATTTGCTTTGATTGCTTACAGACAATAAAATATGTATTTTATTTGTGTTTAATTTAAGTAGCATTTCCAAATATTTTATAAAACTCCATTTTATATTTTCATGTTATGAGGGTCTGTTTCAACTTCATTCTGCCATCTTTACTTCCAAAGTTCTTTTGGCTGTATTTTTTTATAGGTCACTGTTACAAACAACCCCTTACACTCTTGTCTTTGTGCTGACTCTTTGACCTGATATCGTCTTCTCCAAAAAAAGTATTCTGATCGTGTTTCAGGCTCCTAGAGTACATAGTTTACACATTGCGCTGTATATCTGTGCCCTTAGGTATTGTTTCAGTTGTGGGTTCTCATCTTCAATTTTTTTTTCATCTGTTGCTGCTTTTCACTAAACTTCTTTGCTCTTGCTCTAAACTATTTCCAGAAGGTGAAGTCTTGCTTTCATAAGGATCCTTTTAAGACAGGTACTCTACCACATAAAATCAATAGTTTTCAACAGTGTACATTGAAGGCAAAGCAGAATTATCAAGCAGATGAAGCATGAGTTGTCTCCTCATTGATTATTTGTTGAAAATCATGAGAGCAGTTTATATGAAACCACAAATCTTATTTATTTTTTATGAACACAGTACAGTGTCTACATGTGAAAATCAATTAATGATACTAAACTTTTATTTATGAAATGTTCACAATTCAAGTTATATACTGGTACTTAATTATTTTTATAAACACTGCCATAGAAACCATTTTTTTGTATTGAGGCCTGCATATCCAATTCTACCTACAACCTGGACTATAATTAGTACTGTACTGACTTGGGTAGGCTAATACATTAATAATGCTCAGGGCTCTGTAATTGTACATCTTCTACTCTACCCTTTGTTTAGTCATCTCAATACAGTTGAGATACTACTTGCTCATGTAATACAAAACTTTTTTCTCTGTCCATGTTTGTCATCAAATCTTCGTGTTTTAAGTTACTCAAAAAGTATGTGTGCTGTGAAGAAGTGGGTGCAACCTACATAGGCCAGTCATATTACTATGTTGGGTGGTTGTTATTGATTTTTGGCAGACATAATGAGTTGGAAGCTGATTAAGATAAGAATTGAATTGTTGAATTTAAGAGATAAAAAAGATGCAGAAAATAAAAATAAAAAACGTTATTGTAGGTACACTGAGGTGTCAGTCAACTCAATTCACTGTGTTGTTTCATCCCTCAAGGAGGCAGTCTTGTTACAGTACTAGGCACATAATTTGCTTGCTTAAGCTTGCCTGAACATCCTAGAGGGTGTGTATATATATTCTGGGAGCACTATAGGAGAGAATAAATTATTTACAAGGATGCATCAACTGCCTGGTATGGAATATCATTTCAAGAGTCCATTTGGAAGTTACTCAAAATAGCCTACACATAAACATTTCTCTAAGAAATTTATTTACATTGTGCTGATGCTGTAGTAAGTCTAGTTATACAGGTACCGGTATGTACTGTAAATTATTTATTTTTTATTGCTTCATTTAATACCGTTAATGGTAAATGGATTTGTCTGTTTTTGTTGCATGTTCAGTGTATTTATTGTTGTCAAATATTTATTGCATGTTCAGTATTTGCTTTTATTTTATACTGGGTTACATCATTTTACTGTTTCTGATGTTTGTCTTAACCTGTCTGTAATTTTATATATGTTGGTACAGGTATTTAAGAAAATTATTGCATATTAAGAATTATGTCAGTGATTTTAAACAAAATTACGAGAATAACATATATGTTTATCTTTTTTTTTTCTTAAAAATTTAGGCACTTACCATTATGTGTACATATGCATCAAAACATACATACATGCATATATAAACATAAACAGTATATACCTGTACATACAACTATACATGTACAGATGCATATACTGTATATATAAATTCATACATATTGTTTTATCATAACAGGAAAGGTCTATGGGCCAACGTCTGAATATCATCCTTGTTGCTGAAGGAGCTATTGACCAGCAGGGTGAGACCATTACTGCTAATGATGTGCAAAAGGTAAGAACCCTTTGATGATGATACAGTAATATTATTATTTACGGAATAAATCTGTATTGGAAGTTTACAATTGGTATACCATTTATACAGTATATACAGTGCAGGTATACAGTGTGCATAGACCATGGAGGTACAGTATACAGTTTCCAATGTAGTACTGTACCTAGACTTTTACTGAAAACTCTTTTGGGGACAATGATGTCCTTGACACTCACAGCTGTTGTAGAACAAAATTTACAAAAAATACTTTATGCCGTATATCATAATTTATGTTTTAAATGGAATCACTGCTGACTTTTTTTCCCAGGTGATTGTTGATCGGCTCGGTTTTGACACTCGTGTGACTGTGCTTGGTCATGTTCAGCGTGGTGGTTCACCATCTGCATTTGACCGTCTTTTGGTAAGTTTTATTTACAGGCAACTTGGCTGGCACTTAGGATTTTATTTTTATTATTATCATACATCATCAGCAGCAGCATCATCATCATAATCAACATCATTTTTTTTTTGTGGGGAATAGCCCACTCGGACACAGGTCATCAATTCACAATAAGTCCACATGATGATTTTTTAATAATAGATATTATGGTGTAGCATTTGCTCAAGAACTCTTTTTTATGTTAATTACATTATTTAGTTTCCATTTGTTAGCTGTTGATTTAGAAATAGATTTTATTTTATTTATTTTTTTTTTTTTTTTGCATTAGTGCTTTATCACTACCATATGTGAAGGGTGAGGCCCGGGAAAGTAACTCATGATTGACATACTAATTACCATATATGCTATACCCATTATTATCTTAATATTGATAAACAGAGAGAAAGATATGTCAGTTGTATTGGTTCAGTTTGCAGTTATTTAAACCCTTTCTGCCCTGTAATTAGAGTTGGAGCTTTTATTTTTTTAAATAGACCAGTATGTGTTGCCTCTAGCATTTAGCATTTAAACTTGGTCAATTCTGAAATCAGTATATCTTCTTGCTACCTTTACCTCATGTGTTACACTTATGTATTGGGTTTGTATGTTGGCAGGGTTGTCGCATGGGTGCTGAAGCTGTACTTGCTCTCATGGAGGCCACGTCTGAGACAGAACCTTGTGTCATCTCTCTAGATGGTAATCAATCAGTTCGGGTTCCTCTGATGGGCTGTGTACTCAAGACCCAAGCTGTAGCTCGAGCCATGCAGGTAATAAAAGCTAGATATCATATTTTTGTAAGTCATTTCATTTAATATACAGTGCTGCAAAACGATTGAGAACATAACTAATATTTATTGTATTCCTACCATATCGTGTAAGTAAAATGTAAACATACAGTATACAGAGAAATTTGGCTATACAGTAACAGTATAGTTAAAATTACATTTTAAAACGTTTGACAATCTTTAGTAATGAAGCCGAAATTTCACTCGGTTTATTTGTTAAACACATGCTCAATCAACAGCAGAAGTTTGTTCCAGACCCACCTGCATGATATGAGGCAGGTGATCTAGTAACACTGTATGGGGAAGAGTTGTTGACAGATGTGCTTTAAATGGCTAGTTATTTAAGATTTGTGATTGGAGATTGCCTATGAATATATTTCTTGTTTACTGTACAAGAATACCTTAATTAGTATAAATGTGTAAAATGTGGAAAAATAATGTTGTTTTGAGAAATATATGCCATTGCTGCAGGATGACTCATAAATGAGGATCCAGATCAATGTCAGTGCTTGTATTGCTGATGCCAACAAGTCTTTTTCATGCTTAATGACACATTCATTATAGATAATTTTCAGCATTACTGCACTGTAAATCTAAAGTTGCAAGAAAGCATTTGCATAATACAGTATGTCACTTTTATGCAAAATGATAATCTATACGTATTGGCAATGAGTGTTTCTAGGGTGGAAGCTATGTAACTTGCAGTACTATAACTACAATACCAAATTCATTACCACAGAAATCAATGCAAGATGGTACAGTATGAATATACTGAATGGAAAGTGGAAGGTTGGAAAAAGTGTCTAATTCAGGTGGATGATAGAAAATAATGGAAAGACCAGGAAAATGATAGAGGGATGGGATGAACAATGTGGTAGAAAAGAGGGAGATCGACATTCAGAAAGTGGTAGTGTCTTTAATTGACTGGAGAGCCCATATATTTTTTTTGTGATTTATTGGAGGGTAGACACCCTGTTGGTGGGTGATGGTAGGTTAGAGAAGGAGAACACTGTTGTAAAATAGATGTTAAAGGAGTACAGTAAGAGTGAATGAAGGAAGAGTGTACTACAGTATTTAATTTTTTTTCCAGCCTTCCTTCTGTGTATCAGGAAATTAATTGCAAAAGTGAAAACAAAAATACCGTATATCACGGCCTATAAGACGAAATTTGAACATTAAAAAAATCTGCCCAAAGTTAGGGGGTCGTCTAAACCACCAAGTTTAAAATTCTTACCTCTTAAATATTGTGGTTTAGTGTGTCAAGAGTGGTGATGAAAACATCGTAAGCCACTCACAAGGTCTTACCACTAATTATTTTATACTGAAACTTACGTTTGGCAAGCTGGATTCAAATTAAGATTACCGGTATATTAAAATAATAAAAATGTATTATAAACCTGTCTAACATACCGTAAAAGAGATTTATACCCCTGTAATAAACACAGCTATCATCACACACCCCTCCCCACGCCCCCCCCCATTTGCCAGTGAGGAGACAAGAAAGGGAAAGTGACCGCGAGATTGGGCTATTTTTAGCCGTGGAGGTGGTCAGTAATGCATACCGGTATCGGTATATTTACTCATAATAATATTTATCTCCTATAAATAATTGATTTAAATTTTATTTTTTACTAGTGTTTACACTACACCAGCTGGTAATATTTGATGCCATTACTTGAAGTGAATTGGCCTTATTTTAAGTAACTAACTATAAATAAATACAAAAATTAAAAAAAAAGATCAAAACTGAGAAATAATATACTGTATGTATGTTGTGTTGTCAAAGTAAGAGGAACAATTGTGTAAGTACGTAATATTTTTTCACTCAAATCCTAATGAAACACTACTGGAGAACATTCCTTTGTCGCAAAACAGTTTATAAATTAAAGAAAATAATTACAGTGTGTTTAATATATTACAGTATATTATAAATAAATAAATAAAACAAATAATTCGGTAAATCTATTTAAAGTAAATGGAAAATAAGCAAACATGTTATTTACCAAGACCCTTCCGTCTGGCTCAGGGTGAGATGGAGGGGAGATAACAAAGCTATTTATAGCCCATCAGAAGTGACCAGTACCCTAATGCACCATAAATAATTCATTGAACATTCATTTTTTGTACATAGTATATTCAGTATATATATATATATATATATATATATATATATATATATATATATATATATATATGTGTAATAAATGTATGTAGTAAGTACATACTGGTAACCTTTTTCACTCAAATCCTAATGAAACACCACAATTAGAATACGGTGGTTGCTGTTGAACCACATGTTGTATAAATAGTCACACCACCGAGACGAGGGAACACTCCCACCACGCTTCAGTGACGTCACTAGTGTTTACACTACACCAGCGGGTATAATTTGATGACATTACTTGAAGTGAATTGGCCTTATTTTAAAAAATCAAGGATGGTTGGTAAAGGACTACTGAGTCAGTGGGTAAGTGTCACATTTGGGGTACTGGTCTTATACAGCAAATAGAGCTCAAAAGCTACTTTTTAAATGGAAATTTGGGGGGGGCGTCTTATGCACCCCGCCGCCTTATAGGCCGTGATATACGGTAATGATAAATTGTAAAATATTCACAAGTAACAATCTAAATTTAATTGACTTCAGGACCGTAACTGGGAACAGGCTGTCCAGATGCGTGGGAGGAGCTTCGCTCGCAACTTGGAAACCTACAAAATGTTGACCAGGCTGAAGCCACCAAAAGTGATTGAAGAGGGAAAGGTAAGATGGTACAAGTACAGTAACTAATATATATATATATACTGTGTATACAGTATAGCAATTAAAAAGAAATTAACAAGTGAAGGTTTACTGAATTTGAACTAATTTTTCTATTCTTTAAGTGTGGAGATGCAATTTCTTACTTTCAAATGTACTAGGCACACTATGCAATGTATTTGGTAGTTGGACATGTGTTTTGGTGGTCTGAAATGTATTCTGCTGGTTTTACATGTATTTTTATGGTCTTGTAAGTATTTTGGTTGTCTGATGCACTTTACTCTTGTCAAGTACTGTGTTTTGGTGGTTTGATATTTGTTTTGAAATCTGATATGCAATTTGGAGAGGAGATATTAGTTTGTCACCCTTGGTCTTCTTAATTTTCATTCTGTTTTTGAATGGACAAAACTGTTTTCCTGATTCATGAAACTTCATATGGGGAGGTGTTGGTCCTTCTGAATCTGGCTCCAACATGAAAACAAAGAACTGTGACAGGACATCCACAAGTATTTTTGTTTTCTTATTTTCTGCCAATTGGTTCATTTCCTTCCTTGAGTTAAAGAATCCTGTATATTAGATATGGTGGTTAGCCTTTTCTTGACAAACTTAGGGATCTTGCTGGGTTGAATTTTGTAGCTTCAGTTATGTCTTCCGCTTCTTACTGAAATTTACTTGTTACCTTCAGAATTTTGTTCCTCTGCTTTTGGTATTCTTTACCCTTCTTCGTGTTCATTGATTCACTGTACTTTGCCAGCGTCTGTGATTTCTTCAGGCATGAAACTGTTAAGTGCCTTGGTAACCAGATTTTTCACTCAAAATTTCTCCTGGTGTTGACCAAGAGATGGGATTTATTATAGGCCAAGTCATTTTAAATCTTTCTTAATGTGTTCAGGTGTGCTTTTGTTCCAGCATTATTTCTTGGATTACTTCAGACACATCCAGTGAAAGCCATTCTTTGCTATTTACTCGAAGATATGAACACCGAGTCTTTAAATTTGGTTTCTAGGTCAAACCTGATTTTTATGTATACAGTGAACCCTCGCTTTACGCGGTCAATTGAACCCACGGAGGCCCGTGTAAAGCGAGAAACGTGTAAAGTGCACAACATAACATATGGGTTTAATTGAAATAGAGACTGGGCCGACCATCAAACTCCACTTTTTCAGACACAATACGTACATTGCAGTAAAAATAACTTCTTAATTTTATGATGGTATGCACACACAATTAATAATTAACAGAAATATCAATAATATTAGGTTTTTTAACACTTACATTAGTAGAAAAGATGGCTGGGCACACGGGGGTGGGTGGTTGGTTCCGAGGCAGAGGGCAGATTATTGGCCCTCACCTGTATCAATTGTATCACTATCCACCACAGAGGCTTGCAGGGCATCTTTGTCAAACCCCTCAAAGTCCATATAAGTCCATATCCTCACTATCACTGACTTGGGCCGGCTGTGGTGGGTGAACTCGGTAATGTTTTGATGACTGGGCGACCTTGTGCGCACTCTGCCCGCGCCGCTCTCCGCGTAAAAGAGTACATGCACCGCGTAAAGTGAGCATTCTGGGTCTGGCAGGGTACCGTGTAAACGTGGAAACGCGTAAAAAAACCGCGTAAAGCGGGGTAATACTGTACTGTATATACAACATACGCTTTTAAAGGTACTGTAATTATAAAGGACTGCCTACTTATAAGGTCAGAATGTGTATTGTTTTATACTGTATGTATACTGATTGCTCAATTCTCGTGTATGCCTAAATTTTTGTTCCTTATACAGTAGCCACTTCAAATTTGCGGGGTTAGGTTCTCCAAATGACCTCGAATCGCCAAATCTGCGAATAACATTTGCTGACCAGGGGAAGGGGGTGCATTTTTACTTGTGTACAAAGAAATGTATATTCCCTTTTTGTGTTTGCCCTTAGGACAATTATTTCTTTTACCTGTATTGTACAGTGTGTGCGTGCGTGTGCGTGCGTGCGCAAATAAATAATAATGGGAAAATCCTCTCACAAATAATCAGAAACGAGACAACAAAATGAATTAAAAATGTGAGTCTGCCCTCGTCAACTCCGTGCTGTGTTATTCAAGTTAACTTAACTTGAGTGTAGACTCTCAAATTTGTCATACATTTTGTTGTCTTGTTTCTGATTATTTGTGAGAGGATTTTCCCATTATTATTTATTTTTATGTGTTTTGTGTGTGTGTGTCCACATACACATACTGTACAATACAGGTAAAAGAAATAATTGTCCTAAGGGCAAACACAAAAAGGGAATATACATTAATTTGCACACAAGTAAAAATGACACCCCCCCCCCCTCCTGGTCAGCAAATGTTGTTCGAGGATTTGGCTATTAGCGGTCATTTAGAGAATCTAACCCCCCCAAATTTTAAGGGCATGCTGTATTCACATGTGTGGGTAATTTCGACTTTTGGGTTTGTGTCAAAAAAATCTTCGAGTGATTTGACATTACCCAAAATGTCAGAATTATAGTGAAATCTGAGTTAGTAAAAGGGGAATTAGAGGGGTTTAAATGTACAGTAATATGATAAGTGTGAGGTGGATGGAGAGTTACAGTACTGTTCACTTTTTTTTATTTCTTGGCTGTAAGATATGATATGAATACGTACTGTATATATTATGTACTATATGTATTAGTATGTGGTGACAATCATGAGCTTATGATTTTTTTTTTTATGGAATTACTGTATATGCTGGAAAATATTTCTTTTAACAGCTCAAAATTCTAATTGTAAATTTTTTCATATTCCCCTCAATCACAGGGAGGACTAGTCCGGGTAAGATAACAATGTTTTTTTAAGTATTTAGAAAATGAATATGATTAATGTATATTTGTTATGTCTTTATAATAGATAATGCCATATAGATGTAGTACAACTGCCTTTGGGTTATTCCAATTGTTTTAGTATGGTACTGGTCATTTGAGGTACTGTATTTTGAATTTATCAGGATAGTTCCTGTATAAAAAAAGCCACTTGAGCATTTTCTTCATATTAATTGGGAACATTAATGTACACACAGGTAACCTATTCGGAACATTTACTGTGAATACAGTCGCTCAAAGAAGCTATCTGTACTTTGGGGGGAGGGGGGGGTCGATGAATTTCAGAATGAATGCTGAGACTCTTGTTTATAGGTAGGGTTGTCAGAATCCTTTGTCCTCCTTGTCATGTTTCTCAACAGTTTTGTATAGATAATTTCTTAAGTGACTGTTCACACAGTTAACTAGCTGAGGCTTTCAGGGTGATGGTTAATTCTGCAGTAATCCATTTTAAAAGGAAAAACTTGCAAAGTAAATTAATTAGTTAAATTTTTGCAAAGACTTGAACCAATAAATGCTGTAGCAGAAATAATCAAGAACATGAGCCTTGTTATACTGCATGACAATTACAAGGTAAAGGAATATGTTTTGTCTATAGGTATTGGTAATACATATATCTCATAGCTATATGTATTGATAATTACAATGACAGCTATAAATGGTGCACTGTAGTGTATGTATATAATTAATCATAACATTAACAGTGATTTCTCAACTATTACCAGCATGATGCAGTCATGGCTTGAGGGGCTTATTATTTTATCGTAGGTTCCTGTTGCCTACAGATGTTTTGACATACAACTTACAGAGCTGGTGATTTATAGAATGAGAAAAACCACTAATGATCTATAAGAAAGAAAGAGCTGGTGATTCATTGAGAGAGTACTAATGATTCATAGATAGGGAGAGGGCTAGTGATTCAAGAGTTAGTTGGTGACTGATGGACAGAGTTTGAGTGAGTTAGTGATTCAAAGTGAGAGAAAGAGAGCTAATAATTCATAAAGAGAGAGCTGATGATTCACAGTGAAAGCAACACGTACATATTAATATAAGATGAGTGAAAGATTTTTTCATGATTAATGATTAAGGAAGAAAGCTGTAAAGAGTAGATGATTAGGTAGGAAGATAGAAAACATGAATTGAATTAGAGTTTACAATTGTGGTCCTACTTAAGAGTTCCTTCATTGAGGAGGTTATCAACCCTTATTCTGATGGAGAACAAGTCTAAAGTCATTTGTTAACTAACAATATTAGAAGAGTATTTAAGGTTTGTGTATGATTGCATGGTTAGAGTAGTTTTGAGAAGTTAACTTTCCTCTTAACTGGTATTGGGTTGAGCTCTTTTCAATAGAAAAAAAATTTAGTATGGTAAACATAATATAGAAAGTAGTAATGTTTGTCATTTTACTGTTAAAGTAAAAAAAAATAATTAAGTTTTCTGATTGGAATGACAGTAGTCAAACTACCCAAATCTGAAGTGCTTGGGACCATTCCCTGTTCAAATTCTGAAAAAAATTCCCACTTTGGATACCTAATCATCAAGGTCTTTTTATATATAATTTAAGTGTAATAATTATTCGCAAGTTGCCTGGAATCATATTTTTTTAATTCCTTAAATACTGTGGAAAATAAGTCATTGTTTGCCTTTAAATCTCATTAGATGTAATATTTACAAAAGCAACAGTGCAGTGCAGTAAAATGAAATTATACCCTCTCACTACCAAACCAAGTAGGGAAATTTCCAAGCATTCCATAATTACAAAAGTAACAGGACATCATATTAAAAACAATGTAAAAATAATCATGGGTAATGCCTGTGCTGCCATCTTGTGAGATGTGGAGGAAACTTTCACTCATCAGCACTAAGCTTATCGCACACATCACTGACCCGTTGCAGGCAGCAGCTACTGTCGTACTGTTTATACACAAACTTCTGTGTATGTATAGGCATATGCTAGGATTTTACACTTATATAAATAAAATAATTTATTAAAATTTTGTTGAATAAAAGTTTCTTAAAATGCACAAACATTCATAAATACAACCAGTGTTATGAAATAAAAAGTGGGACATAGGAGGTATTGAATAAGTGATTGTATGATTAATAATGCTTGATTAGAAAAAAATTATGAATGTTAATGCTTGAATAGAAAATATATATAGGTTAATATGTTTAGTTACGTATATTAAGATCTTTCATATCCACACACGGGGGTGGAGGGAGGCAGTAAACACGGTGGAGGCAGCAGCCACTGGTCAAGTTCCAACCAGTTTTTCCAATTCATTAATTGTTGAGGATGAAGTAATTTTTACTTTACAATTCCCATATTGGTCTCACTCTCAATATAAAAGATAAGATTTCCTCATGTTGCCTTTTTATGTCATACTATACGTATTGTATATCCAACACTGTATTCCACCTTTATCAATATTTCCACTTTCTATAATAGTGTAAGCATATCATGCTTCATTTTTGCAGCACTATCACTTGGATGCTTAAGAGATGCCATTAAAAGAATAAAATTTCTAATATAATATCAAAATGAATATGAATTTGAATATGAACACATCCGTTTTATGTGACGGCATCTGTTTAAATGTGTGCATGACCCAAACTGACCCAGAAAAACAAGTGAGTAACACTTGATGACATTTTAGCAAGTGAGTTAGCACATGGCAGAATTTTTCCTTTCAAATTTTGGATACTAATGGATTCTGCAAGATCAGATTTTAGAAGTTTGACTGTATGTGTGAAATTAATCTTTTGTTTTGTTTTTAAAAGTGAGTGACCATAGAAATAGCACAGTAGTGAATTAAAGTAATAGAAATTAAATATATAAAATCTTGAATATTTTTAAATGCTGAAAATGAAGCTTTGTTGGATATGTAATAGAAGGAAATGAATCGGAGCAGATTTTGATTGCAACCATAATTCAGTTTGAAGAGCTAATGAAATTGGCCATAGTAGGCAAGTTTTGGGTGGGTTAGTTTTAAGTTAGATCAGGTCAGGTTATGTTAGCAAGGAAAGGATAAGTTAGATTACAGGTATACCCGGAAAACCGACGTCCCATAAACCGCCAATTCACATAACCGATGATTGCATATAGGGGAAACACCTCGCAAGTTTCGGTGATACCCCGTTGATTTGATGATTGTGGGAGGAGCAGCAGAGCTGTTTTGAATTTGGTGGGCAGTGGTGTGGTGCGAATTCTTGCCATGAGAGGGCTCTGTGTGCTGCTTCCGACTCATTCCCACCTCTGCACTTGTTTACACTTGCCATGTGTCTATGACTTCGTGTGTTGTGCAATCATGCCTAAACACCACAGTGATAGTTTTTTTGGTGTGATAAGGTGTAATAAGAGTGGTGATGGCACAGCAAAGATTGGTATACTTGAACTTGTCTCCCTAGACTATCTCTACCATCCTCAACACAGGTAAATAAAAGTCTCCATTTATACTTTGCATTTCTTATATTTCATGCTTATAGTATTATGCTTGCTTTGTTTTCTTGCTTGACAGAGATATATCAAGGGTAGATTGGAGTTTTTGAGGGGTGGCCGGACCCCAACTTTCCAAATTTGCTATATTCTTTTGGGATTAAATGCTTCGATAACCGTTGATTTACTAATCAACGACTTTTCACAGTCCATATATGTGTTGATTTTTGGGGTATACCTGTATCTTAGGTCATGTTAGAAGGGAGAGGTTAGATTCTGTAATACATACTGGGTTGGGTTGGGTTATGTTACGAGGGGAAGCTTAGGTTAGATCAGATCAGGTTAGGATGGAGAGATAAATTCCCACTGATGATGAGATGTAAGTAATGTTATTGGAACAATACAGACTTAAACATGCTGAGGAAATAATAGTTTGGTAAGTTGATTTAGAAGTGCGAAAAGATAAACTTAACAGAATAAGAAATTGTGTAAGGGGTAAAATCAGATTTGTAAAAGGGGATAAGCATAGAAGGACACATCTTCACTAAGAATGAATGAAGGTAAAATGTGTGTGTGTGAATTTGCTCATGTTACTGGCTATCCAATATTAAGTGACTCAGATAGATAATGCAGAGGAGAAAGGTTGAGGCAAATGTTATGTGACTAAGCTATAGATACTATTACAAAAAGTAAATCATAGTAAAATTTGTTGTAAGCTATCAGAGAAAGGCAGATTTTCAAAGTTATAACCCATAGAAAACACAACATAGATAGACTGTGTTTGGTTGATCGGCTAACTTTTTCCCTCTCAAAGTTTCATCTAATGCTGGGATTTATCATTCAAAACAGTGGTGAAAGAATATGAAAATTTATATTTTACCTTTGGATTCTTTACTGCAAATGGAAACAGTAATACAGGTTGACAACCCTTTATCCGAAATTCCGAAAACCGAAAGTTTTTTTGCGGGGTTTTTTTTTTTTTAAACAGGGATTATTAGCCCACCCACCCAGGCACAGATCACTGACCCACATCGGGGCCTGGGGGGCGAAAATGTAATAGTAATAGTAATAATAATTATAATAATAATAATTATTCATAGTAAATAAAAATTTTAATAAAAATACAGCAAAATAAAATAATAATGATTACAATAATAATAATAATAATAAAATATAATAATAAAATTAATAATAACAATAATACTGTAATAATAAAATAATAATAATACAGTAAAGAAATACAAGAATGATAAAAAGATCAAAAGTGAGAAACACGACCTAGACCTATGAATTATTATTATTATTATTATAATTTTTATTATATTTTCGACCCCCAGGCCCCAATGTGGGTCAGTGATCTATGCCCGGGTGGGCTAAAAAAAAAAAATAAATAAAAAAACACCACCCTAACCATTCTGAAAACCGAAAAATTCCGAAAACCGAAATGCCTCTGGCCCCAAGGATTTCGGATAAAGGACTGTCAACCTGTAATAATACTGTACTGTACATTGTTTAATATGATCTGCACATATCACAGTTTTGGCTTGTGGTACTGTATAAGGAGTTGATAAAATTTTAATGGCCACTGGTAACAGGTCACTTGAGCTAACTGTTTCTATAACCATGAATTATTACTCCTAATTCTTTACTTTAATTTGCATTTTTGTTTAGTCTGATTCAGAAGACCCCCCGGAGGGAGAGGTACCCCTGTGGTAACACTTTGTAGCTGTTTTTTAGGCTTTGGTAGTGCAGATTATACCTTAAACTTGCAGTTTTATTCATTCAATATTCTCATTAATAAAATCTGGTGACTTGGAGAGCTAAGTAAAGAACTTGGACTACTGATGTGATATACAGAAATTGAATGAATATTTCGAGCTGAACTTTCTCATCCTTCTAACCTGGAATGCTTTACTGTAACGACTGAATACAAGTACTGTACTGTATTAGACATGTTGCTAACTTGTGTGTCGTCATCAAGCTTTTATCCTCAGAGTACACAGGTTGAACAGAAACAAATGAGCTTGTATGGTTCATACTCTGAAAATGTGCTTTATTATTGCAGGTGTCATTTTTGTGTTGCTTCAGTGTACAGTACCTTATTGGTAATGTGTAATATGAAGAAGAAAAGTTTTGCAGTCACTTAATTTAGTTAATTAAATCTTCACATTTACTATCTTGTGAGAATCATTAAAACCAACACACACAAAGATACATTTTGATTTTCAATTTTGGTGGGGATTAACTCTATACATTTTGAGAATTGCAGTTTTACATCACAGAAACCTTTATACCTGTCTTACTTTTTCTTCTTGTTGCTCTTAAGAGCTTTAACGTTTACTCTTCCTTACAGACAACAAGTTAATCTTCTCGTTATGATCCCGGACAACCATATGCATATTTTTTTGCTAGAACTCCCGCTCATTCAAATACTGAGGAAAATTTAATTATTAAGTTTCAGATTATTAATAACTAACCTGTCCTGTATTAGATTAAGAATACAAATTTATAAGAAATTAATTATTACTGTCATAAGGTTGATAATTATTAAGCTGCAATTATATACAGGTATTGACACTTAAATATGGGATCTTTGAGACTAAGATTGAACTGTTTTTGAGGATTTTCCAGTTTTTAGGTGATCCATATTACTGCAGGTCTACCAGTAGACTAAATTACGTTGTGCTTCCACACACACCCACATAAACTCAGTTGAATGTTAGTTTGTTTTATTTCTTAAATAACAAACTAAAGAAAACATCATTGTATGCTTTATTTAAAACAAAACAAGAATTAAAAATAGTTTATTTAAGATAAGAGTTCCTTAAAAGTTAGTTAAATGGTTTTATTTACATCCCAAAAGGAGGGAATTCATATTGATTATTGCCTTATTGAATAAATAGACCAATGCTTTCTCTATCTTTACTTATATTTATTTATATTAGTAGAAAATTATTATAGTTTACATATAGTTTTTGAAATTTATATTGGTCAAATTAACCAATGATTTAAGGTAACTTATGCCAGATGCTGCTTGTTATCACTTGGCTCATGTGAGAACAAGCAACATCTGGCATAAGTTACCTCAAATGTGGAAGCAAAACTTGACTTATTGTAGAAAGGGAAGAAAATTTAACCTAAACCAGTGAAGAAAATGTGCTGTGTTCCGGAATCTGCAGATATTTAAGATCTGATTTTAAGGGTCCGTACCTGTAATAAATCTCATTCCCTTTTCATTAATTGGTTCCTACTGTGTGGAATAGCCTCTTTTGGATCTAATAATGGTCTGTCTGTACACAGCTTCTGTTGATGAATTCCAGTATTATAGATTTGGAAACAAAATGTTGTACAGTATAATTTTGCTTTACAAACTAATAAGTCCTCAATGTATTTTTAAAAGTTATCTCAAATGGAAACTAAGGCCTTGTGAACAGTATCTGATAACCTGGCATTTGATACCCCTAAAGCAAAAAGTGACAACTACAGTATTTGTACTGTACTTGAACTGAGGTTTAACTATGTATTAATGTATGCAGCTTTCATCTTTTAGAGCTAAATGGCTAAATAGAAAAGTTTTGTTCACCTGCCCTCATCCTGTTCACCCATGGGAAGCCAAAAAGTGTGTTAAACCCTTGCCTGCATACAGTAATTAGAATTCAGGGTCATTCTCCAAGAGTTGTCAAATTATCCAAACAAAAATTAAAGTGCTTGTTAACCCTCTCTTAACTGGCATTTCACTGACTGGCAGCTCACAATTAATGCGATGTTTGGTAGGGTCACGATTGGTAACATCCTTTTCACATCCAACCTAGGGACTGAACCCATGACTCAGTAGGGCAAGCGCCGTCTTGCTGCTGGTGTTGTGTTCGTAGGTACAGTGCAGTATTTAATTATTATTTTATCCCAAACTTTTGGGTCTAGTTCTCCCAAGCTGAAGAGAGAGACACTTATGACAGTATAATAACTGTGAGAAATATATACAGCTTGAAAAGGCAAAAAGGGAAACTTCTTTATTTTTATGCATAGAATTGTCTTCTTATTTAATTTTTTTTTAAATTGAAGTTTCCTTTAGAAGTGTAAATTTCCATATTTTAGAATACTTAAGATAAAACTTCAAATTATGTGCACTATACTAGAACCTTCAAGAGATGCTTGTGGCAAGAGATGTTTATATATATATATATATATATATATATATATATATATATATATATATATATATATATATATATATATATATATATATATATATATATATATATATATATATATATATATATATATATATATATATATATATATATATATATATATATATATATATATTGTATTTTAAATTAACCCAAATTGTGCATATCAGTAAATGATTGACCTGTGCTTTAAGCACACTTTTTATAAAAAAAGTGAAAACATTATTTAAGAGGCTAAATTAGACATTATTAAACAACATGAATGTGGTGAAAGAACAGCAATTTATGATCAGTTATGTGGAAGAATACAACACACAAGCTTTTAAGATTTATTTTGGGAGGGGGGGGGGGCGTTATGATACTATGTCCACGTGGCAGACTACTGCACAAAGAGGAATAAGGTTTGATGGTCATGGGGCAAGTCTGATTTTCATATACTGTACCACCATTGCAAGTGTTTCAGATTCCATTTGAGTTTTATTTCATCAAGGTTTACTAAATCAAGTTTCTGTGCTAATACATTACATTGAATTACTTTTTTTAAAACAAAATACTGTACCAGCATGCTGTGTAATATGTTCATGGACTATTATTAGGTTGTACGATGCGGTTGTGTCCACTAGTTGGTTAAATGTTATTTATATTAACACACTTAATTTTTGTGTGTGTGCTTTAGGCCAGTTATGAATTCCATAAATTTTTTGTTGGTTGATTTTTCTTAACTTCTTAAATGTATTATACTGGTAATGGGATTAGAATTTGTAAGTTTCAATTTATATGCATTAAACACAATTTAAACTTGTACTCTACTGGTGAAATTTTCATCCTGCATGCCCTTTGACCTGTCTCAGTAGAGTATTTTATAGTCTAGCACCTGGCTCAGGCAATTCAAGTAATGCCAACCAAGTTTACGAGTTGAAAACCCAAGAACCTTTAATGTCAATGGCTGGAAATAATTACTTGATTAATTTATACCTTCCATCATTTCCAGGTACAGGTATCTAAAAAAAAAAAGACGTTATTTGGTTATATCGGTCACCACTCAAAGCTTAAGGCAACAAGTCATATTAACATATGTGCTCCGTGACCCACATTTGCCTTCCGTTAAGCACTATTATTTCCTGGGTTATTCCATAAGTGTGGCCACCTACTCAGACTAAGCAAGCTCCCCCCATTTTTTGCTGTCTCTTATAAAGAACTAAGCACAACCCTCTCATCTTAAAGGCAGCTTTGTTTTTCAGTGGTACAATTGTTTACAGTTGTATAATGACCCAGTTTAAAGCCAGTTTACAGCTTGGTTTGCTGGATCAACACAATCCAGCACCTTGCCAATGGGGAGCCTGATTTCATGATGCATAAACCTGTCTATCTTAGGATAGCTCTTTTTTACTCAGGTGCAGGTGTTTGACCTAAGGTTGATAAGAGGTACACCTGTGTGGTGTGAATTAGAATGTCAAATCTTTGTTTTAATTGTTGGGTGAAGGAAATACTGGGTTCCACCATTGGAGCAGTAAGACCTGCATGTGGGATTCACTTGGAAGATATATTTATGGGTGTGCACCTTTTTGTTTTACATTAGGACATGAGGAACCTTTCAGGGGTCTGACAGCTATCCGATACTGGTTTTGTCATTCCATATGCACAATCAAAGACAAAAGTCGTGTCTCGGTTTTGTCCAAAGATTAAATATAACTCGTGAAACATTATGAGAGCCCCCTATCACAAGGCAGAGCGCACCAAAAGTTTAGCCCTTTGGCATATGCTTTCACCAAATTTCACGACACGACTTTTGTCTTTTATTGTACATTGATTTACTGACCCATTTTCTCTTAAGTTTAAATCACACCCTTCTACTTATTGTCATTTCAGTGAGGGACATACACTGTAGGTTTGCTCCAAGCCCACTAACCCAGATAAGGCATCCCACTGTGAACATATTGCCCACTTCTCCTTAATAGCTTGCAGTGGGTCATAACATGTTGTTTACCTGTTTTATCTTTCTGCTTGACCTTACATTAGTTATTATGAAGACGTTGCATTTTGGAATACGTACTGTATTATTGAATATACTCGAGTAAATTTCATGTGAATCAAGTAATTCACACCTATGCTTGTGGCCCACACTTGGTCAACCATGTTGCATGCTTGTTGGACCCCTTTTTCCCCAGTGAATGTCAAGCTTGTTGTAAAATGCTTTATTTTGTTTTTGGGATTTTCAGATACACGAGTTCTCTGATCTTACTTTAGCAGTTTTTAATTGTGTATTCATCAGACTTTTTTGTTCTTGATTTCTCATTGCGAATATTTAAAAGATTTCTCGGTCATTTTTTTTTTAAGATCACTAGGACCAGTTTTATGATCCCTAGATTCAATAGGAATCATTATATTAGAGGAAATACAATTGGCTTTGATGAAGGCCAAACCCTCTGCAACCCTCCCTTTGGGAGAAGATTTTCAGAGCTTCATACTCTGACAGGAGGTACAAGTTTTGTCTCCTTTGGTCCTTTTCTTGATGAGATAGTATGAAGCTGGCTATTGTAATTCTTGGTTAAGAATGACTCATAATTTCTCCTGAGGACATTAGTGTCCCAGCTTGGGAAAATAACTTACTTTTAGCCTCTTCACCACTGATCGGCTCTTTAGCCGCTTGGGCGATCAGTCACGTCTATCTTGTGCACTGTTGGCAAGTACTGGGCATGCATCGGCTCCTGAATGTATCTGAACCTGCTCCAGTGTTGGTCAAGTCTGGTCTTGAAAGAGCTCACACTCGGTGCCGTCACAACAAACTGGCAGATTGTTCCAAGAGTTCACAACTCTCACTCCAAAAAAAGCTTGCCCTCAGTTTTCTGGACCTGTGGCTTCTTCAATCTTGAGCTGTGACCCCTTGTGGGGCGAACATCCGCCAGCTCCAGGTAAGGACACTCGACTGAGTAGTGCCCCTTGAGATCCTTACACACTTCAATTAGGTCACCCCTTGCCTGTCTGTAGTATAAGCTAGGCAAGTTCAGGTACTCCAATCTCTCAGGGTAGTTGAGGTGCCGAAGTGCAGTGGCCCTCCTTTGAACATTTTCAACCAACTGACAATCCTTAGCATATCTCAGGGACAAGACAGGGTGACATTACTCCAGATGGGGAAGCACGTCTCTTTTGGAAGATCGTTACGAGGGACGGACCATCTAGATATCTGAACGACCTTCTTATAAGACCTAATAATTTATTTGCCGGATTTTCTTTCTTCTTGCAATGGCCCGAGAACTTCAGCTCATTGTCAGCATACACACCTATGTCCTTCTCACATTGTCTCAAATAGTGCAGTTTCTTCATCCCGTTGGGACATATGATATGCTTCCTTACCGTTGGTATGCCCCAGGTGCATCCTCTTACACTTTGTGATGTTGAATCTCGACACCTATTTCTTTGACCGTTCTTGGAGCTCACAGAGATCCTTCTGCAGCTCTTCACAGTCCGCTTGGTTCCTGAATTCCCGAAATAACTTGGTGTCATCCGCAAACAAAAAGCGGGCCCAATACACTGCCCTGTGGTACCCCACTTGTGACAGGACCAGATGATGATTTCATGCCATTAATCACCACACACTTCTTGAGGTCATGTAGAAACTCTTCTATCCACTCTAGGACATTTCTCCGAATTCCTTACCCTTCCAGTTTGATTTTCAGCCTTTCATGGGGTACACTGCCGAAAGCCTTGGCAAAATCTAGGTATATATTGTCGATATTACCACCCTGTTCCAGAATATGGGTCCAAATATCCAATACCTTGAGCAATTGTGTTAATCAGGAGCACCCCGGCATAAAACCGTGTTGGCAATCCTTTACAGGGTTGTTTCGTAGTAGATGTTCCATCGCGGCATCTCTGATAATACTCTCAAGTACTTTACATACTATGCTGGTCAGGCTCACCGGTCTATAGTTGTTCGTGGAGTGACAATCGCCCTTCTTGAAGATAGGACTCGCATAAGCCATTTTCCAATCACTGGGGACTTTCTGTTCATCCAGGCATTTACAGAACAGGATCTTCAGGGGCTCGGCAAACTCGTTGCACAACTCTCTTACCACTCTGGGATGCACCATGTCAGGGCCAGGACTCTTATGAACCTTTAACTTTGACAGTTTATTTCTTATACCCTCTTCTGTGAACACACAACGTGGGTCGGTGCTGTGTCGAAACGTCTGTCCTCAAACGCAGGAAGGTTAATCGCATCCTCTCTTGTGAACACCGAGGAAAAGAAGCTGTTCAATGCCTCCGCTTTATCCTGGTCAGAATCTGTGTAACTACCATCTTCAAGCCTCAGGTCTGATTTACTTTGTTTAGTGCTGGAATGCTGGCAGTTTATTTGCCCCTTCGAGTTAAAAATAATTTTAATCACCGATATTTGACATTTAATCAGACTTCACAGTGTGAAGTGAATAGAGCTTATAATTGTATCTAACATGATTGTAAAGGCTCCTGTCCTCTGGTTCTTGACCTCAGGCTATATTTCTTCACTAGCCTTTCTCCGAGGCATGTTTGAACTTAGTCCTACAATGAGGGAATTAGGCATTAGCTAAGATGTTTATTAGTGTACCTGTACATGGATGAGCAAATTGCACTTTCGAACTGCTTGGTGCTAAGGAAATTTTAAGGTTAGTTCCTTGTACAGAATCATATTGCTATTTTAGTAAAATTACTCCCTTAGTGAAACATAGATTGCCTCCATTTTCCCTTTACCTCGCTGGTATCAGACACATGAGTTACCAGAGTCTGGCATTATGTTATCAGGGAAAGATTGATCCTGGAATCCCATAATAGAAATTCCTGGATCAGGCGACTTACTTAACCTCACTCCTTCCATTGGGTAATGCTCAAGTGAGCTGGACATGAGGTTGACCAGTGAAATGACTGTTTATAATTAAAGTCATCCATATAATAGGCATGGAGTACACACATTTCATTTTCTGTGACTGTAAAGATTTGTTGCCTTTAGCCAAGAGTGGCAAATGATATTATAAATCCAAAAATTTCAACAGTACTTAGATACCTGGATATGATGAGAAGTTATAAACCAATTTGTTAATTATTTCCAGCCAATAATGTGAAAAGGTGATTAGTTTTCAACCTATAGGCTTGGCAATATGTAAGTCAACCAAACTAAGCTTGGTTATAAAATAGGATTTCAGGAGAAATCTTTCATTTATCCCTAAATCCTTTACTCCATCAGCAAAACACAATTTGGGACAGGGATGCCATCTTGGTGAGTCTTGGTAAATTAAATTTGGTTTTGTAGGAAACTAGTGTGAGGAATGTAAGATTTAATTGCATTACAGTTGGCTGCACACCATCACTGGCAATAACATGTAAGCTAAGACTAATAGGAGGCTAAGATGAATTTGTTCATTGAGAAGACAGGTGGATTTATTGTTCAAAAAAAATTCCTTTAATCTCTTTGTCAAACTTTTTTTCTTCATTACTTAATAGAATTAGAACTACTGTGTGTTTATACTGCCATTCCATATGGAATTCTGCGATACTTTTTTCTTCTTACAGTATATTGTACTTACAAGTATTTAAGTACAATTTAAATCGAACCTCACCGATTTTTTGTTTCTCTATTAGAATTGCTTACTTCAATAAATCCTTATACTGTGTAGTGAGTGTACATGAATGGTCAAAGAAACATTAAGGCTGTTCCTATGTCTGTGGAAATATTGTTTCTCTCAATTTTAACCTTTGTCAGTATGTATGTTGTTTAATTTTGCATGATATATCTAAAAGTTCTTCACTTTACTTTGCCTTGAGGCACATTGTCTGCATCTTCACTGTGGTTCACGTAAAGCCAATGCCTGTACTGTATATTCTGCCTTATAGCGAAACAGTTCTTTATCACTTTTTAAAACAGTGCGACATATAAGATCATAGCTTATAAGATATTTGCTTTGCAATATTTTTCTTTTGACTATTAATAGAAAACCCTTAATTTTTAATTATGCACTGGCAAGCATCAAATGATTATACAACACTGGCAGTTTTACACTATTGTATTATCAAAATATTTTACTTTGGGATCCCATGAAAGGCCCTGTATTAACATCATGTTGGCAACTCCGTTTTCAGAATTCAATATAATGTACAGTACAGTACATGAATTTGAAGCAAATATAGGCAAGTTTTAGGTTTTTCTCCTCGAGGCATTATGACTGCTCATTAATAAGATAACCTTGAAATGTTCAGTCATGTGTCCTTTTTTACAAATGTTTGACATACATTAGATAGACACTTATTCAGAATAAAAGAATAGCACCATTTCTTTTTGTCTCACAAATTAGCTGCCTTATTGGCTAATGTTCCTGTGAATTATCATAAATCTACTATAACATGTATACTTGCTGTCAGGTACAACATGAATTACACACATTATATTTATTCCTGTTTTTGCTCATCAGGTCTTCAAGTGACAGTGATATAATTGTTTTATGTATATATTCCTGTATATTACCCATAAAACTGATCAAATTTATCAAATTGTATGTCTGCCAAGCAATAATGAGCGGAAAGCTTACCAGATGTTCATGCTCTGGGATTAAAATGCAGCAAAGCTTTAGTTAATGGAAAATGTTTTGTACATTAATATGTTGCTGCATAAATTGGTTGAAAAACAGTCAGCCATTTTAATTTAGTCAAAAGCAGTGAATTCTAGAAGAATGGTGCTATGTTGCTATTTTATAAATATAAATCTTAATACGTATGGTACTGTTCAGTACATTATTGGTAAAATACACAGACAGTGCCACATTTTTTTTAAGTTACAGTAGTCATCCATCAGTCTCATTATTTCCCAATGTTCCCATAGCAAGAATAACTGCCAGTAGATGCGCACTACCATAAGTAATTTTTTTCATTTTCCAGTCTACCTGACTACAGTACAATATATACCTTTACTTATTGGTGTTTAGTGAGTTGTCAGACACTTAGACAACATTGTTGATAGAATGAGCTTAACAAAGCCAAATTGAAAGAACAACAATGACTTTGCAGCTTCTATGACTTCCACAAGTATGAATTACTGTATACTGTATTTCTATTTTTTATTCCCGGATTGGTTACCCTTTAATTCTATGGAATTGACACTTGCCTGAGTTAATGTAGATCTTCAAAGCTGAGTGAATAGGAAATTGCCATATTACAGTAGATGGAAAATGTACAGAATATACAGCTGCTCCAAATATTATACCCTGTAATTTGTAGCTGCACGACCTTATGAATGTAAATAATAGCAATATTGATAACAGTAAAGAAGGTTCATTGTTGATAATGGGGTTAATAAGTCATTGGATCTCAGACTACTGTACAGTGCAGGATAAAAGGACTAAGATTTGTTAAAGTAACTTAACTCTTACTATAGTATTGTGTCACAGATATTATTGTAAGTTGATTACCAATATTATTTTTTGATACTGTATATTAAAAGAGGTGACTAAAATCATCCTATCCAAATTTTTTATTTCCTTTTTCTCAAGAAAATTATTTCCCTGATGAGCAGTGTTGTTCTTCCAAGATTTGTAATGCTCTGTGATAGCTCATTTTCCTTAGCAGTATTGCTTATGCATTATGTAGTGAGTATTTTATAAGTCTATTAGAATACTGTACCTGAATGTTAGAGTATACTGTATTACAGTGTCATACTTCTATATATATTACAGTAATTTGTTAAATTAGTTACAGAATTTGCTTTACTTGCATTTAGTTATTTTGTTTCATGTTTATTACATTCTATTTTGTGACAGACATTTCCTTTCAGCTTATATACAATTTGCCCTGTTTCTTCACCTTGTTACAGAATGTGTCTTGTTTCATTACAGCTTATTATAGAATACTGTTTATCTGTGACCTACCTGATTCCTTTCGGCTTATTTCAGAGTAGTATGTCATGTTTCCTCTAAGCTTATCTGTGACCTACTTTCAGATGAATGTTTTCCTTTCAGCTTTATTACAGTACATGTTACTCATTACATTCTGAGCATTTTTCTTCTTGTTTTTATTGTGTGATGTGCTAATTTTAATATCCCCATTATATTTTATGGTGCTCTCAGTGTTAACTGATACATGTTTATGAAGTTAATTTTGCTGTAATTAGTTTCAGACTTGATGACTATATGTTAGATAAGTAAAATTATAGGATCAATAGAATTCCTTGATATACTGTACTGTATTCTTATACAGTATTTAGTTGGTAATGCATGATACTGGTTTGGTATAGCCCTTTAGCCTTTGATGTGCCAGTGCTGTGACAACTATGATGCTTAGTAGCATCTATGCTAGTCATAATTAGGTCATACAACTACTGTACTTAGTTGTGAATGAAATATTAATGTTTCAAGTGTATGGGTATTCACTTTTACCAGTTATAAGCTATATGTATCTTAAGTTATTTCATTGATTTTAATAGTTAACAGTAATGTTTAAATGCTGATTTCATTATAAACCTTTGCTGCCCACAAAGCATCAAGTAGAGAACTGGATTTGTTGGAGACAAGTTTGTTGTTGATCAAATGTAGATTTTAGTTGGTCTTGGTCACTGATCAATGTACACTACAAGGAATTCATCTAGTTCTTGCACTCAGGGCGGCTTCAATCTAGGCGTGATGCACATAGGCGCTCCAGCTTGTGGAATGAACGCTGCTGTTCGGTCATTTGTACGTAACTGCATCTACCGTGGTGACACAGTTTATGGTATTCATGATGGTATCGATGGACTTGTGGAAGGCAACGTGAGTATGAAGCTTGTTGAGTAATGAAACTCGCACACTTGTCATTATATATGCCACCAGATAAAAAAATATTCCTGCTTGGTGTTGTATATAGTACTATACTGTATTTATATTATTGGCTGTAATGAAGCATATGTTTACATCCTGAACCCTATATGAAATAATTAGTTACCCCTTTGTTAAATAGATACAAGAAATGACATGGGCAGAAGTGACTGGATGGGTTGGTCAAGGTGGAGCCTTTCTTGGAACCAAACGCACGTTGCCTGAGAAACACTTAGACCAGGTCAGTTCACATAGACTGAAAGATGCACTGTTTACATTTTATCCTTTATACATCTTGCCATCTCTATATCGTCTCCTAAATTTTGTATTTAAATCACTCTGTAGAAAGGACATTTGTGTTATATGGATGCTTTTGACTGGTATATATTTGGGAATGTGACAGTCGCTACTTATTTATGTAAATATTAATTAAATGTTTGCACATACATACTAGTAGTGGTTGAGTAAGTTTTATTTTATATCTGCCATCATCAAAATCTAAATTTCTTCATGAGGTCAAGGGACCATAGTGTAACATACCCAAATACTGTAATGGTTATTATGCTGTTTCAGTAATTATCCTGGTCTTTTGGTCATGAATCTTGAAGCAACTGTTTTTCCCCAAATAAACAGGAGGGGTACAAGATTGATTGGTAGAAAGTACTCATCATTCATCTTTCATTTCAGTTTCAGATAGTTAATTCAGATATACAAGTACAAATGCAGGTTTAATTACATACATGATTTACAGTAATTCCATATAATGACAGCATAAGAGAGTTGGTGCTTTAGTCTTGATATGAATAGAAATTTATGCACAACCACTTACCCTGTTCATACTCTGCATACCCAGAAAACACAGCACAATGCATACAAACCTGTATTAATATTTACAAAATCTATAATGTTCAACTGCAGACCATAATATTCTCTCCATAGGTGGCTGCTCGTCTGCGAGAGTATAAGCTGCATTCCTTGATGATTGTGGGTGGTTTTGAAGCTTATCATGCACTGCTGCAAATGTATGAGGCACGTGGTAAATACCCAGAGTTTTGCATCCCCATGGTGGTCATTCCATCCACGATCAGCAACAATGTTCCAGGCAGTGACTTCAGTCTTGGGTGTGATACTGCCCTTAATGAAATCACAGAGGTTAGTTCTTGTCCAGAATATTTATTTTTTTTTTTATAATAGGTGTGTTACTAATAAACCATTTCAGTATATTTTCTTACCAAAGAATATTATTTCATCAATATTAACCTTAAGCAAACACTTGGTATTATAATGATTACTTTTAACAGATTTGTGACAGAATTAGGCAGTCTGCCCAGGGAACTAAACGACGTGTGTTTGTGGTGGAAACCATGGGTGGATATTGCGGCTACCTAGCAACTCTGGCTGGTCTTGCAGGAGGTGCTGATGCTGCATACATTTTTGAGGAACAATTTGGCATTCAGGTTAGTTTCTTATGTAACATAGCACAACCCACTTAGATACATAGATAGATAACTCTTAAATGAATACAATGTCACAAAACTAAAACTAATACGACACCAGTCATACTGTATCCAAAATATCTATCAATTTATTGTGTGTTTTTTGGTGGTGGTGCTGTGAATGCCAGCTATTCTGGTTATTTTACTAGTTTCAACTTCACTGAACACACTTTCGGTACTTGCATACATATTGCTGTTGGAAAATTAATTATTTTATAGATGAACAGGTAAGATGAAGCAAGTGGAGGGTGACCAACACGTTTAGGAGCAAAAACAATCTTGGTGATTTCTGAAGTTTGAATAATTATGTCCGTGAAATAATTTATCCATGGTGGCTGCTTTTATTTTTCTTGACTGATGATTTTTTTTTTTTTTTTTGCACTTGGCCTGTCTTTTTCTCTATCGGCATGAAACTTACTGGTAAAAATATATACTGTACTGTACTATGGTAGTAATTGTGGATTAATATACACATGTCTACATACTATAAGCCTTCACATTTACTAACATAACCGTAAAACCTCAATAAATTGGACTTTTTTACTCTTTGGGGTGCTCTGGACTGTCCCTCTAGTCACCAGAAATAATTTTAAGAAAGTTGAAAATCCATCATGAGTCCAGACGGTTTGTGTGTCCCACTGTCTCAGACTCAGTCGCAGTTTGCATCCTGCCTTCATATGTACATCAGTTGTTGTTATGTTATTACTGCACTTCAACAACTAAGGTCTTTAAGTGTATAATAAGTTATTAAAACACTGTTACATTTACAATAAAAGATATATGAAACCAAAATCTTTGGGTTGAAAATCAAACATACAGTATAAGTCTGGTTGTCACCGAGATGATTGTTATTTACTGTTATATAAGAACATAAGAATGGAGGAAACTGCAGCGGGCCTGTTGGCCCATACTGGGCAGTCCCGTTTACACCCAACCCCTATTGCTCATATACAGTAAGCATCCAACCTATGTTTGAAGCTATCCAGCGTATTCGAGTTAATGATGATGTTTGGTAACTTGTTCCATTCATCCACTACTGTTTCCAAACCAGTGTTTACCTATTTCGCACCTAAATCTAAATTTGTCTAATTTAAAACCATTGTTACGAGTTCGCTCCTGGTTGGATAGTTTGAGTACCTTTGTAATGTCCCCTTTGTTTAGCCCTGACTTCCATTTATACACCTCTATCAGGTCGCCCCTCGCTTTACGTCTCTTGAGGGAGTGCAAATTTAGATGCTTTAACCTGTCTCTATACTCAAGGTTCCTAATGCCCGGGATTAGTCTTATCATTCTCCTCTGAATTCTTTCCAAGGATTCTATATCCATTCTGTAATACGGTGACCAGAACTGAACTACGTAATCCAGGTGTGGTCTCACAAGCACAAGATACAGTTTTAGGATGACCTCGCTAGTCTTGTAACTAACACTCCTTTGTATGAACCCAAGTACTTTGTTAGCCTTGTTATGAGCAAAAAAACATTGTTTACTTAGCTTAAGGTTCCTACTTATCATTACTCCTAAATCTCTCTCGCAGTCAGATTTCTCAATGGCATCGTTGTTCATCTGGTAACTGGTTTCCCTGTTTACATCTCCTATACTGAGTACTATACATTTGTCCATGTTGAATTTCACCTGCCATTTTTCAGACCATTCAAAAATTTTTTTTAGATCTTCCTGTAGTTTTGCGGAGTCCTCGTCAGATTTAATAACCCGTCCTATTTTAGTGTCATCAGCAAATTTACTTATGTTGCTGCCTATGCCGATATCTCTGTTGTTTATGTATATAATAAATAATAATGGTCCAAGTACTGAGAATTGGGGAACTCCACTAGTGACGTTGCTCCAATGGGATTTAGTGCCGTTAATGCTCACTCGCTGTTTCCTGTCCTGTAACCACGCCCTAATCCATTTAAGGATATTACCTTTGATGCCATGTGCTTCTACCTTTCTAATTAGTCTTTCGTGGGGGACTCTGTCGAAGGCTTTGCTAAAGTCGAGATATACCACATCATAATTGTGCCCCTCGTCCACTGATTCGAAAACTGATGAAAAGAATGTTAATAGATTAGTTAGACATGAACGCCCGCTTGTGAAGCCATGCTAGGAATCATTGATCAATTGGTGCTTCTCCAGGTGATTTCAAATAGAGTTTGAAATGATTGCTTCCAGTTATTTGCCTACTATTGATGTTAGACTGATTGGGCGGTAGTTAGAGTATAGTGATCTATCCCCCTTCTTGAAAATCGGTATTACTTTCGCTATCCTCCAGGATTCTGGTACTACACCTGTTTTTAAGGACATGTTAAACAGCTTTGCTTTGGGCATACTAAACTCTTCCTTACATTCCTTTAATACTCTGGCAAATATCTCATCGGGACCAGGTGACTTGTTAGGCTTTAGTTTGTCTATTTGCTTACTAACATCGTTACTCGTCACTACTATCTCGCTTATTTTGTTTTCTTCACTATCTCTGAATAGAGTCAGTGCCTCGGGTATCATGTTTAAATTTTCGGTGGTGAAAACTGTTGAAAAATATTTATTCATATTGTTGTTCATTTCTCCGTCATTATCAGTTAGCTCGCCAGTATCTGACCGTATTGGTCCAATCTTTTCTCATGTTTTAGTTTGATACATTGGGTAGAATCCTTTGGGGTTTGTCTTTGCCTCCCTTGTTATCCTATTAGCTCTCCTTGTCTCGGACTTAACCCTACTCGCCAATACCTTATAATAATCCCGGAGGTAAATTTTGCCACGATTTATCCTTCTCTCTATAGCCTTCCTTTGGCCAATAATGTTCTTTAAATAATTATTTATCCATTTAGGGTTATTGTTGTCTGATCTGAGTTTTTTGTATGGTATGTTCTGCCTTTGTGCATTAAGTAACTCATTATTTAAATTGTCGTGGAACTCGGCAATCTCAGATCTCGTTGTCAGGTCGGTGTCAACTGTCTAAGTAACCACAGAATTTATCTTATGAATAAAGAGAAAACTGTATACTGTACAGTACAGGTGCTCCTCTACTTAAGAACGTTCAACTTATCAACTTTCAGAGATACAAACATCATCACTGAGGGGGGTTACCTGCCAGAACAGGTGTTTAATGTGGATGAGACTGGATTATTTTGAAGAAAATTCTAGATAGAACAAACATTACCGAAGAGAAGAAGAGTGAGCCATGTTTTAAGGCTGTATTAAAGGGTATAGCTGTACTAAATATCCACAATCTTTTCATTTTTTACTATACAGTATGTTTGGTATCTACAAGAGTAAAGTTGGACTTACAAACAAGCCGCAGGAACGTAACTCGTTCGTAAGTAGAGGAGCACCTGTAATATAAAAATGAAAATAAGAGCAAATAAGTGTAGGAGTATATTGTATGTGGGAGACAAGTGTTTATCTGGGAGCAGCTGGCGGTGTGGGGGGGGGGCTTCCTCCCCCTCCCTCCTTCAAGATTCCTTTAACACTTCTTTATGCAATTCCAAGACAATTCTTATAATTTAGGATCATTTGGTGCCAGGTTGATAAAATATTATCCTAAAAGAATCAGCTTTCCTGAGAAAAGAATCCCACACTGAACACCATGAGTCATTGTTTACAAAGAGCAACAGCTGATCGGCTTACCACAATGTCTGTCTTTAACACTTAGTAAATTAGTACAGTACAGTTGTGTGTTTATCATCACTTAATAAATACTATTGCAGTTTATCACCACTTAATAAATACTATTGCAGTTTATTTATCACCACTTAATAAATACTATTGTAGTGTATTTAGCATCAATAAGTAATATTGTAATGAACAGTACAGTATTATGCTTCTACATATACCCTTGTTTATTCATTAATCATTTGTCTAAGTGTATAAGTAGCCAAACTGAGTCATTATAGAACACTAAATGGTGCCTGTAGTAAATAAAATTTTTAATAAAGTATCCTCATATCAAATACTATTAAGTGTGTTATAGTGACCCCTGTTGTAAGCTGGTCTACTGTAAGCTCGCACGAACACATCTTGAGTAAATAACCTTCTGATTCACCATATCCTTTTATTTTCAAGTCATATTATAAATTACATACAGTATTGTATTTTTTCTGTATTACTGAAAATTTTATATTAATTAAGATGAACCATAAACCATAAGAGGCCAATCATATGAGAATATAATATTGAATCAATAAATAAATAAACCTGACGAATGTGGCAACACCTGATCAGCCCCAACCTGCTTACATACTCTCGTGTCTTAGTTCTCAGTAGGCCTATAGCAAATCTGATTAGACCACTGTAGTACAGTATTAGTAAGTGTGGTTCATTTTATGAGTTTTATTTTTTATTAATCACACCCATTTATTTATTTATGTTTTAGTTTTTGTATTTCTGGTGACCAGAGATTCTCAGAGTGCGAAAAAAGTGAATTCCAATATATTGAAGTCCGGTTTATCGAGGTTTTACTGAATACTATTTTATCTTTATTCATAAGACAAATTTTGTAGTTACTTACCGGTATATATAACACTTTCCAGCACATCACAATTATGTCTTGATTTTCAACCCAGAGAGTTCAGTTTCTTTTTGTTATTGGTGTAATAGTGTTTTAATAACATTCTTATTAATTTAAAGACCTTAGTTGCTGAAGCGCAGTAATAACATTATAACAACAATAGATTTTCTTTAAAATGTCCAGATAAGCATTGTTATCTGTCTCCCCCACCCTTAGATTTTTTTTTTTACTTTTGCATTTTTTGGACTGGGGTCTGCCCCAATTAGTCAAATTTATGAAGATCTACTGTATACAGGAGGCGTTTGTATGCATAATGTGCTACTTTACATTAAAAAAAATATATAAATATATATATATACAGTAGTACCCCGATTTACACGGTCAATTGAAACCACAGGGTACCGCGGAAAGTGAAAACCGTGTAAAGTGAACAACAGAACATATGGGATTAATTCCAATAGAGACTGGCCCAACCCCCAAATTCCACTTTTTCCGACACAATACCTATGTTGTAGTAAAAATAACATCTAAATTTTATGATGGTATGCTCACACAATTAATATTTAAGAGAAATACAGTCGCCAGGTTAATGTCCATTCAAATAATGGACTCAAATCCCCCCCTCCCCCCACTCTTCCCAGCTCACTAGCTCCTACCTCTCTGATTAATGTTTGGGTGAAAACTCTAGATTTTAACGTTTAGTAATAAATAATACCTCAGACTAAAGTTAGGATAATATAATTGACATTTTTAGATTCCTTGCAGGTCAGGGAAGATTTTGAATGTAAACTTCATATATTTTGCACAAAAGATAAAATATTTGCTTAGTGTAAACCAAATTATTACTTTAGATCTAAAATTTGTATGTCTAATGCAAAATCCATGATGTTTATATTCAAAATGATCATCATATTGTAAGAATTCCAGCCATGTAAATTATATTCTGGCCGGGTAATTTGTATGAATTGTATGAGCTAAAACATATATCTTCAGTAAATAAACAAAGAAATATTCTTCAAGGACACTATCTGTCAATCAAAATACTCCGCCCTAGCTGGGTCGTCCCTCCCTCCCTCCCTCCCTACCTACCAGAGAAGCGATTGGGAGAAAATAGTATATTTACATTTTTAGTAATAAATAATAACTCGGACTAAAGTTAGGATAATATAATTGACATTTCTGGATTCCTTGCAGGTCAGGGAATATTTTGAATGTAAACTTCATATATTCTGCACAAAGGATAAAATATTTGCTTTGTGTAAACCAAATTATTACATTAGATCTAAAATTTGTATGTCTAATGCAAAAGCCATGATGTTTATATTCAAAATGATCATCATATTGTAAGAATTCCAGCAATGTAAATTATATTCTGGCCGGGTAATTTGTATGAATTTTATGAGCTAAATAAAAAAAAAAAATTATACTTCACCGCGTATATGAGTAGATGCACCTCGGAAAGTGAAAGTCTGGTTCTGGCAAGGTACCACTGAGAAATCGCGGAAGTGAAATCGTGTAAAGCGGGGTAATACTGTGTGTGTGTGTATATATATATATATATATATATATATATATATATATATATATATATATATATATATATATATATATATATATATATATATATATATATATATATATATACACACACAGTGGGGTATGCTATAACGAACGTAATTGGTTCCAGAACCCCGTTCGTTATAGCATTCGTTCATTATAGGATTAATCCGTTCCAGGCCCCCAAATACAACCACTTAACACTGAAAAAATTCTGTGGAAAATGTAAAAAATATGGTACTTTATCTTACCTTAGTGTTATTCAGCATGCAGGTACCCCTAAACACTGGCACATCACTATCACTTCCACTGGGAGTCTTGGCTTTAAGGTCCTCAAACAATTGTCTGGCCTTCTCACAAATTATAGCTTCACTAATGTTACCACCTGCCATTTCTTTCTCCTTTATCCACACTAAGAGTAAATTTTCCATCTCTTCAATCACATTACACTTTGCTTTGCTAAGTCTAAAGATTCCCTTAGCCACTTGCACAGTTTTTAACTCCTCTTTATTCTTCAAAATCGTACATATAGTCGATTTAGCCATCCCATATTCATCACTAAGTTTCGCAATGCTTCTTCCATTCTCACGTTTCTTTATAATTTCTTTCTTAGTTTCAAGGGTTATTAGCTTTCTCACTCGCTTTGGACGACTCATTGTTACAATTGTATACTTGTATAACAAAATAGTTATACAAATAACGCGAATTTCCACATCAAAAGACGAAATTTCAACAATAACAGTGGTGCACTGGCTACACAATGAGACAAAGATGGCGCCTGACGCTCTTGTTGTGGGTCGCGGTACAACAATATTCATGCGCCAGGCGAAATAGTCCCGTATTCATCCGCGTTCGTTGTAGGAGTTGCATTCATTATAGCATTCTCAATTTTATAGGTAAAACCGTTCGTTATAGGAATATTCGTAGTAGGATCCGTTCGTTATAGCATACCCCACTATATATATATATATATATATATATATATATATATATATATATATATATATATATATATATATATATATATATATATATATATATATATATATATATATATATATATATATATATATATATATATATATATATATATATATATATATATATATATATATAGATAGATAGATAGATAGATAGATAGATAGATAGATAGATAGATAGATAGATAGATAGATAGATAGATAGATAGATAGATAGATATACTGTACAGTACTCTAGTAATAAAAAAATAATGGAGTGTGTGTAACTCATTCCTGGAGGCAATAAAACATGTCCCATATTAAAGAAAAAATGCAAATCATTCTTCTATAAAGGGATAGAATTTATTGCTTCTAAAGACACAATTTGAGAAGTTGTAAAAAAATTGTGTAATCATTTATTTGCTAAATATTTTTTTTTCCATGGCATTAATGAAATCTCTGGTTTTGTTGTAGGAACTACAACTGGACGTGTATCACATGGCAGCAAAGATGGCAGAGGGTGTTCAGCGTGGTCTTGTTTTACGAAATGAAAAAGCTAATGAAAACTACACCACAGATTTCATCTTTAGAGTGTATTCTGAGGAAGGCAAAGGCATCTTCAGTTGTAGGAAAAATGTATTGGGTAAGGTTTTTTTTCTATATTTGGTTTTCAATACTCTTGTACTTTTACTGTTATATTTTTTTTCATCCTTTCCCAGTCTTTGATTTTCTTACCTGCTAGACTATTTTATTTTATTTTTTTACTAATAACTCTTTATTGTTGTACAGGTTGACCCTTCTAGTCCGGCATTCCGTGGTCCGTAACGATTTTAGTTTGCCCATGGAGAAAATTAATTTGAGTCTGATACTTTCAATTTTTGGGTAAATTTTGCCTTATTTACCCTATTTTTTTGGAGAATTACTTTCTCTAATAAACCAACGAAAATAACACAGATAAAGTTAACTAAAAAAACACACAAAAAGTTTTTTTGTTCTACAGCTTCAGCTAGAGTTAAATTTAATGACTTGGCAATTTCGTCATCCGAGTAAAAACACACACAACAACATTGGCTGTCCTTATGTTTTCAACTTTACCACCACTGGTGGGTAGAATTTATGTTTTAAATTCAGAAACATGAATTAAAATAATATATGAACAGTAAATAAGTGTTGCTTTCATATTCTTATGTAGAGTAATGACGATATGTTTTCATATGTGCGCACTTACGTACGCGCAGTCTCACTTTTTTTCTTTGCCATTAATGGTTAGCTACTTTTATTGTTCCATTTATAACATTAAATAACATTACTTAAAACAACCATATAATTTTTTACATTAATTTTACTACAGCTACAACCAGGGTCTTACTTTCTTCAGTTTTATATGTAGAACCAGTCAGTCACTGGTTTTGTAAACAACGAAAACAATGCCCTTCTCGTCTCCTCGTGTGGTTTAATATTGTACGTATTATTAATGAATTGTATTGTTCATTTTGCTCACAAACATTTATTCAATCAAAAAGACATTCAGTAATAAACAATAATGAATCTTATGTACATAAGAGAAATGACGCTGTTTACACGATTATGCACGTCTGAACGTTGGCGGCAGGGCCGTCCCTAGGAGGGTGTGGGGCCCGGGGCAACTCGGCCACTGCTGGACCCCAGAAAAAACCACACTTCATGGAGACAAAGTATATTTTAAACACCAATACAGTTTCGGCTCATCACGATCCCTTCTCAATTGGTAATGACAGAGACAGAGAATATTACACAATATATACACATGGAGGCTGACTGACCCAAGCCGTCTGTCAACTGGGGATAATCTTCTGACCCGACCTTGGCCTGAACCAACCCTTCTTACACAAAAAAGGCAGGAGTCAAAGCTCAGGACAGGACACAACCTGATCTCACTGGTTACTGACCCTGGTGGACTGGCTGTGTAGAGTGGAGTGCAATGGATTTTGGGGTCAAATTATGCGGTCAGAGGAGCCCACCCCCACCAACCCCCATGGGACTGTCGCTATGGATGGTAAGGTCACAGTTGCGATGGTGGCGTAAGCCGTCGAGTCAGATTAACCAGTCAACAGTTAATGTGCTGGGCCCCGCGGGGACCCGGGCGGTCGCCCCTGTTTGCCCCCCCCTAAAGGACGGGCCTGGTTGGCGGGCCGCTCAAACCCGTCGAAATTTTAAATTGTGTAGTGTTTTTTTTTTGTGTCCAAATAAAAAACGTTGAATTAAAAACTCGCAAAATTTGAGAACCTACTGTACAACATTTAACCCTTTAACATGTTTTCAAAGAGACCAAAAAGCAATGAAAGTGGTGCTAGTGCTTCCAAGCATAAGCACAAGTCACTATCTATCCAGGAAAAGGGTGAATTTCCATTGTCGGAAATTTTCATGGTCCGGCACCGGTCATGTCCCGAGGTTGCCAGACTAGGGAGGTACCTAAAAAAAATTTTGTAGAGTATACATAAAATTATTATTGTATACAGTACACAAAAGCAGGTACTGTATAGTAGTACACAAGTTTTAAGAAATTAAATTTTTACGATCATACTAAAGTACAATATTCTGATTTGAGCATTGGTAGCTTCTAGTAGATATACAGTAGCTACACATGGGATGAACCATAACTAATGTCTTTAAATTCATTCTGCAAAGGCTGCCATAATTTCAAAACATGTATTCACCTATTGGATGTCGCCTGGTACAGTACATACTTTGTCCCTTTCCTACTGCTTTGGGGATTTACTCCAATGTGTTATCACATTTAAATATTTTGGGACTTCCATATACTACAATTGAAGAATTATGTAGCTGACACACATGTTTAAAATAAATAAAGGATACTAAAATCATTCAGTAACTTCCACTTTCTTATTGGTCTATCTATAAATAAGTTGCTATACAGCTGCTCCTCGATTTACGATGGTGTTAGGGACCCAAATCCAGGTCGTAAGTCGAAAATGCTTAAATAATACATAGAAAATCTAAAATGGGTGTCTCTCTTTCTTCTCAGCACCACAAAACTCTCACTTTTACGCTTACCAGCCAATTTAAAGTGAGTTGCAAGCGAAAAAAATTTCAGTACACAGCGCTATCACTAACGTTGGGATTCATAAATACGTAATTTGACAAAATTTTGGTACGACTGAGGCAGTCGAATGTCCAGGTGGTTGTAGGTCGAGTTTGTCGTAAGTCGAGGAGTAGCTGTATTTGTACAGTACAATAATCTGAAATAAATGTCTGGAAAATAAATACATTGAGATGAAAACATTTCAGGCCACATGCAGCAAGGAGGATCTCCATCAGTGTTTGACCGCAACATGGGCACAAAAATGGCTGCCAAGGCTGTCACCTGGCTGACAGACCAAATGCTTGCCCATCGTCGGGAGGATGGATCGGTGTTCTGTGATGAAGCATCAACAGCAGTGCTGCTTGGTCTACAAAGGAGATCATATGTGTAAGTTTATTGAGAAATATTAACCCTTTCACGCACGAGATAAGTTTTAAATTTTCCAGTTCCAAGATCACATTGATGAGACCCCTAGGGCAGGCGAGACAATGCACTGTGAATCCCCCCCCCCCACACAAAAAACTTGTTTTGATTGGCATAACTGATTACTCTGCAACATAAGTCCCCCAGAATAATACAAGTACAGGTACTGTACAACATGCCCTTAAAATTCGTGGGAGTTTGGGTCTGAAAATGGCCGCGAATGGCCAAATTCACGAATATCATTTGCTGACCGGGGGGGGTACAATTTTACTCGCGTGCAAAGAAATGTATATTCTCTTTGCGTTTCCCTTAGGACAATTATTTCTTTTACCTGTATTGTATGTATGTGTACACACAAAAAACGTACGTGTGTGTGTGTGTGTGTGTGTGTGTGTTATATATATACAGTGACCCCTCGGTTAACGAACTCAATCCGTTCCAGAAGGTCGTTCGTTAACCGAAAAGTTCGTTAACCGAAACCATTGTTTGAATGGGTTTTTGGGTAATTGGTTCCAGCTCACCGAAAATTTTCTAAATTCAACAAAAATGGTAGAAAAGTTCACTTACTTTGAGGTGTGTATGTAGAAGGCTCCTGGATGATGATGATGATGATGATGTGCATTTGAAGTGGGAGGTGGAGGAGGGGAAGGGAGAAGAGAAGGCATTGGGGTGGAAGAGAAGTCACCCCATGGTGCCATTTCACCCATAAAATTTTAGCTCTCTTGGTGTAATTCAAGATTATTTTCTTTAAATCAACACTGCACCGCATTATATATTGTCAATATGTAAAATAAATTTCAAAATGACCAATAATTTGCTTGGAAACACAGAAAAAAAGCATTTAGTTAAAGAGAGTCTCAAGCAATATGTTGCCTCCACTGAAAAGACACAAAGACTGACACCTGTATGGTGTGTTAACAGGCTGGATGGCGTGCCAGAAACTAGTTTCTTTACCTTCAATAATCTTCAATAATTGTTAAAATGACTAAAAAATTTAATATTAAACTTTTAAAATTATTGAATGGTATAAACTTCTTGATATTTACTAAAATAGTAAGGAATTTAAGCCCTAGAACCGATTAATGTATTGGCGGACTGATACTAAAGCTGGTTGCCCGGTCAGTGCAAGCGAAAACATGTTGAGGTCGGTTCTTAAGAAATTCGTTAACCGAATTTTTGTTCGTTAACGAATTGAATCCTTGGAAGGCAGTTTGCGAAATTTTAATGTGTTAGTTGAACAAGGGGTCACTGTATTATATATATATATATTATATATATATATTATATATATATATATTATATATATATATATTTTATATATATATTTATTTTATATATATATATATATATATATATATATATATATATATATATATATATATATATATATATATATATATATATATATATATATATATATATATATATATATAGCGTGCTTTATTGGGCTAATGAAATATATATGGATCCTCGTGTTTCGAAGCCGGATTTGGTAAAACGTTACTTTGACCACCTACGTGATACGGGAAGTCCCCATTAGAGGTTCACGGCGCCTTAAGCTCGTTGAACAGGCTTTGTGTGAAATATAACAAAGTCTAGGACTGCTTTTGTATCCTGGTGGTCCAGCGGTTAGCGTTCCCCGGTCACAGTCATGGGCCGTGGGTTCGAATCCTGGCGGGTTGAGGTGTTGATTATATATATATATATATATATATATATATATATATATATATATATATATATATATATATATATATATATATATATATATATATATATATATATATATATATATATATATATATATATATTTATTTTGCCTCAGATTACTATACTATTTTCACGCTAACCTGGCCCGTAAGCCACGCCCCTCTTCTATACTAATAGCTGATTGGTTCATAGAAAATTCAAACACAAGTGTGTTCACAATTGGTAAGCAGACCTGTTATTATCTAAAATAATGTTAAATATCTGAATGATCAAACTGCAAATGATTTCAAGGCATTAGCACTTCAGGGTAGGATATTAGAAAAGTTTAAATATTTATCATAAAAGGTCGATATAAATATGCATAGTCTGGGGGGGGGGGGGTTAAATGCTCAAGGGAACCAATCGGCTATTTGTAGCTATAGGTGAGAGACGTGGTTTACAGGTCAGGTTAGCGTGGAACTACTAGAGGTAATTTACAAGGGTGGAACTGACATACAGTCATCCCTTGGTTATCACGCCTAATTGAGACCTCGCTGAGTGCGTGATAACGAAAAACGCAATAACGAAAGTACAGAACCTATGGTATTTATTCTAATTGGTTCCAGGTACCCAAGACCCAACCCCAATTTTCCCATTTTACGACCATTTAGACCCACTAAAGATACAGGTATAGATAATGTTATGGTAAGTAACAGAAACACACATAGGCATGGCTAGGTTTATTACAAAGTGATGATAAGGGTATGCTCAATACTGTAGTCCACAAAACATGTAGCTATGCTTTCTTTATTTGAGTCCCCCCGTCTGAGGAGTCCGTTTTCTCATCGCTTCAGGACGTCTGAGTCCTCCGTTTTCTCTCAATCTTAAGAGTGCACCCGAGACTTCGTTATTCCTTAGTAATGACACAGAATTTGAAATTGCAACTGGGGTTGCAATTGTTGAGGCAACTTAGATATGTCTGATTACAGCAAATGTGTTATTGTCAATTTGTAGGTGAAAGATGTTGGTGAAGCAAATGGGTAACAATACACCTGGAGGCAACTGCGTGATAACGAAATTTTCGGCTTGAAAAATGCGCTATAACAGCAGGTGTGCAGATTTTGATGGAGGCGTGATAACGAAAATTGCGATAATCAAGGGATGATTGTACAAGATTTGTAAATTTGTGTGATATTGAAGACAGGAGTTATGTGTGTTGAGAGAGATGGGATCCTATGAATGAGACTTAACTAACCGGAAAATCTTTTTATCCGGCAGGTCTCAATCCACATAGGTGCCAGATTTCCGGGATTCTAGTGTATATATCTTTAGCAACTACAGTACGTAAGTTCAATAAACTATTGATGATAATTCAACTCTGCTATACTTTCCCCTGCAGATTCCAGCCTGTAATAGAGTTGAAGTGTCAGACTGACTGGGATCGCCGTATCCCGCTCAATCAGTGGTGGCTGAAGCTTCGCCCTCTCCTTCGTATCCTCGCCAAACACGAAGCTGCATACCATGAGGAGGGTATCACCGTTAAGGAAGTGGAAGAAGCCTTAGACTAAACAAGCGAACAAGAATTTGACAACCTTCACATCAACCTCATGTGTCTCTTGTTCGGTGCTCTGTTTTTTTTTTTTTTTTGTAAATACCATTTGTTATGAAAGCACACAGGTTACTGATGATTAAGAATGTTATTTCTGCTTTTATTGCAGCATGTACTTTAAATGAATTTAAAAGCAAGAGGACATAGTATGTATTTGACTATCTCACTCCGCTTTATGAAGGCTTGAGCAATATGCATAAATTAATATGACCTGGTATACCATACATTAATTAAATTAATTAAATTTTTCTCTATTATATTTTTTATATTACAAATAAATTTGCTATAATAGACATGTTTAGTATTCATGTACAGTACTGTACTATATATTAGTATTGGTTGTGATGTGTAATAATTATGAATACTATCAATGGATGTCTTGCCCTTAATTATACAACATTGTACTTGCAGTATATGCGCTCTTAGCTTCAATTACTGAAAGAGACTTATTTTTAAGTGCTTTCTTTCTTGGTGAAAGTTAGAGAATTATTAATTTATTTGAAGAAACTATTTCTGAACAAATATTTATTACATACGTGAATAATCTCTGAATCTGTATGGTATGTACATTACTGTTGATTATTCATTTTAAAACTGGGAAATGATTTTCCCACTGATCAAAGATGTAGTCACTGACTTTGAAAACTGTATTATATTGTGGTTATTTTTTTTTATTGTACTTCCCTGGAAAAAGAAAGATGTCCATAATGACCTATTGAAACGTTTTAATTTATTACTGTATTATTATTATTAAAAAAAAAGGATATTCTTTGAGCACAAAACTAATGCAGTCCAGTATATTGAAAAGACGAATCCACTGCTGATAAGAGGTGCTGATCCCTTAATTCAGGTTTTTTGGTGCCATGAATTAGTTGCAATATTTATCATCCAACTGTAATAAGGCCTAGGTCTACCAAACCAAAGACATGCAGTGATATCAGTGGTCAGCATTACTTGGTCACAAATGGGTCACGCCAGAGGTGGTTTTAGCCTAAGATTCCGTCAGTGTAAATAACATGCTAAAATTTTGATATTTATTGTTAGAGCCCGGATGTTATGGCAATTAAAATCCTTGAAGGCTGGAAAATGGACACTAAACTATTCAAATATAGGCACCAACTATTTTATTTATAAAATGCAAAAATTAATACATATCCAAACCTTTTGATTAACAATGGCAACATACCTTCCAACAGCATCATTCATCTCGTCAATGGAGATCCACATTCTTTTGCCACTCACTTCATGACGTATTTTCTGCATGATACTATCAAAGGTAGGGTTTACATGATTCTTTCTTAATGTAGCCTCATTTGGTACACATTCCTTGCTGTATTTCTCTAGAAATCCCTCCAGAGATTTATTTTCCACCTTCCACAAAGGAATACTAGCATCGATGAACGCCTTGCACAAGTCCATTGAAAATCGATATTGTCGATTGAAAGCTGCTGTGTATGTTGAGAGAAGGCATGTATTTTTTTCACCATCTTTTCGAGAAGCATTTGTTTTATGCTTACAGTACATGCCTCTAAATGCTGAGAAACATACAGTACATGCCTCTAAATGCTGAGAAACATACAGTACATGCCTCTAAATGCTGAGAAACAAAGTACTTCTTCTCATAGTATATCGATTTTTCACAGACTTTGCAAAAGAGCACTTCCTCCATTTGTTGACAAAACATCACCAAATTCTTTAACTAAATGGCAAAGTTTTTGTTTAAGGGAAGCCTTTGTTTTGAGCATTGTTTGAGGGTGTATCAACTTCCGTCTTTGAAAGAGAACGGATTGCTTCACCCGTGTCAGTGTCACCCGCGATTCTGACATCTGACAACCCTTGGATTAGTGACTCTTAACTGAGCATGATAAGAGGTACTGTACCTCCCACTAACATGCCATTTGTAGTGATCCAGGGAAATAATTTTTAAATTTTTTTTTTTTTTTTACAAAACGGACAAAACGCTAAAATAAGGCATTATAGGCATAATTCAACGGAATAGGCAATATTCCACTCGCGTGACAAAAAAGGCAAATATTGGCATATATGGTATTGTGCCTGAACATCTGGGATCTGTTTATTATAATAAATCTGTTTTTACCTTTTAGGAAGGTTTTTTTGTTTATTGTTTTCTGAAGGAATTTAATGTCTACTGTAGTGCATTTACAGGAAAGCCTCTAGTCAAGAATAGGTCAAAGAAGTCAGATTATATATACCCTTTTATTTTTTTTAATAAAATTAATTGGGCTTACTTTATTTATCTATAGATGTATAGAAATTAGGCAGAAATCATTAATATATATATATGGCTTTTAGATACAAGTCAGTCATGTACAGGGCTTCAATGGGATCATCTTTATCACCATCATTAGTCTGACTTCTCATATTATTGTTATAGTGTAGTAAATATATTTGATTTAAATGAGAAACTACTGCCAGTTCACAAGTGTATGTGATGTGTGTTTTCATGCATTTGATTTATATTTTAAGAATTATATTCGACTGAACCATGTCACCATGTGAAACATACCGTTAAATCAGTGCTCCAGTATTTTTTAGTGCCTACAAGGGACCTTGAGGAGTTGCAGGAAAATATTTGTAAGAGAGCTTTGTACCATAGGTAAGCCATTTTGTAGTTTTGCTCATTGTGGCAAACTGCATCTGCGACTGTTTAAATGTGCACTGCTCAACGGGAAATCATATGATATAGTATACAATTATCAGTACAGTAGTTTACTTACGAATTCCCTCCCATCACCATGTATAATCTTGACTGTCTTTGGGGTGTGTTGTTGCCATGTTAAAAGAGCCACATAATAAAATAGTGACATACAGATCAAAATACATGTATTTATCCATTTACCCAGGTATGTTTTATTGTAATTTAAGTAACCCTTTATAAAACTTGAGTGAATTTGTTAAGTGGATAAATTTGATTGAAAGCAACATATAGTGTCAGTACACCTTACTTTCTATTAGTATTGCAATATGAACTTAATAGCTTCAATATTGGTAGTAATACCTTACCGGGTATTAATTGCAGCAATAATTTGTTTACTAATTGTAGTAATAATTCATAAAGGATATTGACTTGCTAATGGTAATAAAAACTTTATAAAGGTAGCATTGACTAGCTTATAATAATACAGTATAGTCTGCATTTACGGGGTTTTGGTTTACGCATTTGGTTATTTACGCGGCACCTTGCCAGAATGAAAATTTTAAGTTATGCGGTTCATTTCATCATTTACGCGGGAGGCAGAGCCTGGAGGGTGTGCATTAGGTCGCTCTTACGTTATCGCTGACGTCATATGATGTATCGGACTGTGATTGGGCCACGCATCCTTACCTCCCTCCGCTGCTAGCTGTGATTGGTCTAATGTAACATGGCGTGCCCTGCCACCAGAGGGAAGAAGTCGCTGATCTAGCCGGGCCAGTCTCATTGTTCTCAGTTCTCCGCGTATACTATTCTCTTGTGCCTGCTATTCCCCCCACAATGGCTTCCGCTGGACCCCCACCACCCCTGAGAAACCTTGAACTACCCGGACCAAGCCATGGTTATGTGAAGGAAGTCATCGAGTTGGGGGAGAAAATCAAGCTCATCCTTGACAAAGACACAGTCAAGCATCGGTATGAAGTGTCTAATAACCTTCTGTCGAAATTATGGAGCCGTATGTCCAGATGTATCACGACAACATCAAAGCTAGTCATCAACGTAGTATTACGGACTTCTTCGCCTGCAACCCACCACAACCACAGCCAGCCCAAGTCAGTGACAGTGAGGATATGGACTTTGTAGGGTTTGTCAGGGAGGCCCTGCAAACCTCTGTGAATAGTTATAGTGATTCACTGGAGGGCCACTAATCTGCCCTCTGCCTCGGAACCAGCCGCCATCCACGTGTGCCGACCCATCTCTTCTACTAATGTAAGTGTTAAACACCTTTAGATTTGTACAGTAGTGTAGTTTTTTATTTAGATATTGTGTGTGTCAATACCATTATAAAATTATGATGTTATTTTTACTACAAGGTACGTATTGTGTCAGAAAAAGTGGAGTTTGAGAGTCGGCCCAGTCTCTATTTCAATTAATCCCATATGTTCTGTTATTTCGTTTATGCGTTTCTCGTGGACCTCCACTGGTTCAATTGACCACGTAAATGCAGACTATACTGTAGTGTAATGATATACTAATGGTGTTAATAATATACAGTAAAATCTCAATGATACGAGGAGATACTCTCCTTGGAGCCTGCTCATATAATGGGGGGAATAATAGATGGGTTAAATACGGATGCGTTCCCGAGCACAGAGTACAGCTGCTCCTCGACTTACTACGGGGTTAGGGACCCAAATCCAGGTCGTAAGTCGAAAATGCTTAAATGATACTGTACATAGAAAATCTAAAATGTGTCTCTTTTTGTTCAGTGCTCTGAATGCGACGCTCAGCAATGCTACCTAGGTATGTAAATTCCTAGCCAATTCGCCAGGCCAACATACAAGCAATTAAAACATCTAATAATTACTTAAGTAATATTAGGAGGACACGTCACTACCTGGCATTTAATTGCTATTTTCAAAGTCCTTCTCTCATCCAGCCTCCATGCGCACTGCGAAGCTCATCTCTTGCCTGGCAATTCAGCTATAATACACACAAAGGGAAGCTCTGCGAATTTGTGTTCTAATTGCTGAAATACTCACCTCCGCAAGGATATTATATATGGTACAGTATTTGTACTTAATAGTGTCTCTTTTATCCGGCGAAGATGATGGGATATACCAGCCCTGAGTGATACAGCATGTAGTACAGTATACAACAATGTGTATTACAGGTAAGCAGTGGTAAGACAAATACTGAACTTGAAGGTGTTACCTACTCTGTGGATCAGACAGTCTAGGAAGGGTAATTTGCAGTCACTCTAATTCCACCATGAATTTGATCGATGGGGCCAAGTTGTTAAGTAGTGGTGGAAAGGCTTTTAAGTCCTCTTTACATGGCTAAAGACTTATTACATCATCTACATGTCTTAACCAAACTGCTGAAGGTGGTAAAATATTACTTGGTAGTTTCTTAAAAAATTCCATATATAAGTTGCTCAATACTGGTGAAAGCCATACTAAATTTGTGAGCATAATATTCTCCATTGAATTCAAATTTACAATCCTTAATACACAGTTTGATAAGTTCAATGAAAACATTTTTTGAGACGGGTGAGGGAATATTCTTCAGGAAATTTGCGAGGAACTCGAGCAAATCATCAACTGGGACCTTTGCAAAGCATGATGTTACATCAAAGCTGACCAGTTTAAAATCATAATTAATGTGAGAGTTATTGAGTTTATCAACTAAATCCATATTATTTTTAATATTAGAGTTTGATATGTTGCCAACTAGGGGGTTTAGTAAAGAAACTAGCCATTTAGACAACATAAAAGTGATTGACCCAACTGAGCCAATAATGGGTCTTGCTGGGTTATTTGGCTCGAGTCTTGATAAGACCGTACACGTATGGCAGTGAAGGAAACGTTGAAGAAAACTGTTTAATGAGATTAACTTCACCTCTTAATAGAGACTTAAGTTTTTTGTTAAATTGAGTGTTAACTGTGTTGGAAGGATTATTTATGAGCCTAGAATATGTTGCAACATCACATAAAGGTCATTCACTACTGTGTTGTCTTTATCTGCTTTAGTAACATGTAAATCCTTATTTTTCTTAAGGGCTTGGATTCCTTTGGTAAACCTTTCCGACTCGCCAGCTCAACCGCCTCGTATAATGTTACATGTAATGAACCTATAAAATTTTTGGAAAAATCATTTCAATACGGTACTCTAATGTGGCTTAGAAATAAAGAAAATATAAAATTATAAAATAAGAAAAATGTGTGGATGCGGTGGGCTATAACTCGGTGGCCGCCCTCCCTCCCGATGTGACGTCGTGGCAGCCACATGTCTGTGAGTCAGCTGCCTGGCTTAAGTGGGTGGCATTGCCCAGAGGATGGTTTGTGTGTGGAAGGAGCTATTTTTTTTATATAAAATGTGCTATTGTATTTAATGATAAGCTATGTATCAATTTTATTGTTTATCAAAGCAATAAATATGGCAGCTCATCTCCATTGTGCACGATATTCAAACTTACAATTCTAGCTGATTTTGGAGGAATTTTTATTATTATTTCATTTTGGTGCTGGTTAGTTGAATCTGCTGGTTGCCTGGGCACACCAACATATTTAAGTCACTTATGTCTCTGCTGGCACTCTTAACTCTTGGCTGGTGCACTTAAATCATCTGTGTTAGCTAAGACCATATGCACAAAGCAATTTAAGTGTGCCAGAGTCTGGGATCTTGGAAACTAAAGTCCACTTCTGAATTATTTTAAGTGAGCAAACTGGTCCTCGCGTTCACTAGGACAACACTGCTTTTAGCATAGTGTGTGGTCTTTTAGGATTTTTGATCATGTAATACATGGGAAAGGTATTTTAAATGCAATTTACAAAAAAAAGTTTTGGTAATTTTGTTATTTTAATTTAGAAAAAAATTTGTATGATTGGTGCTTTGTACCACCACTAACTTATTTTGTTAACACAAAGTCAGGAGGGTAACGGTTACTCCCCCGCACACTCCTCCTATACCTCCCTCTCTCTAAGTATGAAGAAAGAAGGTAAGAGAAATAATTAAAGAAAGATTAATAAAGAAATAGTTAATATAATTACAGTATAAAGCAGATAGCAGGCAGCTACCAAACAGGGAGGTACTACCACCTGGGAAGATATTGGAAGCATAATGTATTGTCTAATGGTAGACCTTGCTGCCATATTGGACCAAGTCCCAGGTTGCTGATCTGACTGTCTCATTTACACACAATTGCAGGGTCTCAATTGTTTCTCTTACTTTGACAACACAACACACACATATCATTTCTCGCTATTGATTTTTTTTTTTTGTATATATTTATGGTCCTTTTTTATTATTAATATTATTATTATATTGTTATTAATTACAGGTATTGTTATTATTATTATATTTTTGCCCCCAGACCCTGATGTGGGTCATTGACCTGTGCCATGGTGTGCTAATCCTGTATATAAAAAAAGAGAAAGTAAGAAAGTAAATAATAAATAAAGGAATAAATAAACCTCAGTTGTGATTTTGTTGATTTGCAGCTAATATTGTATGGCTGTAGCATTGTGGAGAATGTGGTCCCCATAGACATTCAAATTTAGTGCTATTGCATCATAACATCCACTGATTGGCTAATGGGACAAAAATATTTGTAACGTGCATTCTGATTGGTTGAATGATGTCAGCTGACACAGCAGAATTACTTAAAGTCTTAGCCACGCAACAACAATCGTAAATTTGTTTTCAGCATGCAAACTTAAGTTTTCACTTAGCCCCCACTTATGATTTTGAGTTATGTGAGCTGTTGAGGCAGAATTGAGTCAGATGCTAGTGCATCCCTTTCCTGGACTCCAAGATAACCAGGATTCTACTGTACTGCATTCATTAATAATTTTGTATATTTAAAAATTAGTTGTTCACACTGGAAAAAACAGGACAAATTTATTGCTTCATGGCACAATTTAAGAATATACCCGGTATTTCTTTAATTTACAAGATATCTACAGGTCTGTGGGGTAATAAGAAAAAACTTTTTTTTTATTTAAAATTATTATTACTACTGTATTTTAAATTAATTACCTTAAAGTTGGTAACAGAAATAGTTCCGCAAAAATATATTGATCTTAGTTGTGTAATTAGAAGTATTTTTATGCTGGATTTGAGATTACAGGGATCAATATGTTTTTGCAGACACAGTTCTAGAAGTCAAGTATATTATTTAAGCATCCTATGTATTTGGTTATGATCTGTAAACTTGTGAAGATTGTCTAAGTTCTTCCACCATAATGGGAGAAACTTTTCTGCAATGAGACTGAACCAAGGTGTGATGGGAATATTGCTATCCCTCAACCCCTTTAAAAAAATATTGAAGTCCTCTCTCTTCACGTATCTGACATCTTGCACCTCATTCTCATTTGGGTTAACTGACACATCTCTCTGTAGAAATAAAATGTAATCCATTTCATGTTCTCCCCACATTCCATCTGATGGACTAGCATAATGAATCCTGGTCAAGTAAGTAAAATCCCCTGGCATTGCTTGTTCACGAGGTATACCCAACTCAAATTCTAAGCGTCTCTGAGCAGCGTGTCTGATACCCCACACGTTGTCTTCAATAGTTTCCTGTGGAGTGTGTAGTGGGTGGGAGCAGCAGGTATTTGTATAATGACCTGGAAATGTTATCTGGAAAAAGAGTGAAAGTGGTTTTAATTAATTATTGTCAATTCTAGCTTTCATCTGCCAACATGTTGCAAAGACATATTAATTATGAATTCAGGCATACAGGTACCCCGATAACCGACACACATAGGGACCGGGAAAAATTGTCGGTTTGTGAAGCAACAGTTATTGGAGCAATAAATCCCATAAGAACAGAACAAAATCAGGGGGTTAGGGACCAGCCACCCTCCAAAAATCCCAATCTACCCTTGATATATCTCTGTACAGTGCACTGTCAAGCAAGAAAATAAAGCAGACATACAAAGCAAGCATAATAAGCCTTAAGCACTGTAAAGCATAATTGAGACTTATTTACCTATGTTGAGGATGGTAGAGACAGTGTAGGGTAGCAAGTTCAAGTGTCTACCACTTTTATTATGACTTATTACATCAAGCTGCCCAGCACAAGAGGAACTATGATTGGAGTGTTTAGGCATGATTGAGTAGCACACTACTGTAAGTCAGACACACAAAGATGGCGGGAATGAGTCAGAGGCAGTGTGCAGAGCCCTCTGGAGACAAGAATTTACACCATGTCAGCTCTGCCAATCATCAGATCTCTGGGTATCAACGAACTTGTGGGGCATTTCCCCTATATGTAATCGGCAATTATGCAAATCGGCGGTCAAAGGGATGTCGGTTATCGGGGTTCACCTGTACAATTAAGAAAACCATGATGAAAGATAAAGAAGGAATACAAAAATTTAGAAGCCAATATTTCATCACACAATTGCATCTAGAACCTTTGATAATAGCATCAGTCACACCTTGGCATCAGAGCGGCGATGCACCAGAAGTTCACCGGTTTTATTGAAGAGAAAAACACTAAAGGCTCTATGAAGAAGGCTTGATCCATTCTGCATCAAATGACAGTCACGTTTAGAAGCTGTGCCAATGTTGGTGTCATTCTCATCAACCAGAATACAAGGCTCATCAAGAAGAGCATATTGCTGTGGGTCAATATCTTCTGCAAAATTACTTTGCTGAAAAGTAAAAGAAAAACTTTACTAAAGCCAAATTTTAAACTGAATAAAGCATTATTAAGTATTACTAAAAATTTAATTCAACCTACCACATATCAAAATATACATTAACTATGTAATTGTGACAGTGACTATTTGGAACTCAAAGCTGTCTGTCTTATCTAGAATTCTAACTTATGCATAACCTGCCCTTGGGTGCTTTCACCCATCACTTTGCTTCAAAATCTCTTCCAAAAATAAAATTGAAGTTAACAGTAGCAGATGATTCTTGTAGTAGAAGACTATGGGGGCTGCTTACACATACAATATAAGGGGGTCCTCGTTATCCGTGGTTCATTGGGACTGGAAAAATGCCACTCATAATGAATCCGCTTATAGCAGGGAATTAATCCCCTAAGAAATAATGGAAATAGGTCAAATTGGGACCAAGACATTGTACATGACACTCAAAAAAATGTATACAGTACAGTATACTGTATCATTAAACAATTATTTACCTTGGAAACATTTGTGCACACTCACTCCAGTGGTTCATTGAGACTAAATACCTATTATAATGTTATAAAAATAATAATTTTAATATAAGAAAATATTTTGATTTTTATCTTAAGTTTTTAGAGTCTTTTAGTTGAATCTGCTTAAATGCATTGACTTTTTACGTGAAATGTCACAAAAACTTGACCACTAACTGTGAAACCGAGGATAGTGAATACTCTTATAACGAGGACCCGTACCAATATTGACACTTATACTACATTTAACTACACTTATATCTAGTAGCACTTCAATCTAGCTGGTGTCATAAAAAAATACTCTGCTTCACTCCAAACTTCTCACAGATAATGTTCATAGAGCTTCAATTCTGCCTCAAATCTTCTCTCTCTTCAATTGGTAAAGTTTTGAGCACCATTCCTTTCCTCCCAGTGATCCTCAGTGGTGTTGTATTACCTTTACCTGCTTTAGAGGCTAAAACAACAAACTAGGGAAGCCCTAGGAAAAACAGTGTGCATAGTGCAGCAGTGGCCACAACAACAAACTCAGAAATGGACTCCTCTTCCAACTACCGCCCCACACAACCCCTCCTAAAACAGATCTCGTCCAACTAAGGTTGTTTTTTTGACTTACAGAAGTCCAATTTAAAAGGATCTTGCTGTATGATATTGTTGCATATTCGGGAAGAATTATCTTGCTGAGAAAATACAATTACGGTACTGCAATTCAATTTTGACTAACTTTGATTAATCCACTTGATGATGTGTGCAAGAAACGGGTCCTCGTTTGTAGGAGGGACCACTCAAATATCCGATACAGTGCCATAGTTAAACCTGAAACAGAAAAACAATATCATTACTTGTATTGTGCAAGGATAAATATAATGGGAGATCTAATGATGTGTCTATACAGTATTTACACTGTACAGTACAGGTATCTCTCTAGAAAATCCCTTTTTATTTAATTTCTTCACCCAGCAATTTCTCTCATTCTTCATACTCTAACCCACTACTGGTGATTTATGACCGTAGACAAAGAAAACAATATAAATAAATAAAAACTCGGGTATTTAATTATTGCCGACTGACCCGCCGCCAATTTTTCATAATATACAATTTTTAAAATGCTGCAATTTCACTGTTTTATAGTGGACACTGTCATAGTCATGGCCAATGTGTGAAAAAGTGGTTACAGTGTTACTAAATTAAACCTAATTTAACCTTAGTTTATCAGAAAAACAAGCAGCTTTAGCGTTGTTATAAGATATCACCAACCTAACCAAACAAACCCACCTAACCCTACCTAACTTCCTAGCCAGGGGCTCTGCCCCCTGGACCCCCAGCATATTAAATAGAAAGAACTTACTATGATATGGTGTAATTCTATGATTTATGTGGACGTGAGAGCAGCCACTCATACCAATGGTCTCATAAGCATACACTAAGCATCAGAGTTAATCCGGGCCCCAGCGGCTGAATGTTTTGAAATACGCCATTATGATTGGCCGTTTACATCCTGGGATGAGATGTCACTGCCAAGAAGACAAACTGGTGCCTGCGTAAGTGCCTAATTAGTAAACGTTTACTTGAAAAGGCAAAAAAATAACGTTTTCTTTATTTAACCTAACCTAACCTAACCTGACCTAGCTCTCGACCCCCGAGTGGTTATATAATGTTGGGTCATGTATTATAAAGCATGGTAATGATTCAGATCCTGTGACTACCACTCCCCTTCCCATGGCTTGCCGGTATTATAGTATAAATTATAAAAAAGAGAACACAGTCACTAGCAATTAACAACAAAAATTATGGTGGAAAAGCAGTGTGTTTTGTAGAATTGTTGGCAGCATTAATCTTCACGTTAACTGTAAACCTGAAAACAAATATTAACCCATTTATAATACTGGACTCCAAAAATATAAATTTCCAACGGAATTTTTATTTTTTCTCTTTACCTCTATATAAGACTCAATATATATGTCGGAGTTGGCAATTTCTAAATATTAACCAAATTAAACAACTTCTGGTGGTAGTGATGTTCTCAGAAATTACCCCCCTACCTTTACCATTCACTGTGCTGTACATCTTATTTAATAACTGGAAGGTAAGGTAATAGTAGATAACACTCTAATTCACTTCCAAACAGGAATTAAAAAAAAAAAAAACACTGTAAAGGAAATGACCACATTCCCAGGGTCACATCAGTTAATCAATTACTGTATCTTTAAAACATAAAATATAACACTGTATGTATAAATTCATTGCCTCCTTTTTAGGTACACTACGGTTGCCTTTAACACACCAAAAGACAGACTGTAGTGGCGAATTTTGGAAGACAACTGTACACCTCCACTTGCTGAGGCAGAGTACCACACTGACCACTGCCTCTTGAGACTCCTGACCACAACACACAATACCTGCACCTGAGGCTTGATCACCTTTTCTCGAATGTTCGCAAGAATTCATTTAATTTAAAAATATTTCATAAAAATCTTTAATCTTTGTAATATATTCTAGTCATTGTCTTATATGGGACAGAAGCAACGATGGTCATTTTATTTTCCATCTTGTATTGATAGGCGGCATGAGATTGGTAAATACTTCATTGCGAATATGCCGGTACAGTATTTATTGAGTGGTAGACAACCTGAGCTGTCATTATGTTCCCAGAAGTTATCACTCACCGTATTGATGCCTAACAGACACACCTCCAATTGTTCTGTTCTATATCTGTCTTTACGGCTAATACTGTATAGGCAGCGCCCTCTCCTACAAATGTATTTTATTCTGTCTACTTTTTTAATTATATAGAGTAATGTAATAATAATATAATTTCATCCCTTATCAGCTTACTAAACATTCCGTGTAAGCCTATATCATCAGCTTATTTCCCGTAAATAGTTAATATTTGGTATTAATTTTTTTCCTTAGGTGCTGAAGCTATAACTTTATTACATTATAAAGTCAACATCACAGTTTTGGGGTGAAGGTAAAGAAAATAATCCCAACTTTATGTTTGTGGCCATACCTGACACTTTCTTTAAGCTTACATTCAACTTATTACACCTACGTAAAATTTCTCAAATAATGAAAGCAATAATAAAAATTACTTTACCATCAATTTAGTAGAAGAGTGTTAATTTTATACCTCTGGATTGATATATATTTTTTTTATATAGAACAAGAGTCACCATACCAGTCCCAGGTCGACGTGGCCATAACAAACTCCTGTCAGCTGAGGTGAAGGGAAACAAGAGGCTTTAATCATGATAGGTTCCTTCAAGCAGATGAAAAAAGATGAAGAGGATGGTAGGTATAACAGTGAAGTACAAGTGAAGAAAATATAATATAATTTAAACACTTTAATTGATGAAGTAAGCTGTGTTTGGGTGGGGAGTCCAGTAGTGAGGAGTTTGTCACAGCTGATCTGAAGTTTTCTGACCGCCGGTGTCTTATAAGAAGTATTTTCATTTATATTTAATGCGAGAAATTAAGGTTAAGGTTCGTTTTAATGCCATGGCTAATATATAGGATTAACCCGCCAGGGCTGCCTCAAATTTCACCATAGGAAGTCTTTGTTTAATATACCGAGGAAGTTAGGTAACGTTAGGTAGGTTTCTTAGTAAATTTGTTCTTTAGGACACGAGTCCCTAGGGATTGACCAATATGGTTTTCCAGTGTTCTTTGGTGTATTTTAAACGAATCGGACATTCATTTTTGGCGGAAATTGCTAGTATTTACCCCCCCCCTCCCCCAACAATAATGGGGGATAACCTGGGAAATCGGGTTTTAGGTGGGTAGAAAACGAAAACGAGTCATCTGGCCTAACTAACCTAACCCCTGGACCCCCGGGAGGCCTAACCTGACTCCTAGCCAGGGGCTCTGGCCCCTGTAGGCCTAGCTTAAACTAGCCTAAATGTTTCAGGAGTTAAAAACTCTGGGGCACGCCATGTCCGAAAGTACAATACCTTAGTTAGAAGTGGAAGGACCAAGGATATATAAGAATTGGACAGAATGATCGTCTGTTGTAAAACTCGGCAATAAACTTAAAATAATCGTAGGAGCACAAACAACATCCAACCTCCACCACGGCCATTGTGAAACCGGTCAAATGTGATTGGTCGAAAAAATTAACGGGATATTGATACCTCATTGGTCACGACCGGATGACGTCAGTCAACATTGCGTATGCGTGATGCGTAGATAACATCTCCTCACAGAAATGAAGACTGAAAACTACTTAAAATTAATTAAATTAAATTGTGTCACTATTATCCATTTCCGCCATGTATATATGAGGTTCTAAATGCCCAGAATAGCGAGATCTAAATGTTTCAGTGGATTATAACTTTGGGGCTATGTCCGAAAGTAAAATAATACTTGTTTGTTTGATTTGGTTGGTTAGGTCTGTTCTTCATAGCCACATATGTTATGTAGCGTTTATTTTAAAAATAACAAGTTTTTAACATATTTCCACAAGCTACAACAGTACCACTATAAAATAACAATGAAAATCCGGCATTTTTATAATTGTTTTCAATCAATTTTGCACGCCGTTTAGTCCTATACCCTCCGCCAGTTTCTCTAAAAAGAGTTACGGTAAAGGTGTAGAAAAGAGTGACCACCAGAGGAAATTGGCCGAATTGGTTTAAATTTTTTCTACACACTAATATGATATTAAAAAAAAATGGAAACGACAATGCATAGAACCTAATTGAACCTGACCTAACATACCCATAGTTTGAGTATGTTAGGTCAGGTTCTTAGGTTTTATGCATTATCGTGTTAGTTTATGTGTTAAACAATTTACCTTAATATTGAGGTTGATATACATCAGCAATGGCGAGGAGGATTACGTGGAAGTGTTCACCATCATTTAGGAAACGCCCTTGAAAAGGTATTCAGCGAGGTAAACAAAAAAAAAATGGCGCCGGAAGAGAATTGTGAAGCGGGATAGAGTAAATAACAAATAAATGAAATGTACTTAAAATTATAATAGTGTTTGTCGTTTCTTTTAATATACTTAAAAATCATCAAAAATATAGTTAAAGTACTATAGCAAAAATCAAGAAAATCACAAACAACTTCTGGTGATCACCCTTTTCTACACCTTTACCAGAGTTTAATATTTTGCTATTTGGACTTTAAATATAGGTTATGTTACCTTCAACATTCTTGGTTCCTCATTATTTTGGAGGTAATGTCAAAAGTTGAATTCTATTAAAAAATACAAAAATATCACGAGCGTCTTGACATCGTCTCAATATCTTCCTCCATTCTCTCCAACCCCGCTTAAAAGTGATCAATAGGTTAGATTAGGTTTCGTTTCAGTTATGAAAAATATAGTGTTCTTGTGTATTTTGGCTTTTTTTTTTAACAGGGAAATATGTTTTTCTGGTGTAATTTTGTGTGCTTTGTTTAAATCTGACCTTCATTTTCTTAAGAAATTCCCCATTCTTTGTAAAATGTCTAACATTTTCTTACAAATGTAAATTTTCTAAAGAAAATGAAGATCAGATTTATACAATATACACCTGAAAAATATATTTCCCTGTAAAAAACAAAATGGGGCATTAAAACAAATCTTTATTAAAATTAATACTTAAGACAGAAGATTGCAGACCTACAGTATACTGAATATGGTTTTAGGCAAGAAAAATATAAATCAGCATGCTCATCACGACAATTTATAAATTATTGACACATGACTAATAAAATTGACTTTATGCTTCTAAATTGTGTCAGAATCTGTTTAATAATAATATTAATAGGTAAATTAAAGATTCAGGGTAAAAGTGGAGGAAAGGGTTGGCACCAGCTGGACATTAAGGAATTTCACCTAATTTTCAGATGTCTGGATGATAATGAGTAATAAAATTTAAATGACAACATTGTAGTATTTTTGGTGTGTAAAGATTTAAGACAAACACGGAAACTACTAACAAAAAGGTATTACTGTATTAGACATTTTCATCCAGTGATTTTTAGGATTTTAAGTTTTGGAATCAGTAGTTAACACAATTCTACTGATTCCAAAATTTAATATCTAAAAATCACTGCATGACCGAAACGATAATTTTACCAACAAAAATAGCGGATGTGTTCAATTTTTCTCGAGATGTTCGGATGATAATGAAAAAATTGAAACAGCAATGCGATAGGTTCTATTAGGTTCTATGCATTCTTGTTCCCATTTTTGTGTTCATTATCATGCAAATAATTTCTACTGAAATTTTGGTTCAATTCCATAACTTATTTCTGGTGGTAACCGTCTCCTTCACATTCGGTATAGGACATAGACGATTACTGTAGATGCGAATACTGTACTAAAAAAATAGGTTATTCATTTTTAATTGATAGTGATGTACGGTAATAAAGGAGGAGATGGCTAACACCTGAAAGAGTTCTTCTATTGCATTTATTTTTTCCACTAATGTCGTTTGGATGATAGTAAGTCATAAATATGATACGACAACGCTTTCCTCACTTGTAATGGGTAGGGCAAGAAAGAAGAGGGAAATTACAGAGTAAAACATAAAAACTTATATGGCTGTAATTTTATCTATCTACAGTACATGATTTGTAAATGGAGAAATAAATTTATTACAGTACTGTACTGTAAATATTATGCCAATATTTCTCTCATGATGCTGTGTGTTCGTGTCCCCTCTTAAACTATAAATTTATGATTCCGGTTTTTGTAAACATATACAGTACAGCTAATGGTGGAGCTTCACATAGGGGGTTATATTAGCACAAATATTGGCTTGGTATCTTTTTGTTTTCAGTTTTATTAACATTTTCCTGGTACATTACTGTATTCTTGTTTATGACCTGCATAATTTTTTTTATTTTCTGCATATGGTTTTTTAACCTATTCTATGCATAAAGGATGAGACATATACTGTACAGAACAGTAGTGGGATTCGAATCCCATATTATGGGTTTGGATACATTTACAGGTGTACAATTTCTTTTGAGTATCATTAGATTTTAAGTGACCTGTATGTTTCTCTAATTATTGTTCTTTCTCAAAGAGAAGCTTGCCATCTTGTTTTTCAACTGTATTATGTAAATCTAATAAATCATATCAATAGATCCCTCTTCTGGAAGATGCAGAAATGTTTGTAAATGCAGCTGCTTCACAAGGGTTGAGCTGTCATACCCAAAGTATGGTAAGGCAGTTCAGTCCTTCGAGTTAGCAGGTTATGTTAATCAATATACAGTAGCAGTTCTCTTCTTCCTTGGTCAAAAAAGGGATTTTAGGATTTTCTCCTTTTTGTGAAGTTGACATATACTGTACAGGTACTGTACTTCAATTTTTTCAGAGGCTCTCTCTTGTCACTTTTGTACTTGATCACCGAGGGATCTACCACAAGCAGGCAAAAGGTTGTATATACTGTACTGTATAATCGCAAATTATTAATGAAAACATTGGTACGGAATAATGTATGCTTTGTTATGGCATCTTTCCTATATCAAACTGTACTGCTATATAAGCAAATACAGTAGCAAGAAGCTTGCCCATTAATCTCATATGCTGTTCTGTAAAAAAATTCATTTCAAGAGCTAAAAGAAATATGCAGCCCAGTGGAGCATATAGTGCCAAAGTACTGTACTGTATAGTTAATTTATTTATATTTTTTCATTACGTGTATTATGCTTTGAATGTATTGAGTGCTGGATAGAAGTTTTTCAGTTGTGCTGTTGATAGAATACTATACTGTATAATGTACTATAAGGTTGACCACCGAATTTCTGGCAATCGCTGGTTTGGAACCTCTGATGGTTGGGACAGTTTTATGGTGGTGGAATTTGAAATTTACCGAGCAATACCTGACTGAAGTTTACCGAGCACTGCTTTGTTGTGGTGGCATTAGTATTATATATACTAAATAATATTTCAAGTTTTTATGCTTAAATATTTATGCAAAAAGTAGGTAGTCAAACTATATACACATTGTATTTTTGAGGGGTTAAAATTCATGCATTTCTACGGGTCATTTATGGTGAACAGTAGCTACCCAGGGACTTGCTTGCAGGAGGCTAACCATACCGAGCTGTGAGGTGTTATTGTTATTTTTGAACTCGTAATTTTGGGTAGATATACGAAAACTTTTTTTTTTTTTTCTCTCTCTCTCTCAATTACATGCACACACAATCCTACATACTGTAGATATATGTGCAGGTGTTGTGTAAAAAAAGTGAAACTATAACTATCATAAACTCATAAACATAAAGGGAATAAACATTTCTTCATTAGAGCTGTAACCTGTTATGGTTACTGTATTTTTCAACTCATAATTCCAGGTAGATGTACAGTAGGTATGTAATTTATATATATATATATATATATATATATATATATATATATATATATATATATATATATATATATATATATATATATATATATATATATATATATATATATATATATATATATATATATATATATATATATATATATTTTTTTTTTACTCTATTACATTCACACAATCCTTCATACAGAATGTGAAAAAAATTCATAAGATCAAAAACATAAAGGGAATAAACATTTCAGTGCACTGAAGTTATATAGAATAGAGGAGGAAGAAGGGGAGAGGGAGCAGCAGGGGTAACTCAGCTGTTAGCTCTCTCTCATTTCCCATGTGTAGTGAAACAATTGCCTAATGGTAATGCAGTACTTTAATTTTATTTTATTTATTAGTATTATATTTGTTTATACCTCACATTTACTGGTACAGTAAATATTATTTTATGTACTATGTACTGTACAAGGAATAGCTCCTCTGGGCAATGTGACACAGTTCAGCCACCCAGCTCATTCACTTTGGGGAAGGGAGGGAGGGAGTGATGCAGTTACACTTACAGCTCACTTCCTCCACACACTAACATTCAATTCTTACACATACACATCCATGCTCTTCGTTTTTTTTATTTTTTTTAGTTTTATATATTATTTATTTCTGAGCCACATTAAAGTATTGTAATGATTTTTTCTCAAACGAGCACGGATAAGTGATAAAAGTGCTGTGTGGGTTGGCTCACGCAGGAGTGAGATCCTCGCAGAAGGGCGGATCAGATGGTCGACCGCTTATAAGCGGGGTCGGGTAATCTGGATATGCGTCCTGTACTTTGAGACCCTACTGTATATAGACCTCTGATGGTCCAGGAAAACCACTGGTCTGGCATGGTTCTGGTCCTATGAAAGTTGGAAAATTGGTGGTAAAGATGTTTATAAATACTTATAAAAATTTTTTATTCATTTATTTGACCACCTCTTACTGTAGTGTAGCACATTTATGCTAGATTTTTGCATAGTTTTTCTTTTTTCATTATTATCTAATTCTTATTAACATGAACTAGATGACCCAGTACTTTACTCCTGAGTTGAAACACCTGTTTGAAGGCTTTTTTGTAAAGTATTTTTATTTAGAATAATTTTCAAATTAGATTGAAAAAAAAATTCATCTGTAGGAAGAAACCATTGAATAATACTTTATGGGACTTTGAGACTAACAGGTTACACAATTTATTGGGTGAACATTTACTTCCAGTTTTTACCTAATGCAGTACAGTGCTGCTGTTGTATTAATTTTATTTCATGGCTTGCTAAACATGGGTAGTTCATTTTTTCCAGAATTTCTTTAAATTTAAAATAACTTGTATATACATTACTGTACATATATAACTGTCATTATTATATAACAGGAATTTTAATTTCAGTTGAGTAAATGATATAAGCGATTGCTATGATTTTTTTCACATTTTCCAAAAAGTTTATGGGATCATGTGGGTGAACAAGAACCCTTGCATTATCCTAATAATTGTGAAAATATTAGTTTTACAGAGGTCATCTTAAGTAAAGCAACAGATGAAAAAGTTTAATGTGTTTTGTTCACCAATACTTACCTACACATATGGTGTATTTTAGGGGTGGGAACCCATACCACAGCATGGACAAAACTTCAGTGCTACAAGAAGCTCGGGTTTTCAATGAGACTCCAGTTAATGTGAAGCGTAGCACTCATGTCCTCACTAAGATCCTTTATCTCCTTAACCAAGGAGAATCCCTTGCTACCAAAGAAGCAACTGATGCCTTTTTTGCCATGACCAAATTGTTCCAGAGCAATGACTTGGTTCTCCGACTTTGTATACCTTGGGATTAAGGTAGTAGTGAATGTTTAGTGTATCATTGTAATTTGTTATATTTTCAAATATTTTCATTGTCTTGTTGAATATTCAGTATGTATTGAAATAACTTTGTCTTACATAAATGTGGACCTTATCTTCTGCTTTCACTTATTTTCGTGGTCCTTTGATTTCAGGAATTGTGCGCTGTAGCTGAAGACACAATCATTGTAACATCCTCCCTGACCAAAGATATGACTGGGAGAGAGGATCAGTACCGGGCTCCAGCGATCAGGGCGTTGTGTAGGATTACAGATGTATGTATGATGCTTTTATTGTTTCCATTGATAATTTTTTGTCATATTTTTCTTGATTCACTCAACAACAAATCCTACTCCCAACCAAGACTCTCAAATGGTTCTTGAAAGAAATAAAACCTGTTCACTTGCAGATATTGGCAGATACCTTTGATTTTGTATCAGTTCACCTCTTCCTTTATCTGATACCTTTCTGCTGATTTGTATAGCAGTTAAAGATTGTGGCACGAAAGCTTTTTGAGTTGAACAATAAGACCTGAGTTTCAAAAACAGTTTTAATAAAGATTTTCTGGATTCTTTATGTAGATAAGGCCTATGATGGGATAGAATTTTAATTTTTTTTGTAACCTTTTTAGAGTGAACAGAGATTTGAAAAGTTTATGGTCTTATTACCGTAAGACCAATCTATTTTAGTTTTTTTCTTTATTCAGTGATTGTCATATTATGACCTTTCAAATGTTCTGCAGGCCACCATGATGCCATTGAACGGTACATGAAGCAAGCTATTGTTGATCGTGCACCCGGTGTTAGCAGCGCTGCTCTGGTATCTTGCCGGCACATCATGAAGGATTCACCAGATGTTGTCAAGCGCTGGGTCTCAGAGGTGCAGGAAGCATTGAGTTCTGACTGGTGAGTGCTAAATGCCTTTTGTCCAAAATTTTGAACATTTGGGAAAAAAGCTAAGGCTATGTACGGCACCTTGCAGTGAAACTCAAATACCATAGCAAGTAATTTTTAAGAAAGATCGGTTGGCTACAATTGAAAGAGTTGTCTGTTGGTGTTGATGACAACCATCTTGCATCATTGTGTGAAAAGACTTGCAGGTGCAATGAAAAAGCTTAATCCCTGTTAGTCGAAACACTTGGTGCAGAGCTCTTTTGGGGATGAGAGATTTCTGAGTAACTAGATGATTCTCTCAAACCCAGAAAAAATCCCACATCCCCGGAATTTTTTGGGGTACAGTATTATACTGGGGAAAGTTTCCGAAAGTCTAAACTACACATCTCGCCAGATAGACATTATCGTATATCCCCAGAATGTTTCTGGGTGCTGGGGAGGTTTCCAAGAGTCTAAGAGAGTCTAAACTATGCATCTGATCATCTTATCTTGCCCAGACAAACACCCTCCCATTATATTTAGACCGTGGGCACGAGCCAAATTAAAATACTGTACATAAACTAATGGGAAAAATAACAACATAGACTGGCCACTCTACATCAACCCTCTGATTTTTCCATTTATAACCTCCAGATGATACAAATTCTGCATTTATTGACCTGATTGTGCTTTCCGGAAACTAGTTTTTAGGCCTTCCTCAAGTAACTTAATCACACGCTGCTTATCCTGCATCGAGTACTTGGCAAACTTAACTCCCTTATGATAGTCCCGCTTCTCCTTTTCCTTATTTGGCTGCTTAGGTGGGTCTGTCCCACCCCCACCAACACCAGAATATGAACTAAGCAATCCAAGAGCTCTGCCACCTACCGCCTGGCACGTGGGGATGAATTGGAGCATGATGCAATCTCTCGGAACTACTTGAAAATTAATTCACAGGCCCAGAACGGAGAGTTTTGGAGGGATTTTCTCAGAATTTTCCCCCAAAATGTGCCTGATTTTCATCCTCGGAAACTTGGTGGTACTTCAGTGAGTCAGCTGACGAGTCGTTAACGACATGCACACATTCTTGTGCATGTTTTAATTATTGCAATTATTGTAGTACTGCATGCTCTTAAAATTCACGGGGGTTTGGGTCTCAAAATGACTGCGAATTGCCAAAACCACAAATATCATTTGCTGACCGGGGGGGGGTTACTTTTTACTCAAATGCAAAGAATTGTATATTCCCTTTATGTGTTTGCCCTTACGACAATTATTTCTATAACCTGTACTGTATATGTGTGTAGCCACACAAACAAACACACACACACCTACAAAACACATTAAAATAAATAATAGTGCGAAAATCCTCTCACAAATAGTCGGAAACAAGATAACAAAATGTATCGAACTGTAGAAAAAATGGGAGAGTCTACCCTTTAAGTCAACTCCATGCTTTGTTATTAAAGTTGGGTTGGTTGGGTTGCTATATGACAATTTTTTCCTCATAAAAATTACTGTCTCTAGAACGAATAGTATCTGAGCGCCAGCTGGGTTGATACATAGATCAAACTTACAAAAGTTTCATTCTTTGCCTTCTAGCCAACCCAACATGAAGGATGTCGGTAATTGTGGTGTAATACTGTACTTTTTTTCACATTATGTATGTAGGATGGTGTGTGCATGTAACTGAGTTAAATGAAGAAAGTTTCGTATATCGACCCGAAAATTCGAGTTGAAAAACAACTTTTGCACCTCACAGCCATAGTTTTCTTAAAATGATATACAGTATACTGTACAGTACCAGGAAATGTGAGGAATAAATAAAAATAATACCAGTAAATAAATTAAAAAAAAAAATACTATTACCAAACCGGTAAATAAAAGCCAAATGAAAGTTTAATACAGTCGCCATTTGCATACATACACTCCCTGCTCCATTATAGTAACGAAGATCAGCAGGGACACCGATTCCCTGGCAACGCTTCCCACCAGCTACACTCTGCTCTTTCCTCCTGTTACATGTTTGCCCTTAGGACAATTATTTCTTTTACCTTTTTTTCACAATAGTGGGTATGTATTTAGGATGGTGTGTGCATGTACCCGAAAATATGAGTTGAAAAAAACCATAACACCTCTGAGTTTGGCCCAGTATCCTGGCTGTTACAATGATGAGCTAACCTAGCTACAATGCCATGATTAATCACTTTTAAACACTATTCTATCAGTAAGCACTAATAATAACAGTAAATCCAGTGAAATATGGCAGGAGGAGGAGAATTACAACTGCAGACGACGCGCTAACTAGCAGTCACTCACTCCCCTTACCTGCTCCCGTTGCCAGGTGTACTTATGGGAGAAATACATGACCTTCTTTTCTCTCTTCACTTGTTTGGGCACCTTCCCACAGCTGGATGAAGGTGGTTTGGGAGCCATCACAAGCTCAAGGAGCACAGTTGTTAAAAGAGCAGAGTAGCACATGTGTGAAACGGTCAAGTGTTTATCATGGACTGAGGCGGAGGGAGCGAGCGTGGTCCAGCCTCCCGGAACAAGTGAGACACCTTGTGGGACGCCACAAAACTTGCACGCTCCCTGTCCCTGCCGCGAAAATGCCGACAACTTTATGACTACAGTACCAGCAGACTTTCTTGCGTACATCCAGGGTGTCATCTGCGAATAATCGAGGACCGCGAATTAAAAGTCTGTGAATTGTCAGAGCATGCTGTATATATTTTGTACTAGTTATATAGAGACGCTGAGGGTAAATTAAAAAAAACTGTTGAATACAAAATATGTTGATCTAAAACCTCTCAAAATCGTTGGGTCTACTTACGAAGTCTCCTTTCCTTTGCATGAGGCAAAATTATTACTTGCCTGAAGGGCTAATGATGACTTTTTAATCTGACTTCTCCTTAGGATATTCCACTTGCTTTGGGTGACTATGATTGAGCAGCCCTGATGATAGGCATAATGAGTGAATGGAAAATGAAGGAATGGGGGGATAAGAATGTATAAAGCAGGGACATATTGTAGGGGGGCAGAAAGGAAGGAAAGAGTGAAAGATGCATGTGTAGGGAGATGAACATCCAAGAAGCAGCATTGTGTGTAAATGACCAGAGAACATAGTCTTGTAAGATTATTTTTTTGGGGGTTGAGATGCTACTGATGGCTGGCACTAGGTTGTGTAAAGTGATGGATCAACTGTATGGATATTTTAGGGATTTGTTATAGAATTGGAATACCAGAACAAATTTAATCTATTACAGTAATAAAAATGAATGCATGACAGTGAATGAAGTGTGAATCTGTGAACTGTATATTTGTGTGTCATTCTGACAGTATTTTACTATACAGAGTAATGTGAAAAGGCTTGAAAGACTGGAAGAAGGATTTCCCCTTGTTCTTATTAAATTTGTCACCTTTTTAAGAATGACTCGGGTTGTTTGTACATATGTAACATTTAGAGAAACATGATTTAAGATTAATGATTTTTTTTTACAGTGTGATGGTTCAATTTCATGCTTTGGGAGTGCTGCACCAGATTCGTAAATCAGACAAACTTGCTGTTACCAAGATGGTGAGCAAGTTGACTTCATCGAGCCTTCGTTCTCCATATGCCATCTGTTTATTGGTGAGTTGATTGTTAGTTTTTGTCAGTAGGTATTAATATATTTGGCTGTCTTGTGCATTGTATCAAATTTTGCTGGAAGGGCCCAGTTTTTAATTCTCAGTGGCTTTCTTCATGAAAACCTAAATAATGTGGGAATTGTGGTGAAATTACATAGTGTCATTTTAACGGAAGTCTACCAGAGGGGGAACTTTTGCCGAGTCACTCCACCTTTAACCGCCATACCTATTTACTTCCCTACACATACAGTGGGGTCTCATTGTATATTGCACTGGTACGCTTCCGTGGTTCCCTATATACCAGGGCTGTGGAGTCGAAGACAAAACCTTCGACTCCGACTCCTCAAATTTTTATGCTTCCGACTCCTTCGCCTATTTGTAACAACTATTTCTACCATCCTAATTGTAATTTGTATGTTGTAACCTGCATAGGTAAAAAGTAAAACACCGTGGCTATACTGCTTTATTAATGATCTGGACGATATTTAAGAACTACAAAAAGATGATAGGCTTGACTTTCAAAGTTTCAATCAAAAGAAAAATAAATTTATTAAGAATTCAAGATATTAACTAGAAAACACCATTTACATGTATATCTAAAAGTTCGATCTCAGCATATGAATTTTGTTTAAGCTCATAATCTGATGTGGATCTAAATGATGATTCTACAATTCCTTTTAAAGTAAAGTTATATATTTATGTACATTAAAGAAATGAATACCTTATTAAGGAAAATGGATAAACCTTACATGATTAAGTTATTAAATTAAATTTGCCTTAATCTCACCAAAAACAGGTTGTAGCTAATTGTTTTGTAGCTGAGAGCCTCTGTGCAGTTTTCAACGAAACAAAATTTGATATAATTCAAAATTTCAAATGGTAAAGAAGAGACTATCGTCCAAAATTATAGTGCTATACTGTGCCTGCTACAATAAATTCATAATAATGCTTATAAAATGGAAATAAATTCTTTTAATAATTTAAGAAAATTAGTGGGATCAGTGGAATCACTGCAATGAATATGCCTGAGTTCATATATTTGTTCTTAGGAACAGAATAGCTTCAGTCGGAGTCGGAGTCGGAGTCTGGACAATTTTACCGACTCCGACTCCACAAGCCGAAATTTTCTCCGACTCCTCGACTCCGACTCCACAGCCCTGATAGGTACTCCTGAATGTGCTACTTAAGGATCTGTTAACCAAAATTTGATATCTTGATTATAACTTGTTCAAATGGCTTTTAGAAAATGTTTAAATGATTTTTAAAATATTGTAATTACTTTTGCAATGCTAATTACTCGCCACTTATGGGTTTTCGAGGTCATTTCTTGGTGCTTGTGTATTATTCTGGATGTACTTAAATAGTTAGGCACATTAAATTTTAGTTCAGAGAGAAAACGTATTTTTGGCCAAAAATCCTTTAAGGCTATAGACTTACAATTTTCGTCATTTCGGCCAAAAAATGGATTTTGTTCAAAATTTCAGTATAGGTACTCCTGAATGTGCTGCTTAAGGATCTGTTAACCAAAATTTGATATCTTGATTATAACTTGTTCAAATGGCTTTTAGAAAATGTTCAAATGATTTTTAGAATATTTTAATTACTTTTGCAATGCTAATTACTCGCCACTTATGGGTTTTCGAGGTCATTTCTTGGTGCTTGTGTATTATTCTGGATGTACTTAAATAGTTAGGCACATTAAATTTTAGTTCAGAGAGAAAACGTATTTTGGCCAAAAATCCTTTAAGGCTTTAGACTTACAATTTTTCTCATTTGCGGCCAAAAATGGATTTTGTTCAAAATTTCAGTATAGGTACTCCTGAATGTGCTGCTTAAGGATCTGTTAACCAAAATTTGATATCTTGATTATAACTTGTTCAAATGGCTTTTAGAAAATGTTCAAATGATTTTTAGAATATTTTAATTACTTTTGCAATGCTAATTACTCGCCACTTATGGGTTTTCGAGGTCATTTCTTGGTGCTTGTGTATTATTCTGGATGTACTTAAATAGTTAGGCACATTAAATTTTAGTTCAGAGAGAAAAAGTATTTTTGGCCAAAAATCCTTTAAGGCATTAGACTTACAATTTTTGTCATTTCGGCCAAAAAATGGATTTTGTTCAAAATTTCAGTATAGGTACTCCTGAATGTGCTGCTTAAGGATCTGTTAACCAAAATTTGATATCTTGATTATAACTTGTTCAAATGGCTTTTAGAAAATGTTCAAATGATTTTTAGAATATTTTAATTACTTTTGCAATGCTAATTACTCGCCACTTATGGGTTTTCGAGGTCATTTCTTGGTGCTTGTGTATTATTCTGGATGTACTTAAATAGTTAGGCACATTAAATTTTAGTTCAGAGAGAAAAAGTTTTTGGCCAAAAATCCTTTAAGGCTTTAGACTTACAATTTTTGTCATTTTGGCCAAAAATGGATTTTGTTCAAAATTTCAGTATAGGTACTCCTGAATGTGCTGCTTAAGGATCTGTTAACCAAAATTTGATATCTTGATTATAACTTGTTCAAATGGCTTTTAGAAAATGTTCAAATGATTTTTAGAATATTTTAATTACTTTTGCAATGCTAATTACTCGCCACTTATGGGTTTTCGAGGTCATTTCTTGGTGCTTGTGTATTATTCTGGATGTACTTAAATAGTTAGGCACATTAAATTTTAGTTTAGAGAGAAAAAGTATTTTTGGCCAAAAATCCTTTAAGGCATTAGACTTACAATTTTTGTCATTTTCGGCCAAAAAATGGATTTTGTTCAAAATTTCAGTATAGGTACTCCTGAATGTGCTGCTTAAGGATCTGTTAACCAAAATTTGATATCTTGATTATAACTTGTTCAAATGGCTTTTAGAAAATGTTCAAATGATTTTTAGAATATTTTAATTACTTTTGCAATGCTAATTACTCGCCACTTATGGGTTTTCGAGGTAATTTCTTGGTGCTTGTGTATTATTCTGGATGTACTTAAATAGTTAGGCACATTAAATTTTAGTTCAGAGAGAAAACGTATTTTTGGCCAAAAATCCTTTAAGGCTTTAGACTTACAATTTTCGTCATTTTCGGCCAAAAATGGATTTTGTTCAAAATTTCAGTATAGGTACTCCTGAATGTGCTGCTTAAGGATCTGTTAACCAAAATTTGATATCTTGATTATAACTTGTTCAAATGGCTTTTAGAAAATGTTCAAATGATTTTTAGAATATTTTAATTACTTTTGCAATGCTAATTACTCGCCACTTATGGGTTTTCGAGGTCATTTCTTGGTGCTTGTGTATTATTCTGGATGTACTTAAATAGTTAGGCACATTAAATTTTAGTTCAGAGAGAAAACGTATTTTTGGCCAAAAATCCTTTAAGGCTTTAGACTTACAATTTTTGTCATTTTCGGCCAAAAAATGGATTTTGTTCAAAATTTCAGTATAGGTACTCCTGAATGTGCTGCTTAAGGATCTGTTAACCAAAATTTGATATCTTGATTATAACTTGTTCAAATGGCTTTTAGAAAATGTTCAAATGATTTTTAGAATATTTTAATTACTTTTGCAATGCTAATTACTCGCCACTTATGGGTTTTCGAGGTCATTTCTTGGTGCTTGTGTATTATTCTGGATGTACTTAAATAGTTAGGCACATTAAATTTTAGTTCAGAGAGAAAACGTATTTTTGGCCAAAAATCCTTTAAGGCTTTAGACTTACAATTTTTGTCATTTTCGGCCAAAAAATGGATTTTGTTCAAAATTTCAGTATAGGTACTCCTGAATGTGCTGCTTAAGGATCTGTTAACCAAAATTTGATATCTTGATTATAACTTGTTCAAATGGCTTTTAGAAAATGTTCAAATGATTTTTAGAATATTTTAATTACTTTTGCAATGCTAATTACTCGCCACTTATGGGTTTTCGAGGTCATTTCTTGGTGCTTGTGTATTATTCTGGATGTACTTAAATAGTTAGGCACATTAAATTTTAGTTCAGAGAGAAAGTATTTTTGGCCAAAAATCCTTTAAGGCTTTAGACTTACAATTTTTGTCATTTCGGCCAAAAAATGGATTTTGTTCAAAATTTCAGTATAGGTACTCCTGAATGTGCTGCTTAAGGATCTGTTAACCAAAATTTGATATCTTGATTATAACTTGTTCAAATGGCTTTTAGAAAATGTTCAAATGATTTTTAGAATATTTTAATTACTTTTGCAATGCTAATTACTCGCCACTTATGGGTTTTCGAGGTCATTTCTTGGTGCTTGTGTATTATTCTGGATGTACTTAAATAGTTAGGCACATTAAATTTTAGTTCAGAGAGAAAACGTATTTTTGGCCAAAAATCCTTTAAGGCTTTAGACTTACAATTTTTGTCATTTTCGGCCAAAAAATGGATTTTCTTCAAAATTTCAGTATAGGTACCAGGGCTGTGGAGTCGAAGACAAAACCTTCGACTCCGACTCCTCAAATTTTTATGCTTCCGACTCCTTGGCCTATTTGTAACAACTATTTCTATCATCCTAATTGTAATTTGTATGTTGTAACCTGCACAGGTAAAAAGTAAAACACCGTGGCTATACTGCTTTATTAATGATCTGGACGATATTTAAGAACTACAAAAAGATGATAGGCTTGACTTTCAAAGTTTCAATCAAAAGAAAAATAAATTTATTAAGAATTCAAGATATTAACTAGAAAACACCATTTACATGTATATCTAAAAGTTCGATCTCAGCATATGAATTTTGTTTAAGCTCATAATCTGATGTGGATCTAAATGATGATCCTACAATTCCTTTTAAAGTAAAGTTATATATTTATGTACATTAAAGAAATGAATACCTTATTAAGGAAAATGGATAAACCTTACATGATTAAGTTATTAAATTAAATTTGCCTTAATCTCACCAAAAACAGGTTGTAGCTAATTGTTTTGTAGCTGAGAGCCTCTGTGCAGTTTTCAACGAAACAAAATTTGATATAATTCAAAATTTCAAATGGTAAAGAAGAGACTATCGTCCAAAATTATAGTGCTATACTGTGCCTGCTACAATAAATTCATAATAATGCTTATAAAATGGAAATAAATTCTTTTAATAATTTAAGAAAATTAGTGGGATCAGTAGAATCACTGCAATGAATATGCCTGAGTTCATATATTTGTTCTTAGGAACAGAATAGCTTCAGTCGGAGTCTGGACAATTTTACCGACTCCGACTCCACAAGCCGAAATTTCCTCCGACTCCTCGACT